CCTCTTCTCCACTCTACTCGAGTTGTCTTGGGCTGTTAATTAGAGGGTTGTAAGGTAGTGCTAAGATCAAGCTACTACATGTCGATTTTTCTTACCCAAACTCGAGATTTGACAAAATCTCAGTTCTGTCAATTTGTGAAACATGAAAAATGGTTAATGGACTAGCTTAAGGATGTAATATTTTCTAAAAAAGGAGCATTTTGAAAATTCCCACACTTTCATATTCTTGAAATCGTAAACCAATGTCGCCTTTGCGAACATTTTGCATCCAGCAGTTCACCACTACACTCAGTTGATAGCAGTTTATGAAAATGTTATGAATGAATGCTCTGAATGAAAGGGCAGCGACAAACTTCATGCCACAGTGCGCCAGTAAATATGCTTTAGTGATCTAAAAAAGGACGTAATAGTTCAATTTCTGTCTTGCAGACACTGAGGGGAAAAATTTTCCCGGTTGTAAAGGTTTCAAATATCGGCATTTCTCTGCAAAATGTTAAAACAACCATGCTATTTTCTCCCCAATGCATAATTCGTTTGTCTGTGAAACCATAGTTAAGCTAAAAAATACTTGCTGTTGTTCCCCGTTATAGATATTATTTAAAACGTAAATCCACTTATTATGGTCAAGCCACGGGTCAAGTCCACGCTACTAACGTTTGTTAGTAGAAAGGTTATCTGCCTAAATCACAGCTAACAGTTGGGGATTTTGGCCTTGTTTAATGTTGCCCATTTTGCATCTAGAGTTGGGGTGTTGGGGATCCACGATTCCTTAATATTGGTTTCTGATTCTATTTACATAATTCATCAACATTTGTTTTGTTACTCATTTATCAAGCCAAGGTCAACGTTGACTTGAATTAGTTTCGTTTTCACTTTCGATTTCACTTTTTCTCTGCACGTGGCTGACGTGAATGAAGCTCTCTACTCGATCGCTGGTCTTGTCCCAGTATTAGCCTGGCAACGTCGGTTCCAGCTTTCAACAGGGGATCCGGTACCGTTATTTGATTGGTCTTCTTTTTTGTTACGGGAAAACGTAACAGGGGTTGTTTTAATAAAATTATTATTTAAACCGTTATGCGTTTGTTGATGAATACTCACTCCCGTAAAACACATGCCTAGAAAAATTTAACTGTCTTAAGAGCTGTTTCTACTCAGTTGCTGTAAGCAAGATGGCACATATCAAACTAATAGTCACAACCGCATTAGAAAATTTTTTTAGAAGAAGTGCAATTATCTTCCTATCACTATTTAGCAATGCCGATTACTGCATCATTATACCTGCTACATTGGTGCGAAATTCAAGGTGATGTATGATTGCATGATTTTTTGACAACAAATGTATATATTTATCGAAATTTTAGTTATTGACAAAAGCTTTCTTTAAAATTGATCTCCATAAGTTAACTTAAATTTGAAGCTATTAGGAGAGTTAAACTTGACTAAAAATATCAAACTACTGCAAACATTGTTTTGTAGAGCTTCAGTTAGCGATTCCTTCTAGTTAACAGCTCGGAAAAAACCAGAGAATATAGGGAAGAGAGACGACAGAAGACAACACCGCTAGTTAAATGCGCATCATAGTGTGCGGGGACCACCAAAACGCGATCGCTGCTAATCCGTAATAGCTTTAGCATCAGTCCGATAACTGACACATTTAGGATAGCCAGGTTAATATTCCTGTCGCCAAAAATTAATGCATTATCTCAAGTTTCTGCTCAAACACAAAGACTAAATAGTCAATATATTTGTGTACGAATGGATCTTAGATTTACCACCGGCATTAAATCAAGTGCTAGTTACACATTTGATTTACTATATATTTTACCTTTAATAGTTTATACGACTTATTTTATATCGAAGAAAATTTGTTTGTGTACTATGATGGTTTCGACAACTAAAAACCTTAGGTAGAAAATGAGAAAATAAATATATTCATTTTAGTCACTGTGCTTTGCCAAAACTCAATATGACTAAATTTTGACTTAATTTAATCTTCTGTAAAATAACCTGCATTGATTGTTTCACATATGCAACGCAGAGGTTTAAGGCTCATTAAATTTAAATTCTTGAAAGCAAATTTAGAGATAAAAGGAAGGGAACGCATTGTAGTCTCAAAAGTCACACAGGAATTTTATAATTTTTCCAAACGCCTTTTTAATATATTATTGTTTAAGACATTTAAGGCAATATGCATCATTATATCATGTTTATGACATATATATTTCTGCCCTACCAGGTTTGGGTCACGAGTGGATATATAAAAAGCCTGCTTTATATTTACCAAAAATTAACAAAACTAATTTGGACAAACATACCTTTTAATCTGAAAGCAACGCTCACCAGTTGTCGTTATGCTAGAGAGAGTTGATCGCTGACCTGGTCAGTGTATTTATAGGCAAGATGATCAGAAAACATTCAAAATCTTTTGAAATGTAATGCCTAAGATACATAATGTTGCCTAATCTACTACCATAAAAGGCAATTTCAAAAAAATTCTCTTAGTATATAGTTTCTGCAAAATAATCCATGGATGGCTATAGGCAAAGTTAATAATCCCAATTAGACCTTAAAATTCTCATTGAAAATAAGATTAAGCCTTAAAGTAGGATTATGTTAATTTGAAAAAAAATATCAAATTTAGTATTTTACGCTCAATGTTTTCGCAGAAGAAAAAATTTACTACTAATGTCGCAGATGGGAGTGAATGAACGATCGCATTGATGCCCAAAAGGTTTTAAGAAAGTAACCTGAAGCTATCCCAGAGAAAAGGACACATTTATTTCATAAGCGCTTTATCAAACGTCTTACTAAATCTATGATTTTTTAAGAAGACAACTCTTACAGTGGTTGCGATTCTCAATACATATTAGGACAATGGTAGTTGAGAGTTAAAAGTAGTTAAAAAGTAACGTTTTCAAACAAAAAAATCAAAAACGAATTAAGTCTTAGAGTGCCTTAAAATGTGAAAAAGCTGAAACAATTTTTACAGTAAACGCTACAGAATTTACAGCTTTTTACAACAATGGTCATTTTAATGACTAAAGTAAGTAATATAATTCCATTGTTTGTCTTTTAATACATCAAATATATTTTACTCAATATGAAAATGGATGGCTGGGTCTACAGTGTTTTGCTTCTCACTCTCCTTTCTGCCGTAGTAAATGCAGCCTACGAGGATGCAAGATGCAAATGTGTTTGTGTTGACCACTCAGTGCCAAAAATCCTGAACGAGTCTTCAGCTGAACCTAAACGATATGTATTTGTTAAATCTATTCCGTCGGATAAATGGTTTTCTCACTTACTTTTGTCTCATGTTTTTAGTACGTGCCCTATAATGTTGGAAAACAAATCTGATTTGTGTCCCTTTTGTGATTGCAAGTATCAGATTCGAAACACTACTACTATTAAGGTACTGTTATGTCATGTAATGAAACTTTAGGTTGTCGTCATTTTGATCATCGTTATCATATCCACATTGTCGTTCTACCTTGGATTTATGCTGCTACTGGAACCATGTTTGGCATCAAGATCCCGTAATAACCTTTTCGGAATGGCCGCGTCTGCCTCATTTTCACCTTCCAAAACTATACGCACAGTTCGTAGTTATGTCTTGCCATCGCAAAGAACCAGTGAATACAACAGTTTGGCTGGTGATTAATATTTGTATTTTTCATAAATTTTGATATCATGGCTTGGAAATATTCTATTACATCTGTTTTTCATTCCACACATCTCTGCACCTGCATAATATAAGAATGCTTAGTTATTTTTGCTTCTAGTTAAGTGGTTATGTAATAATAATTAGTCCTGTCAGAAATCATTTGATTTTAATTTCAAGCATTTTTAGATAAATTCTGTTCTAAACCAACTCAGCGTTTGGTACTCACATTGCTTCACTCCCCATTTGCTGTAAGAAAACCACATTTGTTTTCTTGTAGACGCCCAGGGAGTTGGTGTCAATGAGCCGTCAAGCTCCGGCGGAGGACCAAGTGCCGTGGTAAATCGAGCCCGTGAACAACAATCGCGCTGGAAGGGTCGCATTGAAGCTCAGCGAGACCGAGTCTTCAATGAACGCACCATCCTAAACTAATCTCATGTTAAACTGACTTCTTTGACACCATTCTATTTTTAGTTTTACAGTATCACTTGGATTTTTATCAAATGATTTCCACAACCTTGCTTTCGTGATTTACGTGGTTACGATGTAGGATGATTTAATCCTTGACATTTGTTGGAACCGATAATTCGGCATGCTCTCATCATTGCTCCATATCTCCCATGCACTAATGACGTGTAAGCAAAGTACAGAACTGGTTTCTGCGCTTAAATTCACCAAATTGATCTTATTCATGTGATATTAACATTCTATCCCACGGAACGAGGAATTGATTCAGGTATTTTTAATCTTGTGAATCACATTTAAGTTCCATATCCTTCGTAAAAGGTTCTGATTGAATAGGGAAGACCATCACTAGGCTTGTTACAGTCAGGCTGTGTTTGAGAACCGTGTTGAAGCATGTCTTTATAGTTTTCTTGTTTGAAACCAGTCAGGGCACTGTTGAACTTTTGCGCAAAGTAATTTGTCATTATTATGCGGGTACATCCTGCTTCCAGCATTTTAAAAGCAGATGCTAATGGAATAATACCACGGGTTCTTTTTATAGGGCCAGTATTCGGAAGGGTTTCCATGCCAAATACTATTATAGTGGTTATTTCATGAAGTGTGATGCATGTGGCTCTCCAATGACAGACGTGCCAGCACCTCCCTCCCCGTGCTATAAAGTTGCGTACTATATAACGGAAAATGGGGAGACGTTCAATTGCGCATCACGTGCGGTAATTTGAACGGCTGGTCAGATTTGCGTAATTTCAGATTACGTGCAATTAATTTGTACTTGAATTATCGTTAAGAGATGTTACTTATGACCTCTACGCCCAATAATTTACGCAACAACATGTTTAGTTGTTACCAAAATGGTCGTAGCATTGTGGCCTCTCTTGGCATTAATGCAATCAGCCTAGTTAAGCGAAAAGCCGAGAATTTGGAATAACCTTCACTGTGGACGCTACAGCCTCAGCAACAATGTCCCAATCACACTTAAACACACTTCTAGTATCTGCTTCTAGTCTGTGCAAACTAACTGACACCCCACCTGAGAACGGTTTCCAAAGCTAAATAGTAAATTCTCGCTGCACTTTCTCTGGTTTTAGAATTACCGATTGACTCTCAATGCCGTTCAAGTTTCAGTTCAGGTGGAACTTGCCTAATTATATGAGGAAATGATTGTTCGGATAAATTTACCGAATGGACAAATGATTGTACCCAGAACAAAGAGGCGTCAATGGCGTAATTGGAAGTTTTACCTCAGTGTGGAGATTCGAAAACTCATTCTTATAAACACTTCTATGACATCGAATGATTGTTTTGAGACAGTAATTTTACGTGTTGAAATGTCGTAATGCGCTTAGTTTGGGTTTCCGATAACAGTATAAACATCGTTCGCACCTCCGCGCCAAAAATTATTTACTTAAAGCCTAGGCACACTGATGCAAGGCTACACTGACTGCCGCCACAAAATCTTGTATTGATAAATTACGAACCCGTTTTACACTTGAAATGTCAGATTTGTGAAAGAGAAAGGGTTAACCTATAACGCAAGAGTACAATATTGAACCTAACCAAATTTACGGAAGTGATGCACTTTTTGGAGCAGCTGGATTTTAGCAATCTTACAAACCAAATAGTGAACCAACTACGTCCAACTATATTTAGAAAAATTAGCATCGAATTAGAACGACAACGCCTGTTTGCTTGCGTTCTACGCGAGAACTCAAACTGGACTGCGTTCTTTCCAAGCCATAGAAGTGGCTGGATCCCTATTACACTTGCCCAGACTCACCAACCACCCAATCCCACAACAAGTCGATACAAACTATCAGTTCACCAATTTCTATCAACACCTACATGAACAATAGTACCGTCTGATTTAAAATTTTGTAATGTACTTGGAGATTTTTGGCCGGTTGATTACGGGCAAAAGATAGTATACAATAAGAGTGGAAATTGATGAAAACCATGCGGCGGGGACAAAGGTCACTGAAGACCGAAGTTAAGTAAATTATTCCCAGAAAAAATCACAGACAGTGGAAATAAATTTGGTTCGCAATGATATTGGAACAGACAAGAAAAAGACCAAACAATACCAGTGGAATGTGCGACATACTAAGTCCAAAAATTCCCTGACCCAGCTGAAGATAAAGAAATCCTTGGGACCACAGCTCTAGAGCACAATCTTCTTGGTTTATACCGCCTCAATGCAAGAAAACATTGGAACTTTCAAGAACCGCTAGACCTATTTGCCACAAATACGATACGCCGATTTGTAGGGCATTTTAACTTGCAAAATGTGTCCATATGGCATACCAGGAAACCATCCACAGACAGTTAAGTGTTTATAAGCGTTCGTCTATGGCAGATGAGCTGTTACTTTTACCCGAAAATGCTTTTTTAAAAAGAAAATGAAATGCCAAAAGTCAGTGTCCGCACACTCTATCAGATGCCAATATTTTTGAAATCTAGAACTGCTGTCGCAATGCATGGAAAAAAACTAACTGTTGACTGCATTCATTTGTGACCGGAGGTTTCTTGTGGGCACGTCAACTACCCAAACAAATTAAAATCAGCAAGAATTTTGTGATCACTAACACTGCAGATCCGTTCCTACACATTTAATATCTTTACCGATCAACAATCGGTCAACGATCAGCAGAATGCAACTAATTAAGTGCCATTGAACTCTCACATGAACTACAGCTGGACCAACACTTGACCACGTAATTTTTTACACAGACAAGATGGAAGCCGTAACCAATATGAAAACTAAGGATTCGTTTAAAAAGGAGTAGGTGCCTCGAGCATTCTCCAGGAATGCATTAGCAATACTAACTACAATAAACTCTGATTGATAACCGAGCATAAATTCTAGCATTTTCCGCTTTCAAACGAGGGCAAGCATTATACGTGCACCCCACCCCCTAGAAAAAAGGCAAAAATTTTCAGTTACAACACATTTTGCAATAATTATATGGGTAAAAGATCATCGAAATTAATGGAAATCCAAAAATGTCTGGCAACTTAACAAAATCCCTACATTACCGTGAGGCACAAAACAAGACATCGATCCGCAAGTAGGCTGGAAAAGGGAGCGAAGTAAGCACTTTGCAAACGAACGTAAAAACCGCAACGAATTCACAAAATGAAATATACAAGTGGCCAAATTTCTCCGACTGGATAACGTAGGTCACAAGGAAGCTCAGCGTCAGGAAGCCGTCCAAAGAAGCACTCGTATGACAAAATCTGGAGTTAGCTTGATAACACCTTATTCACTCAACAATAAGCTGCATCGTAGGCGAATCACCACTAGACGTAAACTCGTACTATTGATTTACGCATAAAGACCGGAAACAAATTTCAAACGTGCTCCGACTTCGGCAACAACAGAATAAGAATTAACAATCGCGCAGGCTCCTATTTGCGCGGCAACGCTAAGTGACATATCAGTTACGTTCAGCTCGATTTTTCACATTAAATATGCTAATGAAAACAGGGGGATCATTTATTTCATAGGATATGATCAGATAATAGATAGCATCACGACCAATTGCGCGTAAGTTAACACATTTTAATGACAGCTGTTGGCGCCGAAATAAGCGAGCAGCAACCCCACATTCGTATGACTCGATCCACGTAGCAATGTCAACGCTCTTATCAAAGTAAGATACAATCTCACATAACCAAGCCTAAAAGTTCAAATCTACAATCAACAATTGCCCACTGCGCCGCGTAGATTTAAAGCCTTTTGGTCATCAGTCGTACCCACAGCACTACTTAAACCGCAGCAAGGATCACACCAACCTATGTACAAATATTTCCAACAGCATTGAATACAACTACCCAATCACCCAAAAATCCAAATGTTACCAGGAATAGACAAGGAACCTGTATTTACAAATGCACACTACGTCCGAATAGTATCTCGGAGACGACGGATGGCCGCCCTCGTCGTAGCGGCAGCGGTTGTGCTGCAAACATAAGCTCCACCAGCAACCACCTTCCCACATCGCTTGCAATTCCATATACCCGCTGCCTTGCGCTTTAAGGCTTCCTATAATGTAATGTCATTGAGATATATTAATACATACTTTTCCACAAAAATTGCAGTTGTACGTGGCATGCTGGCTGACTTCAATCTTCTTTACCGTTTTCCTCAGAGAAGCACCATATCGGGTACCATATTTACCAACAATTCCGACTTTTTTCGTTCGCTTAGCCTATAAATGGTCATAACGTAGAAAATGCCATATACCATTCCACACGAGACCCTTGAAGTGACCTCCTACAGGCTAAACTACAAGGTTAAACAAATTAACAAAGTTGCAAAAATATTAAGCTTTTATTTATTATTCGGTTATATATGTTATAAGTTTTATACAAACTCTTGTAATAATAGGCGATATATAAAGTCTTATTCATTATTAATTAACAGTCATTCTTTGATTAAAAAAAAAAACAGATTTCAAACCCAAATAAACGCAATTATTTTAGCGATTATGAAAACTCATTGTGCTTTTTTAATATGGCGAAGAAAAGTAACCAGATTTCAGACCCACGAAAATAATAACTGCCTATTTCTAAAGACGATGACGACGATTATTAAAATAGTTTCGAAAGAAATCCAAAATCTATGCTGATAGAATTAGTTACTAGTTGTGACAGATAAAATTACGGTACATATAGGTTATTTAACTGGTTATTATCAAGTAAAGCATTAATTTGCCATTTACGTAGTCTGCCTTTAAGCACATTTTCTTGAATTCAGATTGGAATTTAACACAGACTTGAAGAAACCCCAGTTCTCTGAATTTTGGTAATAGCATTATTAACTCAGATTAAAGTAATTTATATGTTGAAACTTGTTTTTGCTACTAATTTAAAAAATCACTAGCTCTCTGTCCTGCAATTGAGTAAGTTGGTGGGTGGAAGTAAAGTGTCATGGGACACCTCTTAATTGCGTCAAGTTGGCTTAATATCGGTTTGTAAGTATCAGAACCTTGCTCTGTGCTCACTAGTTTATTCAAGATAGGTATTATTAGCTGATCTATCTAGGATGTATAGCACCCTGCTTACTTTTAGTGACAGTAATGATCATGTTAAGACACAAAAGGAACTTTGATTTCACCTTTAATTTCCATAGGGAATCCTGAAGGAGGAGTCATTTTAACACAAGTCCGTTCAGAGAAACAAAAAAACACCTGATTATTGCTTCATATGTTGCAGCCTGAAGATAACGCAGTTCCATTAACTTCAAAGTTATCTTATTGTGTGTTTTTTTTTCCGTTTACCTTTTTAAAATCAAACTAAGATGTTGTTTCCATCAACTGCAGCTTTATGGGTAGGATACAACCGGCAGAATTCGTGTCAGGATAAAAATGCAAGTCAAGTCCAGTTTGATAGCGGAATGACCTGGCTACTAGTTTATAACACTGACTCTAGTTTAAATCGAGTTCAAAAAGGCATATGTGAATAGAGCTAATTCAGACGCATTTCCTTACGTTCTAATGAATTTGGCATTTTGGTTTACTTTTCCACTGAGGTTAATAAAATTAAATAATTGCTGTCTGCTTTCCTTTTTATTTATTCAAGTGGAACTTTAACTTGACTATCCGCAGAAAAGATAGGAAAGCATGAATTTAGATGGGATATCTCAATGTACTACAAACAGCTACCTTGGTTGATACCGAATTTTACATTTAATCCTAGACAATTCATTTCAGCTTTTACTGTTCTGTGCGCATAAGAAGGTGCCTATTGACTTCCATCCGACTCAGACGATGTTATACGTCAGCGAACTGAAGCTACCGCATTCACTATGCAGCAAATAGGGAGAACCACGAGACTGGTTACCACCGCGTGCTCCAAACTTCAATCTAAAATTTAGGCTTAGCAGTCATTGTTTTCATGACACATTATCCCTGTCTCAGAATTTATTCACATCTTCCTCTCCACTAAAACAAAAACCTCGCGATCAACAATCCACTTTGGTCGAGTTAGCTCATGATCAGGCCTATCTGTTACGTCATGATGAAAGTTCCACAAACCAGTACCGTTAGCAAGTTTGCGTTATTCAAGCTGGCGATTGTTTTAAATCTGACAGTGAGCAGTCCTCTACGATGAAGTAGATAGTAGGTACTTCACTCCAAAACACTCCCCCCTTGTCTCAGCACCCCCAAAGCTAATCCGGACACTAGTGAGCATGCGCAAACCACCGCCGCTGCCTCTTTTGCCACGCGTCACGCTTGAGGCCTAATACAATACGCGAGTTGAGCGCACGGCATCGAACAATCACCAATGGCGTGTTTGCTAGTCTGGTGAAACGGTTGTTCCACTCTCTCATTTCGCTCCTTGTCTTGTCTCAGCCCATTTTACGTTTTATTTGCTTATCATATCAGTATTCGATTGGAAGTCGTCATTGGATCTATATCTAACCTCAGTATCAGAAAAGAATGAAACATAACCCAGTTAAGTGGCCAAATTACATGTGAGTCCCTTAACGCGAAAAGGTGCGCGTTGCCCTACTTGGAAAAGTATTAGTTATCATCTATACACATTTACCTTTTAGCCTTAGCGTAGTTCCCCTGTAGATTTTAACTCCCGAAACCATTATGTATACAAACTCACATTTCAGCCGCCATTGCATCATAAAAACAATACAGAACAGTACTTTGGAGGTCCCATTTACACACCTGAAGAGCCAATCCTTTGTCCCACTACACTTCTACCACATGTCTGAAAACGACGTATTGGAAAATTCTTAGAAATCAAGAACGTTGATTCGGCATTGAGTTGGATTTTGAAAGCATGTGTATAAATATAAGTTGACAACAGCGCACGGTTTGGACAGTTCACTGAAAGTTAATGAATGGCTTGAAATTTTAAGAAATCCAATGAAAGTGAACCAAAGAGCGAGCATAGACACCCCCCTAGCTAAAGCCAAACTTAAAATGGGCCATAATCGCCTTGCATAGCCCAGCGATTCGCGAAAAACTAGTCACGAATATACCCACAGTTCTAACTGTAGCAGTTGTGCGATAGTAGACCCGAGGATCAACATGTGACTCAATTCGGCACAAGGACAACCGGTGTCCAAGTCGGCGATAGGCCGGGAAAGCAGCACATGAGGCGCAAGTTCGAGAAAATTAGGGGCATCAAACTAACTGATAAGGTCCTATTCCGGCACCGTTCACAGTGTTCTTTAATGGTAATCACATTCAAGCGCATAGATCCGCAAATGCACACTATACAGTGCTTAAAGCCATTTCGCTTCTTATGTGTTTAAGGTCCTCTTTATCGCAGGCGCGTTTGTATGAAAATATCATGGCCGAGCAGCAGTCTTAAGGACATCCGTGCGACAGGACTACACTTACGTCTTGCCTGTAATGGTCCTGTGTTCACGTTTAGACAATAATGCCTTCGGAATCCAAAGGCCCAATAGACGTGAAATTGCCCAACAATTGAAAAGCGCAAAGTAAGGGAAGTAAATACAGCAAATTATTTACAAACACTATTAACAAGGAAGTATTTAGGACGATTTTCTGAAATTTCGTAAAACTGGGTACACTTTGTTCAAGGCCTCGTAGATTAATTCCACGGATTTAGCACCTAAAATTACAAGAGTAGGTTAGTCGAAGTATATCCCTTAACCAAAGGCTACTGTGTAATATAAAGGAAGTTATGAGCGTAACAAAATTCACCGAGAATACATATGGTAGCGGTGTTGGAAATAAATGCTATGCAAAAACACTAATTTCACCTTGAATGCATTGAAAATCCGAAATTTTTAACCCTTAACAGCTGGAGATTTTGACAAGGCAACAATTTATTACCACAATAAGAGCCTATGAATTTCATTCAAAAATACGAAATACTTCCACTAGAGAACTCGGATTCGATAAGATGTATGAGTCTTGGAGGCTGTTTACACCTTGGAGAGCAAACAGTACTATGAGACACAAACGCTTCATTTAGCTTGCTTTCTGCTAACCAATCGATTGAACGTCTGGTCGGTTTGCAAGCACGGATTACAGGTAATTTATAAGTTTGCATAAAAACGCAAAATTACTGTCAACTGCTGTAATAAAGGGTTCTGCCTAACTGATTATTAAACAAGCATGAATATTAAATTAATAGAGTGATCAGAAGCAGTGGTAACCACAAATACTGATGCATAAACGTATCTATGGCATTTGATCGACGATCACATCTATGACCACACATATGGAATTTAAATCAACCCAAAACTCGTCTGTACAAGCGACTTGTTAGTGATACAAACTGAATTGATGAGTCGAGTGGGACAGGGATCACATGGCTTTCTGTAAATGAACTTATCATATAATCAAGAATCGGCGAGCTCGAAAGCTTCCTCTGAAGAAAATGCCTAAATTCGCGAAATTTCAGGACACATTCAACTAGTGGTGTGTCCTTCTCCCTACAGGTAGACTGTTAAAATACCTAGCCGTTAGCACACGAGTAAAATATACTCAAGTTCACGGTATGAGTGATACATATTATTCACAACAGCGAAAAAAAATAGACGTACCAGTAACGATAACCTTCCCATTGACAAATACGAGGAAAACTAACTTCGGATTGATGATCCGATAAATAAGTCCAGGAAATATTTCAGGCTCATATCTAAAAAGGGACAGAAATCTAATGCGTATATGAGATGCATATTTGAAAAATGACTTCAACAGCTGCTCCTAGTTGGGTGATTTCTGATGAGAATCAGCAGACTGCGACCTGACCAATGAATGATGAAAGCTTTATTTAAATAAATAAGCCTCACAACAGCACTGCACACGAAAAAATTTGCTGATATCAAGGGGAAACGCTGCATGGGTCATGCTATGAAGACAACACAAATAAAACTTACTGTGCCATTTGTTCGTTGGCCATTAGTAGACCCTCGAGGCGAATAGGGAATTTAAGATCAACAATTCCAACTACATTCTGGATTCGAAAATTATTGAACTGAGCCTAAAACAAAAATCAACAAGCAATTAACTTTTCACCCTGAATTACAAGCCTTGAAACACCTCTTACAGGAAAGCCCAACTTCTGTATAACGCGGGCACATTTTCGAGCGCCCAGGTTGTTTGATTCTTCCGATCGACCACCAGTGGTGACCAACTTGCCACTGCTGAAAAGTAGACAAGTAACGCGGGGCTCCCTAAGACGAATAACACAACCCGTAAAGCGGCGAGGATTGTATTCGGCGTTTCTTATTTGCAGCACGACTTTTCTTAATTCAATAGGGCACCCCAAATCTACCGATGAAACAACATTGCTATCAATACTCATACAGCTATATAAGTAACTTACTATATAACTGGTTTAGAAAGTCCTTCAAGTAGCTCGACCTTAGGGCGTGACGGCACAAATCGGCTCAACGGTAAAGGCGGTGGAACGCTCTCATCATTACTGGTCTCCTCCGACATGCTATTCACAGCAAGAAAACTAGTGCTACCAATAACCTAAGAATAAACTAGAATCAGAAGTGTTATCTGTGTAATTCAAAACAATTTAAACACATTCGGATTATTCATTTCTCTAAATATAATAAGTGCATTAAATTAAAATAACGTTTCCTGTTAAGTTAAATATATAAAATTAAAAAAATGAAACCTGGCGGAATCTCAAAGTGTCATACAAGGAATCCCGATAGAAATACAAAAGCCTTTTGTTCTCCTCTACCTAACTCACTATAAATACAAAACTGTCTCTAAAAATTAATAAATCTTTAAAGAATGCTACCTAAGGAAAACAATAGGAATCATCTCATCCTCCCTTCGGGAAAATTAGAATATAATAGCGGTGTATCCTGATTAATTCAAAAACCAAAAACTTTCTGGTATAAGTGGTAAGAGATGCAGAAACTAACTTCTGTTTTTGCTAAGGTGAATACAAATGCAGTTGGATGCGATAATGCTTACTCTTTACTTTTAAATCTCAAATAATACAGAGCTACGATTTGATGATGCGCAAGTTCAAAGTTTGTGATATAACTGCAACCAGCAGCTGCTGACAATTCATTGAAAAACTTTTATATTAAGTCAAATCCGTTTGCTAATGTCGCCCTCCAATGTATCTATTGGTCACGCATGATGTTGAATTCTCATTAACGTGAAATAGGGGTACACCTAAAACTAAATTTTGGACAAACGGCTGAATCTCCGTCTATTCGGATCGCTCTTCATTTCCGTTTTTTTCAAGTGTGAACATCACAACTATGACCAGACTGAACAGTATAAGCTAGCAGTGGATGCATGCAACATGAAAGGTCGATACTTTGTGCAATTTAAACAATAAGAGAAACATTTGAAGTTAATTAAAGTAATGGATAAACTAAAATAACAGGTTAATGGTTTAATAACTGAAATTTGTGGAAAAATGTGTAGGTCTTGATGGTTCTATTTTGTTTTTTATTAGGAATATTTAGCCGAATTATGCCAAGTAATATCAAAATTTGGGACGCAGGCTGTAATTCGCACTTAACAAGGGTATAAATTTCAGTAGATCACCATGACCAAAGTCAAAATACTGCTAGCAAGAATCTTATTTTAAACCATCATATGTGTTTTTTAATCTTTTTTGAGGTTCAAGAATCACATTTTGCTTTCAAAATTCATCGTGTGATTTAAACATTTAATACATTTTTTTACTTCCGAAACAATTTTAAATGAGTGAGGATGCCTGTGGTGAATTTAAATTTTTAAGTTGATTGAGAAGGCTGTTTGTTGTCCATAACATAATGATATTTGCCACAAAACCTAAATATAAATGAATATTGCAGCCAAACTGCGGGATGAAACTGTGATTATAAATGTAAAAAGGATGCGATTTTTTAGTTTTTATATCATCCACGTACGTGTATACGGATGTCGTTTAATATTAATAGGTGCTTCCACGCAGGAGTCAATTAAACAGAGTCGATCGTTACAGGCATAGAAAAAAGAGACAACTTCTAATCCGACAACGGCCTAAATAAGAAATGAACTAAGGAAAAGACCAATCATAACTAGTTTGATCAGTCGAGTATCATCACGATGTTTAACTCATTAAACACTTCGAATCATCTTCTCTGAGGCAGGTAACAAATGCAGGTCACTGTCTAAGTTACTGCTCGGTAATGTATTTGTGTCAGATTTTGCAAGTAGCTAAAATGTGCCTCTTAGCAACGTAAAACTTAGTTTTGAAGTTTGTTTATAGGCATGTAAATTTAGTACAGGGCGGCTCTTTCAACAGCTGTCGTTGAGACTGGATTTTCGTGTTTGTTCATGTTTTTATTCCGGGTTAGTTGGAAGTTATGTTCGTTATTCAGGGTTTTACTTTTATTGAATATAACCACGACTGTAAGCCTATTTGGAAATGTAGATTTGCTCGTTTTTGTGCAGCCAATGTTCTCTCTTTGTTTTTCATGTAGTAATTTCGTAAATGTCTCAGCATTCTCTAGTCCGTTTCCTAATTACGACCCCCACCTATTTTAATTGAGATTGTCTTATTTGCCCTCATTTTTGGTGTCAAAAAGCAGTAAAATAGACAATTAACAGTATGGGGTTTTTTCATTCCACAATTATGGTAGTTGTAACTTTATTAATTGCAAGACATAAAACGTTCGGTAATGAGATTTTAAATAATTTATGCTCACATTATATTCAGGCATCTCGTTTACACTTAAATCTAATCATCTAACCAATCTGCTTTAACTGACTGGTTTGATCACATTTACAACTTGTTAGTGTCCGTCGAAATCCTTATTCTTTTCCGTTGTTGTGTCATATATGCAAGAAAACGAGGGCTGTTTATACTGCGCTTTTGTTTGCGGATTCAGCTAGTGTCATCCTTCGAAGATAACGCCATTTGCTCTTCCAAAGACATTTGTCAACCCAGAACGATTTCGGTTGCTTCCATTTGTATTAGTGATAGCCCAAAGGTTTTGTCGTTTAGTATTGATCAGTCTTCATGACTAATTTATTTGGTGTTCCGTTTTGTATCTACCACCGATTGTCATGTGGTTCGTTCGAATTTGTACGTTGCAGTTGCCGTCAACTAGTAGCGTGTCCTGGAATCTTTTTGAACCATCAGACGATGTTAGTATCCACAACATCGTGTGGAAATTTTTGGCAGTCAAAAAAGCAACTTCGAAATCATGTGGGTGCTTGAGGTTTCTATTGCGACCCCGTCACTACTGTCAATCAGTGGGGCCTTATCAGTTGCCAACGTCCTTATATATCTAGGTGTCATCATGTGGCTTGGTATTGCAGGTTATTTGGTTACATCAGAATTTCACGTGTTTGACCCATTTAAACCCCTTTACTTTTAAACCTTACTTTACAGTGTAATATTTGCTTGTAGGTTCAATGCCTCACAGTGGGTTTTGTAAATTTTTATGCTACTGTCACTAAGGTACAATTTTGGTGTCCTCCAGATTCCTGTGTAATTAATTTTCATGACACTGGTTCTTTCGTTGTGAGGCTCTTATTATTCTAATTGTAATGCAAAAACATTTGCTATGCCAAATTTACAATGTACTCGTTTGCACGGAAGTCAGTACATGCATTACCTCCATTCCATTACTTCAGTCGTCTTCGTTGTGCAGTGGTTATAGCGACTGTATACTCGACAACAAAATATTGTTTTGTCCATTTTTTACTGTATATCGCCCACAGCAAAGTCTAGGCTTTCGTACAAATATGAGGTTGCAATGTCGAATTATTTTTGCAAATTGATCATGTATTCTTATGTATTTAGGTAAATGTAGTCACACAAGTGGTTGCATTTTTCTCATAAAATCTGTGTTCAGTGCTTATTATGTGTTGTTTATTTTTAATAATGGCCTCATTTGGGTAGTTGCTCAATCGTGGATGGTATTTAATTATGCTGTAAGATACCTTTTTGATGCCTTCGATCTACTATAGTTTGCAAATCTACATTGAGGAATCTTTGGTTAACTGGTTGTTTTACACGATCCTCGAAGTTTGCAGTATGAGGGTGTCCTTACCGACCTAATCGAAATGGATGTTGCCTTTTTGCTTATTATTTCGCTATGTTTAGGTTTTTCCAAATAAAACGGAAAACTCGGTTCATCCGACCACTCTTGTAGAAGCATTTCCTTCGTTCAACTTTTTAGATCGCGTTGCTTCATAATTAAATCTTGTAAAGCACACTTGAACGTGTGGCTTGTTGTTGCAGGCTATAGCGGTCCGAAAAGGGACAGTCTGAAGCTAATAATATGACAGATCCAGCCACATTTAGTGTTGCTCCTTGGACAGATTACTGATATTACGTTCTCAAATATACTATTGACCACTTTGTTCTCGTTTTTCAGTGGGTCTGATGTATGCAGCTACAAATTCGATATCTACACCTCCCCTGGATCCCTCCAGTAATTTGGTATGTATTCGCCTGCTTTTACCATGTACTTAGATAGTGTACAGCTACTGTATATTGTTTAAATTTACCCTTCCGAGACCTCGTCCCGTCGCTAATTGCATCACTGCTTTATCCTTTTTATTGGGATTATTTTACAAATGCTTGTGTAATTGGGTTTGGCATTCATCTGAGTGGACACTTCTAGACTACATGTTTTCTGAAAAAAAGCTCTAAAATGTTATGGTTGTCTGGTTTTTTTCCTTCTATCGAAATTTCCTTCGGTGTGTTCAGACCACGTTCACACTACCCCCACGTTCTGTATAAAAGGTCTTTATTCTTCCATGTCTGCCATGCAGAACGGATTGCCTGTTGGTGGTGTACGGCAACAACAGGCGCCGTCGGGGGAGGCAATGGTTGAGGATCGTCGAAAGACCAGTAACACCACCTACTCCCCTTCCCGTGCCTTCGACGGTGGAGCTGAAAAGCGGTCGGCCAGCGATTCAGCCGACGGGGCAGCGTCCACTGCGCTTTCCCAGCCGCCGCCTCCCAAACGCGCCTGGCGCGACCAACCGCACGTGGGAAAGTACAAACTCATTCGAACCCTCGGAAGTGGAAATTTCGCAAAGGTCAAGCTCGCGCAACACATCACAACAAAGAAGGAGGTACGTGAGACCTGTCGATGCTGCCCTCTCTGTTTATCTCGTGTTTAACTTCCCTTAAATCTCTTCTAGATAAGAATACACGATGGGCTTTTCATAGTCGTCTCGTTTACCTTGAATGCAACTGCTTGTTTTTTATTGCAAATTCATAAATCAAGTGCTGGAGTAGTTCTCTAAATTGGTGGAAGGAAAAGCAAACGGGGAAGACCCCTTAGGGATGTGTGTAATTTATTAATACTGTTGGCATGCCAGAATAACGCGTCATTGCTTTTCTGTTCTCCCTTCAAGGTTGCTGTGAAGGTTATCGATAAGGGAAAGCTCAATGAAGCCAGTCTCAGCAAGGTGGGTGCTTTTGTATGGTCACTCGCACAATCACTTGTCTGTGATTTTTTTTTCTGTGCAATTTTTTTGGCAGCTGGTTTCCTGGCAAAGCGCATAGCGAGGTTTGTGCATTCAGGCTTGAAAAGATATGATTGGTTGCCTCGTTAGCTAATGTGCATAAACAAGAAGGCGTGATTTCTGTCACTTTAAACGACAACCTTCTAGCCTTACTTTGACGTCCATCAGGGGCTTTTAGGAAGGCGTAAACTCAACTCAACTTGGAGATGTCACGTTATTGCGACCTCCTGTTACGTGCGGAAAGATGCTTTTCACCTTTTTGCCTAAGGCGTAGTTGTCTTCCATTTCATTCTTCGAAACCTTATCCCCGAGTAATGTAATTCGATTAATTCTAATCCCTAGGTTATTCACCAAAAATCCTTTTCTGTCTGCTTTCTTGTCTCCCTGTTGACATCGCTTGAGACCCAAATTAAGACACACTGGGGCTGAACTCCCATCAGTTTGCAACAATTAGCTATAATGCCCATGGATGGCACACGCCTTCGAAGGTTTTGGTGATTTGATGAGCAATCACCGATTCGCAATCGTCGTCTTCGTCTGTCCATCAGCTCCAAGTCTAGTCCGAAAGAAGACGTTTAAATGCCCCTAGTTTCTGAATTCAAGTCTTGACAGTGGTGTTTCTGATTCAGGTCGTAAATTATGTCGAAACTGGTTGCAGTGTGCATGTGATTGGCTGATTCGTAGAAGTCTGCTTGCTCCTGTTATTTGGTGATAGAATTACATATCAGGTTGGTTCGAGTGGAGTTGTTTTATTGTGAAAAATCGCTAGGAGGTCTTCTACGTGGTCGTAGGCACTTCCACACAAAATTGCGGTATTTACTATGATTGATCACTGTCTCACTTGTTTGTGGGCTTGCGCAGCCGTGAGGGCCAGAAAACGCTTCCCCTAAACTATCTGATTAATGCGGAATTCGCATGTTCTCCGCTGCATTTTCTTCCATATTTTGTATTTCGTGTGCGCCAGATGCAAATGAACTATTTTATGTGTAAAGTTATAAGCAGAGCAGATTTTCCAACAGTGATCACTGGAAATAGTAGTTTGTATTTTGATTGATTATCACTTAACTGATTACTTTTAATAACAATTGTTTGGTGACGTCTTGACCAGCTTGTACATCAGTTTCGCATCATGACAATGTGTACAAATCGGTAGTCATTAAACACTCTTTTCACATCCATACATTGTGAATTTTGGGTCAAGAATGTCATACTTTAAACCTGTGTTCGGTCGTTTTTCTGTTCTTGCCGACTGTAGTAGAATGGGGAAAAGTTGATAGCCACTGTGACCGCACCACGTCTCGAATTTAGTGAGTGCTCAAATTCTCTCAAATGGATTTCTTTAGTCATTTTGTGCTTTTGTAGGTACGCCATTATCCGTACATCCTTCAATCAATAAGCGGTCATTCATTCTTATCCTTAAGTATTGCAACACGCTGTAGATGTTCCCTTTGAGCTCTGTCGATGTAAGCGATGAATTTTCTTCTTTCGAATTCCCCAGCTGTGCTACTTCCACTAATGTTGCCATCGCTCTCTCGAATTGCACCTCGTGGTTGCTGTGTGTTTGCGTCTGTGCTTCACACAGGGCCGAATTTCCGAGTCTGTCAAGTGCTTCCCCTTCATGTTGTACTATCGCAAGGATAGCTAATTCCTGTCCCACAACCGCTGAATCTTCAGTTTTTTGGTTAGAGTCCAGTTCACACCGAAGGCAGCGCGATCTGCACCGGCGTCTTGTGTTTGCGTTTGGGCACTTTCAGTTGGAATTAGCATAATGGGAAGGCCAGCATTCGTAATGAGGCCAGTTTGTGTGTCCTCTTATGCAAATTCGTGTGCTAGTGACGTTTTGTTTTCAATGCACTGCGCTTTTTGTACCACCAAAACTTCACTCCTCTTCCCCTTCCTTATTTTACTACCGCTGTGCCAACAGCCATTGTAAGCTTTTCTCTCCATAACGATTATTAGTGGTGTAGGTATAAAATTTAACCCATTTTTCTTGACTCAGATGTTGCATTCGTAACCTTGAATGCCGAGCTTAGTGTTTTATGCTAAACCACGATAAATTGCCTAGGGACGAATCACTCCCCAACACATTTATCCTGTACAAACATACGCCCAAATTTCTTTTACCACTGGCCACTTTTGAGAGCTGTGTAGTGTCTATTTTTTGGTAAATCAAGCTTATTTGTGTTTTTTCCCAATTGTTTTCGCAGCTTTTTCGTGAAGTACGGGTGATGAAACAACTGAATCATCCCAATATCGGTGAGTTCGTTGTTTCCTTTTTAAGTGTCGTTTTATTAATGTTGAGCTAACTCCAGCTCTTGTCGTTTTGGGTGGTCTTATTTTAATTTTTTGGCGTGTGTTGACCTACGCCTGTCTTATTCACACAAACACCCCTCCAGCCAATCTCGGTGTGAATGTTTCTGATTCAGCTCCCTGTAACCACTGCGGGCTCGAAATCGTGCCTGTGCAGTAGCCTACGCCTTGCCTTTTTTGTGCAGACTCGGTGCCTAGATGAAATTCATGTGTTAACAGTTTTTTTTCGCGCTGTCGATTTACTGACGTCTTAACTTTACCCTCGTAACTTAACGTGCACCAACAGGCTGTGGAGTGCTGATTGACATTTCTAGTCTACTTGACACTCATTGACCCTTGAGTGCAAATCCAACGCCGTCAATCAGTTTGCTCGACTTCTTCGTCGTTCCGGTTTCCAGTTGTCTCTGGTGAGGCTACCGGCAAATGTTTTCTGGTGACCTTGGCTTGTGTAGCTGGGAGTTGGACTGCGAGCCATCTCGTATTCAGAAATAATCGAGTCAAGTTTTTACGTTCCATCAACCCCACGAAGCATCGGAAACAAAACTTCATTTTCCCTGTGGCCTCAATCGAGTTCAAAGTCATCTGCGAATTTCTAGTTTACGAAGTTGCTTGCTTCATATTCAACGCTGACATTATTTACAGTTGCACGCCTCACAAGTGGTGTTTACCTAGGGCAAACAGCACTTCGCTGAGCTCGTCACGAAGTAACCTTTCAACCGCTGCCTGGCGAGGTAATTTCGTGGTGCATGCAGTGGTTTCCTCTCTGACTGCGCCGAATTGCACGTCCGTTTGAAATCTGGCCTTTAAACGAGTTCTACTCTTAGTGAAGTAACGCTTGCCATAGCCACGATCTAACCTGACTAGTTCCGATTAATCAAAGGTCCTGCCAAAACGACTTTCGTTGACCACACAAACTGTGTTTAAATGAGCAATATTTTGACTCTAGACTTTGCGCTTTTGCATGACAACACCCTTGAAGAGGTATGCACGCTTCAACTTCACAGAATTTAAATTAGACCACGCTAGTGCAGCAATTCAAGCGTTCAAGTTGTTGTCGCACTTTTGCACGACTTTTTTGTCAATTGAAATGCGCTTGAACAAAGCCGTTTCATTTTACGAATCGCCGGGGCTAGTGAGGTCAGTTGGGTTTGTCAAGAGGGCCTCTGCGTAATCGTTCATTGAGGAATGTTCTCTGGTGTTTCAGGGTTAGTTTTAGCGGGCTAGCGAACGGTCTCCCAAAAATGTTTATGTGTTTAGGTGCTTGGCGTAATCAACTGCTAAATGTGAACTGTGCTGCAGTATTAGCACCCTTACTAATTAATACGGGAATATGTGTTAAACGTTTGAAAATACTTTTGTGTTGGTAGGTGCCGGCGAACAAGTAGTTTGCAGAAGTAGGCTGGTTTGAGATGCGCCTTCAAACAGCTACTGGCGTCTATTTTTTTTAAACTAAAAGGCACCTCACACAACCGTTGAAATGCACCGAGGTTCCAAAGCGGGCACACTTTAACAAGGTTATTCAACTTCGAACATGTGCGCCTGATGGTAAAATCTTAGCAATTTGTGAAAATACTGCACTGCGGTTGACTTACAGTTTTGATTATCAAGTCCACCAAAGATAAGGTACACGCCCTCCGTAAGGTGTATGCATGGTAGCGCATAATAACACGCTGTGATTCACCACAATGCCTCAATTGTGATTGGTTCATCGGACCCCTTTCATTACTTGTGAGTGGCGCGCCTTCCGACTCACCGATGACTCACTCGGGTTGTAACGATGGCAAAGCGCACAAGTTACTTTCGTTGAATGAACTGTTCAAAATTTCAATGCACCAACTCTTTCTGTTGCTAGTTTTGCTTTTTCGGCAGGTATTTTCTCGACTTTGACCGACAAACCATTCCGCTTATGTGTGCCTGAATTTCGTTTTCCCCGGTCTTGTCGTCGACTGACAGAGGTTGTAGTTACGCTATTTCAGTGTATTTCGTCCATCGCTGAGTCCTTCTTTCACTTCGTCGGGTGTTCTTGGCACCCACGTGGACCTGACCTCTCCACTACCTTAATAACTTCTTCAAGGTAGTGCTCATTTGTACCAGTGTGCCTTGGGATTACACCAGCCCTCGTTTGTAATGTTGTGTGGTGATGGTAGCTTAGGTGATTGGCAAACGCACGCACACACGCACGCACGCACGCACGCACTCTTGCGTGACTGAACTCGCGAATCAAGTCAGATATTCGTGCAACTACATTCCGTCTCACGCTTTGACCGTAAGGTGTTTGTTTCGTCACCGTTGTGTGTGTGTGTGTGTGTGTGTGTGCAGCAATCCACATGTTACACTCTGAAGTCGATTTAACGCGTCATAAGTCCTCTCTGTGGTTCAAACCTGAACTGTGTACTTTGCTATTTTCGGCGATGGTATATTTAGATAAGGTTCCCCCGCAACACTATTTGATGCCGTAGCTAAGTTGATTTAGCACGTGACTGTATTTCACAGTTGACCCTCGCAATTGGATGGTTTACGCTTTTTTCAAGGATTTCCATTTTAAATGCTAAAGAAAATGGGACGTGTAAGTAGTCATGGAGACGTGAACCCTTGGGTTTCAGTCGTGGCACTGGTGTCCCACAAGCGCCAAATTGTAACTGGTCTACGTTATTTGAGAGCTTGGATCTGATGGCTTATGTAACACACAGGCTCTTCGAAATCACTTATGCGTCAATTTACCTGTGCTCTTAACCATATTCGTGTCACCTTTACGAGACTTGAAGAGGCCGCTGTTTTTATTCTAGCATTGCACAAATATGTCTCGCGTGATGTGTAATTTAGCCATCATCACCTGCGGTGACCCTTTATATGTCGATGAAATCTTACCGGCTGTGTTTTGTTTCCTTTTTCAACACAAAGCTGCATAGTGTGGTTTAAGTTTACGATTCTTCCTCAGTTACTCCTGTGGCATTTTACTAAGTGCCTTTTCCCCTGGGAGCAGAAATTCGCGTGTCATATTGTCTGAGGCTTTGGGCTCGTTTTTATTCATTGTCACCCATTATCCAGTTGAGGGGAAAAGGACCTCGTGCTCACAGTTATCTCTGGCTTGCTGTCGCCCACGAAGTGGATCTTCGCTTTTTCCAGCACATAAGCAGCTGCTTTTTGCATCGAGTGTTTGTTTATAATGCTGCGTAGGTGGAATAAATTTTGTTTGTCTTCCTCGTTAATACAGAAACCATTCACGTCTGGGGCTTCTGAATCGGCGTCGTAACAGCCTATTCCCTCTAACCTCATGAATAGAAACGTGAAACCTGATTGCCTAACCTGGAAAAAGAGCCGAAATTTCTCCCATTGTTATTCTGCTATTTGCCTTGGCCGTTAAATAGCTGATTTCCTGAGCAGAGTAACAGTGGGGGTGTAATCTACTTAGAAACTTCGCGGAATTTGCATCACCTTAACCCCAGACTTTCTCAATGTGTGAATTGTCTGGAGCAATTCACCGCAGACGCGTTGCAATTTGTGCGTAGGTGTATAGTCTTGAGGCAGAAACGGGTTTTAAAAAATCGACATATTCAGCGGGACCGTTGAGGTATCCATCACAAACCTCGAAACCGCCGTCCAGCGGTATTCAGTGACCGCCCAAACCACGTAACTATTGCTCTACCCAAACGCACATACCGGTCTAGTTACATTTGTTGGGTCACTTCGTCCACCACAGCGTTGCTTTTGAGGTCTAGCCGCATCCACCTAGTGAAACCACTACAAAATGAATCGCGACGGTCTAAAGCCTCTGTAACTGAAGCTCTTTTTTCTAGTTTGTGTCTTTTCTGGCAATCAATTTACATGGATGGCGAAAACTGCTAAAATCCGATTGACTTCCTATCGTCTTTATTTACGGCTGTGTTTAGCTGTTGTGACGTTTTGCGCTGGACGACTCTGAAGCTTCCATAGCGTAAACTTGGTAAATAAATAAAAATCGAGTTTTTTAACATCCTCCTGAAACTCGGGAATTGGTGTGTAGCCGCAAGGGACCAAGCTGTCACAGCAGTTGTTGATTACGTTTAATTACGTTCCTGACAAATCGTTGCTGTATCTGCCCGCGGTTTTTGAATTTCGGGGGATGCTAGGTTTGCGATTTAAATCAATCGTATCACTTCTGGTGATGAATTTAGACGAATACCAATGTGCCGTTTTTTCGCACATAATTTGTCTTCATTTTAAAGGAAAGTGCTATTAATTTGTACTAATTCAGTATTATCATTTTGATTAACTTAGCAAGCCAATTTTACGATGTGTATTTGCTCTTGTAAATTTGTTTCAATATAAGCGAAAATGTATAATGGGTTACTCCTCACATAAAAGGGTCTCCTCTAGGTAAGAAGAAGCCAAAATAGCCCACTTTAGAACATTTTAATCTGTTTTTGCACGTTTAAAGTATTCTGCAAATTTACAGAATTCTTCGCCTCCGCGCGACGCCTTTTAAACCCAATTAGACCACAATATGTCTCCTTCTTCCGTTGTCTATATGTAAAAGGAAGGCTACTTGTGTTCATTTGGCTCGGACAATGCTCTAGTTGGTTAATTTTAATTGGTCGTTAATTCAAGGCCACTGAAGTAATGTAAACAGCTGCACAATGCACTATTTAGACCTACACCAGCATTTTTGACCGTTTTCTATGTAATATCAAGGTAGTAGCCTGAGATCTCCATCGAGCGACATTGTAGAGCACCCAGCTGCCGCCAAATTGCGCAGCGAAACTCATCACGTGGATGCGTTAACACTGTGCCGTCAATGGACTTTGACAAGTGGAGATACGCTCGCCTGATACCTCGCTGCATGACCCTAAAATATAGGGTGTGTGTATGAAGCCTCAATATCAACACCTGTTATCTTATTCCTAATTTATTGCAAAATAACTAATCATGGGAGTAATGTTTGGGAACCGGTAGAGGATAGTTGCTGGACTTTTTTTCTAATTCGCGTAACTCCCTATGATAATCACCACCGCCATTTTCATTCCTCGAGTTCGTTTTACCCACAATTAAAAAACCTCACATACTACAACCACGTAGCTTTGCTGAGTATTCAGCCCACCCGACTGCTACTGTTGGTGGCCTCGTTGTCCGAAACCTGTTTATTTTTTGGGTTGGCTGTTGACATATTGGTGCGGCTCAGCCTCTGTCAGGGGTGTGTCGTTAATTGTCCGGGATTCTGGATCAATACCTTACTCGCCTACGCGTAAAAAAACCGCTTCCATCACATGTATACACTGAATGATAACTGTGTAGTTAGTTTACTTGTGCGCAGAATACAGACCTAGCCTGGCGTTTTCAGTCCATATTCTTAACCTACACACGTAGATACCAACATGGTAGTTCCGGTGTCTTCAGACAGCTGCTTCAGAAATCTGTAACTGCTCAGACTCTGTCCCATTCTGGTGCACGCCATCGGTTTGTTTTACAGATTAACCCCTGTGTCGGGTGTATTTAGCTAGGCCGACTTTTTTTTCGACTAAATCGGCCGAATCGTAACCTGAATTTGCAATGCAAGTAGCTGGCTTCTTCGTTGTTGTATGGTGGTAAATTGCGTTACCTTGCTTTGAAGAGTAATGCCCTATTGTCAAATCCTGTGCTATTTGATTGGCTGTGGCTATAGTTTTAACCACCCAAGAAATCCTTATAATGTCCTTTTCAAACTTTTAAAAAAGAGTAATTTTGCAAAGCCACTCGTTTTAATCCATCTTTCCCTGAAGGCCACACGTAAAATTGTCTTCCAAGAGATTAATGAGTGAGAAATGAATCAGGGTGGGTGGGTTCATTCAAACCCTCCTTTTAGGAATTCTGCCATTCCTGCTGCCGTAATGGATTAGTATTTGGATCACAAGCAACGGTTTTAACGTTTTGAATTTGCTGTAAATTGGAATTCTTCCAATAACTTTTAACTTGACTCAAGTCGTTCACTTTGTCGAAAATGTTTTTCTGATTTCCGAGTTACTAAAATGTCGGCTACTAAATTACAGTCGTGGTTGCAAAATTGTGACTGCTCTGTCGCATAGTGAAACTACCTCGTTCCTTAATTTTATTGTGAATTCCACATCTTTTTCGTTAAGAAAGCTTTTTTCTCTGTTTACTATGCCCATTACTTGTTAATTCGACAAGCAACGACTAGCAGCTCGAATTTTTATTGACACCATCTGAATTACCGTCAATTTTCCCACCATAATTTTCACTTTTGTCTAGAACTTGTGCTGTTATCGAAGTGCATTGTCGCTTAGACCGCTGTTTGCGTCGACATGTCATTAAATCCATACGCAACTGCCTGCTTTTGGCAAACCAGCAGCGAAGTTGCGGCCCACAAGGGCGAACCGCGGAATGCAAAATGTCATTGTTAACGCTCGTCTTTTTTTTTCTCCCCGCCTAGTCAAACTTTACGAGGTGATCGAATCTGAGCGCCATGTTTACCTCGTCATGGAATTCGCCGCCAATGGTAAGTATGTCAACGCACACTTACTTAACCCATGACAAATGTCCACTTTTTTCACTAATTTTATATGCTTTTTTTGGAAGCAGGATGGTTAAATTCTGCGTAAATGCATGTGAAAGTCGTGATTGTTCCCCCGTTGATTGCGCACATTAGGTACCAAGGCCTACTGGTTCTCTTTTTGTGCATTAGCCAGCACTGTCGTGTGGATTTTCGACTGATTGCGGTGCGTGCTCAACCGCGCGGCGGGTACACATCAAGTGCCACACGTCGTGTCTTTTCTCATGCTGTCACTAAACATCTCTCTCCAAGTAGAGGCGCTGGACGCAAAATAGTAGCACACACGTGTTACCTCTCCCTTTACCCTAATGTCACTCGGATAAACCGATTTGTTTTAAGGCTATTGACTAGTAATTAACTCATGGGCTATTTAAACTTGATGGTGTTTAGTGTGCTGTTTGCGTACTTGCAAAAAATTCCAGTGTACCTTTGTGAAATCGAAAGCTAAACTATAGACAAAACGCACAATATCACTTAGTGTTCTATGGATTCTGACTTGTTATTGATAAAACCACCAGGGCTAATTGTACCACGGAGTCTGTAAATGCTACTGCCATCGACCTCAGGAGCTCGTAGTAATTATTCGCATTATTCCAAAGTAGTGATCTCAATCTTCGCAATGAATTGAAGTCTTCTTTTTGGCACGAAAGCTGAAACTAATCCTGAACTAATCTTTCAAGGGCTGCTCGTGGATTTTAATAATCCTCGATGTACTAAAAGGGGAACCAATGTCGCTGGAAATGAGCGTTTCATTGTCCACAACAACAACCCACGCGCTGCAGCGGTTGTTTACACTAAAGCCCAGTCCTCGCCGCAAGAAACGTCATTGCAAGTGTGGCGAACTTTCGCAACAATCGTTTGCACCGGATTTTTTTCCAGTCCACGTGGGTCTACTGGTGTCTGTTGTGTGCAGCTTGGTAGACTGAGCACTGGTTTCATCTGCAATATCGAAAAAAAATCAACGAATCGAACGGCTCTGTGTAACCTCTAAATATTTCCTATTCACATTAATACATCATTGTCCTTGTTCTACGACTCGGAATCAAAATGTACCTTTCATCTAATTTTACAAAGTTGAAAGTTTATAATGCTATTACCAAAAGAGATGAAAATTTGTCTATTTAATCATCTGTATTAAATGCTTAATAACGGTTTTAACAGTACCGAAAATCGATCGTCCCCCACGTGAAGCTTGTGGCTCATCTTCTGCAACTTGAATCTGCTGCTCTGGCTGCATGTTTCGTGATCACTGTTTTAAGACACCTAATTTCACGCAGAGGTCAGAGGCTGCTTAAAAGGCGTTTCAATGTGAACTGCGACTTCATCACTCGGTAGACCTCTTCTGTCTGGGGAACGGTTAGCCCGTTGCTGGTAATTTTGAGGTGGTCTTGTTGCGGTGTCACGCAACACAGCACTACCATGGTTGGCACGTAAACCGCGCTTCGACGTGCACTACCGTGTGTAATGATCACCCAAAACACTAAAATTTTGCGATGTTTTAATGGGCGTTTGCGGTGGTGTGCGAGGTGTCCCCGGACGACATCATCCTCTGCAAATTAACCACTCTGGAATGATATAGGACTTCCATTAAACTTTTAAATGACTATTTAGATTGCGTTTCTTTTTGTAATGACCTGAAAGGCTTTGCACCAGCGTAGTTAGTTGAAACCTTCGTCCAAGATGTTATTTTTTTTTCAATTTCATTGCAATCGCGTTGCTTAGACTATCCCCTCAACTGTATCAAATTCTTTCACAATGACTTAGGCACACATACGCTTAGTAAAGTCATTCGGTTAGGCCTCATTGGTATGTGATTGAAGCTGAGGGGAAGCACACATTTATGTGACTTTATGCTCGATTTATTGTTATTAATGGTGTGACCGGGGGGTGTATGCATAATTGTAAATCACTGCTTCAAGTATGTGATTTTGATCATTCGATACATGCCAGATGAATGCCGCTATTTTCCCAGTTTCACTCAGATAAACTGTCGGTTTTTTGCAGTCGTTACACACTTGACCACTCGGCTTCTTTGTATGTCGGTTAGATGTGTGTTCGTCAAAAAACAGACCAGGCCACCTCACTTCAGTAACGCGGATTGTCGATCGTTTTGTTCCTGATCGCACCGAAACCCTTTACCGTTGCTTCACTACTCTGGATTCCCTTAAAATCGCGATTTCAATGCAATTGTATCATTTCTCGTGTGTCTGGGGAAATAACGTCTTTAGTTCCTACTCGATGAAACTACAGCACCCTCTTTCAACGTGAAACTGCTCTAGGCTTGCTTGCTCTGAAGTGCATTTGGTGCTCTCGTGTCCTTAGCTCCGAAGAGCAGTGCCGTGTGAATGCTGCTCCGAGTCTTATCCAGTGCTGAGTCAGGCACGCCACCCGAGGTGTGCGTTTGACTTTGCACCTGTTTCGCATCATAGGCGTTGGGCCACATCAGCACACTTGGAGTAGTTCCGGAGGAGACACCATCGGTGAAATGTTGAGTTCCACTTCATTCCACAAAGTGTCAAACAAGGTTATTTTTGTTAGGCCCTTGGTTTTGTTGGTTTACCATCCAGTCCCTCTTCTTCGGTGCTAGTGTGTGAAGTTTTTCTTTTTTGCTGTTATGGTTGCGCACTGTACGTTCGGTCGCAGTAGTCGGATTTTGGCCATAATTCCCCCAAGTTTTTCCATTGTCCGTGCTGTTCGTCTCTTGCAATGCCAACGTGGATCTGCGACGAAGCGCTGTCATTCACTCCTTGTCCGAATTCCGCCCGAGTGCGACATCTTTCGTAGATGTCTTGCATAACTTTATTGGATCCAACTAGGGCAATCCAGGTCAAATTACAATCAGGGCAGATCTCCCACAAGGTTTATTTGATCGCATAATTGCACGTTAACAGGTCAGTTCTAATGCCTGTGCGATAGTTGAGGGTCCATTTTGGGGAGCTAACAGTTTATTCGTCACAAATACACCCACTTCTAGATGCTGGAAGCGTTCAAGTGTCGATGGTTTGCTGTGCTTCAGCTTGACTACACATATAGCCATGGCAACCGCGGTCAAACTCTTTGAAAGCCCGTAAAGTGCATAGGGATTAAGAATTTTTCGTATCTTGATGCTTCATAGCATCTTATTGTGTTAGGCAGATACCTGAATGCCCAACGCAAACGACATGCGGTAATCAGAATCGGATATGCGACAGGCGTGTAAAATGCACTTTTACAGGCCCTTTTGATTGGCTTATTTACGTCTGAAAATGGGTTCGCATCCCCAAGACTGTCTCGCGTAGAGCTCCAATGATAAACTTGGATTCGTCTTCTTTGATGCTTTAAGGACTTCTACCCTGGTTGGCCGTTATTCGAAATGTTATTTTACGTTTCCATAAATGTGCCAGTCATAACTGCTATGCATTTTGCTGATATTGGTAGAATCGAATCGAAGCAATACTCACCTGTTGATGTAAGAACAACCACTATGCATGAAACTTGGCCCGCACTGTGCCTCATCGTGTTGCTTTTGAAATCTGTGTTTTGCAAGTCGTTGCTAGTTGCTTTTTCGTTCAGTACGTGTATCTTGTTGGTTAATATCGACAGCCTTCGTTTCCTTAGAATTCGCCCTTCCGCCTTCTCTTGCTACTCCATAATTATTCATTTCCTTATTATATTGAAAATTTTAAACCTTTCGATATCACGGTCCTTTGAACATTTCTACTATCACGGCCTCCGTTTCTTTGGGTTATGCTGAGGAACCCTTCTGATTAAGGTGGAAGAAGTTTTAAAGCAACAGCTTACCAGTCCATGGACGTGTGTTTATTCAAGTTCAAACGTTCGCACCTTAAAAATTCTCGGGATTCTTCTATTGGGTGTTTTTTTTTCCTCGTGTAACTTCCAGCTCGCTTTTTGGTGTCACCCCACAGGTGAACTGTTTGAGTACCTCGTGTCCAACGGTCGAATGCGCGAAAAAGACGCTCGAATCAAGTTTCGGCAAATTGTCTCCGCCGTGCAGTACTGCCATCAAAAAAACATTGTCCATCGAGACCTCAAGGTGAGTCTACCGATACGTGTCCCCTCGTTTTCGCTCTTAGTGTTCCCCACGTGGAACCACGTGGTTACTTCCCTAAGACTCATATGCTGGTGGTTGTGCCATTCAGTTTATAGTAACGATTGCCCTTAACGTCGACACACTTGCCACTTCACCGCTTGTCAGTTCACCTAAATTCTTTTAGTCTCCAGCCACATTGGTCTCGCACACAATAGCACATCTTAGTTGATCAATCTAATAAACAGTTGCCCTTCTCTCCTGCCTCATTTATTCCTTGGGTACTTGGTGCTGTATCATGCCTCAGCACATTCTCTTCATGTTCACCAATACATCTTCGGAACGTAACTGTGTTCACTTGGTCTGATCACTCATCGTGCGCATATTATAGTTTAGCTTTGTATGTTATCTCCACAGATGTGCCCGAACACTGTTCTTCATCATGGTTACTGTTTCGTTAGCTTAAATAGCCACAAGGGAGCATTGCCTCAGAATTGCGTAGCTGAGGCGAGTCTCCGGTGTTTGTTGGTCCTCCGGCGTTACCGTGTACGCCATGGTGCGGAGTTGTTAAGTATGCGGTGTTTTTTTACGCAGGCAGAGAATCTCCTCTTGGACGCGGACTATAACATTAAATTGGCCGACTTCGGTTTCTCCAACACCTTTCGGCCGGACAAGAAGCTGGACACATTTTGCGGCTCACCGCCCTACGCCGCGCCCGAGTTGTTCCTGGGCAAGAAGTACACCGGACCCGAGGTCGATGTCTGGTCCTTGGGTGTCATTCTCTACACCATCGTCGCCGGATACCTACCCTTCGATGCGCAGAATCTTCGCGTCAGTTTTCCATTTGCTTTCTTTGCTTTCCGTTGGTGTTTTTATCTTGACAACGCTTTATAACTGTGAGAAGACAGGTGTGTAACTCGAATCCTGAGTTTTCATCCTCTCGGAGACAGTCAGCCATTAAGGGGTTTATTTTCAGTGCGACAACGCGTTTTGTGGCCTAATGTTCGAAGTGAATAGGCTAGTCAGTTTAGGCTTTTTGCGCTTTTTAAGCATTGTTAGAGGCGACCGCCCAAGTGGAAATCAAGCTTTGCTTAATTATTTTTTCGGTTTAATTTATCTTGTAGGATCTCCGTGAGCGGGTTCTCCGTGGCAAATACAGAATCCCCTTCTACATGTCCACAGATTGTGAGATGTTGCTTAAACGCATGCTTGTCCTTAACCCAGAAAAACGACATTCCCTCTTGGTGAGTCCCGTCCTTCATCTAGCCGCTTTCTTCCTTTATCTTACTGTCACCATTTTACCTCCTTCGTACTCACTTTTGCTTTGCTGTCGTTCTCCCCCGTCTCTGTCTCCTCTCGTTCTTTATTCCCGTGGCTCTCTTTGAATTTTGACCTGTCGAAGCCAGGGCTATGACCAGTTCCGCACACCGGTTGCCCGCGCCGTCCCCCGCGCTTTCCTTGGCGTCACCTTGACACCTGCGGGTAGTACTTAGAGTCCCAACCTTGTGATCCACAGATGGTCTTTTTCCTTCAGAAAGAATGTCGCTTTGCGATTGCCTTCTGCTTCCGCTGTTCATTGTCAGCAGTTGCTTAACGACGCCCCGAATCAAAAGCGCCTACACTCTTGTGTTGCTAGAGCTTTCCCGGAAGACCTGTTTTTTGTTAATTTGGAAAATCCAACATTTGTCACTAAAAGAGGTAACGCGTGTCTACACCCGAGTGCCCCATTAGACCTAAAAAACGTTAATGAATCAATCAAAGTAATTAACTCGAAAAATAACCCACCTTCTCAATTTTTGTGTTAACAAGTCTTGTAAATTCCTCATTTCTGCTAATTTGGCTGTAGATATGAGTTATATGGCTACTTATTAGGGTAAATATCATTTGACAATATCGTAAATATTCCTTTTTTGTCTCGGGATGTGCCTTGTGACGCCTAAATATTCAACGACCTGGCCTTGTTTTTATCACTGTGTCCGCAAATAAACGTTGACTGGCTTGGCAGTAATTGTTCTGGTGGGCTTTCTGAATAAAACCTCTTCTTTCGATGATGTTTCCTCAGCCTCCCCTCGTCGCTAATGCTGGCTTGCAGTACATGCGTAGCGCGATTACGTCTTTCCGCGGCATTTGCCAAAATTATTTGTTCAGTGAATATTTAATTGTCCTCTTCCTTCGCTACTATGTGTCGGTTGTTTTCGGCTCATTGTCATGCCATTTTAATTGCTGCATTACCCTACCAAACATCGATGCAACATCGGCGTTTCCTTGCTTTGCATTATTCATTTTTGCTCCTCCCAACAGTCCGTGATGGAAGACAAATGGACGAACATCAACATGGAGGACGACATTCTTCGTCCATACCAGGAGCCTCCACCCGATTACAACGATCCTGTGCGTCTTGGTAAGTCGCAGGCCCTGCTACCAGGTTGCCGGACTTCGTGCTTATAAATTGGTGCACTTTATGCTGCCTAGTCGGAAAGCCATCCGCACTGGGTTCCGACCGATCGTATTTGCCTCGATACCGACGTACACGTGTGACAACGAGTTCGATCGTCGTGTTGATAATTAGCTGTTGTGTCAACAGTCGGATGGTTTTGGAGTTGACGTAGTTGAGAGATTCTAACTGAATTGCCTCACTCGCTTAACTATTGCATTATTCCCAGCTGACCTAATTGGTGGTTGTAGATGGTTTAGGCTTGAATGCAAGCGCCCACGTATTGTCTGCCTTTACACTTGTGCTTAAGCCAAAATGACTGAAATGGGCTTCACGCTGGAGGAAATCAAGGACTCACTGGAGAATAACAAATTCAACAATGTGACTGCCACCTACCTCTTGTTGGGCACCGACCGAAAGAACTCCAGCTCCACCCCCCCACCTCCGTCCTCTTCCGCCGCTGCGGCTAACAATCAACCAGCTGTTGTTGATGAGTCGCCCAAACAGAAGACTTCCACCCAGAAGGAATCCGGTGCCACCGCGCTAGCCGCGGTGGAAGATTCCATGGTCGAAGCTCCTGGTGGGTTATACTTCCTTTGGTCCCTGAATTAGACTTGCTTTGGTAGATCGTATGATTGCATTAAGCAAAATGAACAATCTGGGATGGATTTAGCGTTTCTGAGGTTCAAAATTTCTGATTGTCTCTGCCTTGCTGACTGCGTGCGTTTGAGTACCATTCCGGCTTTACGTGCAGATAGATGCTGCACGTGTCGCCTCACTGCAGCGCCAATCTGCGCTTAGCTGCAGTCTCTACTCGCGTTTAAGCACAAAGCATATAGGCGTTTGTTTCTGACGTCAACTCCACCGCCTCTGTTTTTTACTCCTTGTCGGTTGTCTGATACACCCTCAGTCTGACGCAAATCGTCAGTCGCAGAAAGCTCGATAGGGTTGGGCCAAATCAATCTATGAAATAGTATTCTAGCACTGTGATGTTGTTAGTGTATTGGCCAGTGCATTGCTCCGATCGTTTGCCATATTTATCTGGTGTTATTACTGTTTCTTATGTCGGATAGTTAAAGCAGCCAGTTCGCTCTCTTGTTTCGGTATTTAGCGTTCATTCGAGAGTAATGATGGGTAAGATGGGCTAATTGGCCCCCTTGCCATGCCTTAGTAAACTGCCAAATAGTTACCCTGCCGCGTACTTTAAACTCGGATTAGGGGTTGCGGTTTTATTGCAACCTCTCACGCACTGAGATCATGCTGCTCTTTTAACTTGCCGCTCCTTTTTATTTCGACGTCGCTCCAGACACTCCTCAGGTTCTAGTCTCATCTACCTCCATGCGGAAGGGATCCTCCACGACACGCGCGAATGGGTCCGCCACGTCCACAGCCCCTGTCACCGAGAACCCCCAATCAACTCCCGAGTCCACCTCGTCTGCCAGCGGCAAACAAAAGCCCACTTGGTCTGCCAAACGAGGGTATGTTTGATCGAGCTTCTGCTGTTTTCAGCGTCTCTTTGCTTGCCCACTTCGAAATTTCCTAGCGATGATATGTTTGTACAATGTGCATGCTTATCCCAGTTAAATGCACACCTTGTAATCCAATTTTGCCTCTGTTCTCCCACACCTATGTGTTCATTTTCCGGGTGTTTGAAAATTCGCCTCACCTCGTTAACTGCTACGTCGTTAAAATTGACCGACCGCTAGCCCATGGTGAACCAGATCGGGGAAATAATTCCAAGCCGATATACTCCTCGTAATAATAATCCAGTACAACATGTGTCCTTCCACTCTAGCGAAACCGCTTCAGTTGACTCGACCACCGGATCGGCCAAGGTCGACAAGCCAAAAACAGCAATTCCAACCACCCATTTCGACACCCCTCGCCCCACAGAGACTGGAAAGGACTCCAGCTCCAATCGATCACCCGTCAAATCTGGAGGTGTCCGGCGGACCCGCACATTCACCTCGTCAGACAAACGACGCAACACCGTGGTTGTTAGCGGCACGGGTGGAAGAATTGGCGTCTCCGGCGCCAATGGTGATGCTGACACCTCAAAGGCCCTTGTCCGAGTTCCTAATATGGACAATATTGTAGAGTAAGTTACTGTTGGTCGGTGGTCGTCGTCATCGTCGTTATTTCTTTTAAATGACAGTGTTTATGCTGCCAATGTATCAAGTTAGGAGCATTACTTATGCATTCGCTAATGTCGAATGTGTGCGGCTTTCCAAAATTCTGCTGGAAATTGACAAAGTGACTCATTGTGTGGGTGTTTTGTACCACGTTTGGTGTTTTCGTGAGCAAACAAGAACCCCTTCTGTATTTAATCCGAGTCTCCAATGAGTCATTTTATCTCCCTGCCAACGGATAGTTCAGCTGAACCGCCGAATTCATCCAATTCCACCACCACTGATACGCCCACGTTCCAACTTAGATTCTCTGAATTCACATTATTGATCTCCTACTGTTGTTAAGTTTGCTTGCTTTCTTCGCATTTTCGTTTATTTTTTTTTGGAAGAAAGTATACTTTTTTGTGACAACATTGCCTCTTTTTTGCCATCACGACGTCTCAAATTATTGTACATACTTTCTCCTCTGAAACATGTACCTATTTTCGTAATTTTGCTCTCTCATGGTCATGATTTTTGTGAGTTAAATGCGATATGGTTATAAGAACGTCCTTCGTAAACCAGATAAACCTGTTGTGTTTTCTTGTTCACATGAAAATTACTTCTGTTTTTATCGAAAATGTTCAGGTTTTTGACTTCGGCCTTTAACGCTGGTTCAAAACTAGGGTTAAATGCTGGTATTTTCGCTCTGATCAGCGACAGATTAGCCTACTTTGATGTGGAAGCAGCTGAGAAGGATTCATTAATTTCTGGGAAGGCTACATTTGGGATAATTTCATCGTCCTATTTCATTCATTTTCGTTCTTTTATTACACACTCTTTTAGTGTATATAGAGTGGTGGCACAGGATCGCGACTGTCTACAATATTATGCAGTATCATTCCCTCTGTTAGCACTGCTGATATAGGCTCCCCTCTTGATATTTGTATGGCTTTTTCGGTAACTGGACACTTCTCAAGGCCATCAATTGTACAAATCACAAAGCCGAGTGAAATCCTTGCGGTTTCGACTCATCTTTTTATGGGCATTACTCCCCACCACGTAATTCTTCATGCTTTTTGTAGTATTTGATGTTTTTTACTCTCTTAACAGTCGACTCAACGATCCTACTAGTGTTGCTCAACTTGCGCGTAGTGTGTCCATAAATTCTGGGAAAGACTAATGTTTCCATCGAATTGTAAGGGAAGAAGTGTCGGAACATGATCCCGCAGTGGGGAATTCACTTGGTTTGCCAAATGCCTGCTTTTTATCGGAATTCGCGTTCGAATGAGTATCCTCGCGACTGTTCCACAACGGTAACCTGCTTACTCGATTGGTGCAAAGTCCAATATAAACGCGACCTTGAGAAGAAGCTTACAGTCATATTAGTTTCCTCGAGTTAAATAAGTATCACCTAATGCGAAGGCAGATAAGAAGTGCCAACAACACGCCTAATTTTCTCACTTGCGGTTTGCCAATCAATTAATGTGTCAGTAATTATGAGGTATGCGCGGTTAATGCCCCAGTGCTGTTGCTTTCTGTTGGAGACGATTTTTTTCACAACGCGACGCAGGCCCCACCGCAATTTTCACACGTGTGTGAATGTTAAACCGTTCGATTTTGAACACGGTTCCTGCTTTTCTGGCCTTGTATCTCTCCACACTCTCGAAATACGCTATCAAAAAAAAACATAAAAAAACTTTTATCCTTGACAATTTTAGGTGCTAAACGATCATTCACTACTTGACCTGTAATTTAGGTGTTTTGTGGACGATCTAGTCCATACGGAAGGTAGGTTCCGCCCTTGCTATGGTGCGTTTTGCTCCGTTTGTTTTTGTGTATTGACGCTCTGGGCTCAGTGGCTTGCGGTGCGCTGGCCTGCCCCTCGCTTCGCCGCACCATTCGGTGCCTCCACCGGGGACGGTTCCATCAGCTCCGTCCTGGTGGACCGCGAGATGACATTTTCCAGGTGGTGTGTGTGTGTGTTTATGTGTGTAATATAACCCTGTCTTTCTCGAACCCACTTCTCTGTGTTCTGCTATTTGAAGTCCGGCGTTGGTGACCTGGCCTTGTAGTTCAACGTTTTGCAGTGCCTGCTAAACCCTTCTGGTCACCTAAAGCGCACACAACACCGACAACATATTTCGTGTTTTTTTTTTAAATTTTGCTCGACTTAGACGTGTTGGTGTCCAGCTTCATTTGTCTCCTTTTGGTGTTGAGTGCAATTTATAAGTAGGGTGCACCTAAATTTTAGCTGAAATTACAGTCGTTTGTTCACTCTTGATGGAACCCAGGCTAGAAACGAATCTTAAGTGGTCATCAACAGTTGTTCTCGGCTTTTGACTCCCAAACACTCATACATTGACGGAGGCGGCGTCATCTCTATGTCCATAGTCCGAATCCTGCCGATTTCCCAGATCCAGACTATCAGACATGCAATTCCCAGCAGTAAAATTTACGAATTTTCTTGCAGTTTGTGCGCCTGCATAATCTTTTCCTGTTTGCGCTTTGCCTTCACAGCCAGGTCGGCGACGAGTCCTATGCCGAAAGGGACGCCTCAGACAAGGAGTTGGCTGTCGACGGTCTGGGAATTCACTCTTCCTCTAGTGGTCGGTGTGTTGGCGTTGGTTCGAGCGATCCGCGTTTGGCCAAGGCGCTGACGCAGGCGGCCACACTCACCGGTCCCGTTTCCGCCGACGCGCCGACGTCGTCTGAGAAGGAGGGCAGCGAGTCCACCGCCCTCAGACGCCATGATTCGTACGTCTTTTCCACTAAGTTATCTCAGCCTATAACTTTCGCTCCACGTTAGTTGCGTGTAGGATGTGCCAAACGATCAATTCTAAAATACACCAACCCCTCCCGTGATCTCATAGTCAAACAACTTGTTTCAATTACCTATTTGTAATAAGTAGTCGTACTTAATGTGCCTCCACACACACACATCTAGCTCCACGGCCGAAAGCGTCTCTCAGCTTTCGACCACATCTCCGTCCTCCCAACTGGGAGCCGGCCGTGGTGTTGGTGGCAGCGCTCTCTTCTGTGGGTGGGTCTCATACCTCTCCATTTCAGTGTGCTTGTTGAACCTTCATTGTAGTGTGTGTGACGACTTCACGTCGCTACATGGTGCACCTCACATTAACCCGTGTCGTTTTGTGGTGACCCAACATTGGTCGCATTTGCGAATCCTTCCGAGGCACCATCACACATGCACGCGCATTCGCACTCACCAGGAGGCACAATTGTCCAATCTAGTGTAGTATTACGCGTGATTCCTTGCTTTTGGCCGTGTGCCGTGATGCATTTCCTGAACACACGACGTCGCGTCAACCTTCAATTTTTCCCCTACAGAAATCGTGTTGTTCGTGTCGTGATTTCCTTGTTTTGCTTATGTGTTATTTTGGATCATGTAGTGCTGGTTCCCTCATGCACGAGTTTTCCTAATTTATGCAAGGGATGATGCTTGTTGTCCTGCAGTGCAAATCTTTACCTGACGCTACAGTTTTAACAATTTTTTTTCCTAAATTTCGCCCCTTCGACAACGCCCTCCTCCCGATCGAACAGCTTCTGGAGACGCATGCGAAGGTAATCTGCTCTCTTGAAATTGTCTTCTAATTTGTCATTATTGCTCATTGGCCAGCTGACGCCACACTATTTGTTATTGTGACCCATGTTTTGATTCGAACCTCGATTAGATCAAAATACTGGGGCTTCGTAAGCACGCATTTCCTGTCGTTCACGTCCAAGAGGTGCTAGCTTCAAACTGCATGCTTAGAGTTCCCATAGTCACCATCCTAATTTCATGCCCTGCTGACTCGCCTAATCCTATTATCGTGAATACACCTTAGTTTTAATGTAATTATTCTTAACTTATTCCTATATCCAATCCACTTGGACCTTGAATTTGTCGTGGTATGCATTCCATGCTGACAGACTCGTTCCTTACTCTCCAGAAGCATGTCGCGCAGGCCCCAGCGCAACAAGGTTTCGCGTCCAGCTATTCGTTTTGAGGCTGCCGACGAGATCATCTCCGCCGACCACCCTTCACACTCGACATCTAACGCCGAAGGCTCACCCCCCACCAACGTAGTCCCCGCCTTCATGCGCGGCGCTCCAGACCGCAGTACGGCTCCGGCGGCACGCTTAACGCATCGCGTTGAATACTCACAGCGCTACCGGCCTCCCGAGGTCGCTAAACCTCGACCGTCCGAGGAAGAGACGGAGGCGGAGGTCGAGCCGGAAGTTGTGCCAGAGACGCCTATAAAGGAGACCACAAAACCCACCGAGTACCACTCCTCAGGGTCGTCGGCTTTCATCAGAAGCGTATCTTCGCGGCTCTCAAAGAGGTGATTCCGTTTTCCACGATATTTTCAGCTGTGCTCCCTAAGCTACTTCTTTGTGTCGGCATAAATCAATACTCAGTTGCCTCCTGTGCAATGTTGAATTACGTGCAACTGTTTGTGCAGCACCTTGACATTCACTACGATTGAATGAATGAGATGAAACTTGTTTATTTGTGATCCTTTAGTCGGATTAGTTGACTTCTTTCCTGTCTCGGATCAATGCTGCCCAATGTGGCCTTCTACTCATTCAAGTTGTTTTTGTAATTGCAATACATATGCAGAATAACCACTAATACCACCTTTCTGCTTTTCTTCACCCCATTCTCTGCAGTTTCCGACGGAAGCGCGATCGATCACAGTGAGTCAATTGCACGTAAACGCGTTCTTTGCCACCACCACTCTTCCCACCCGTCACCACACAATCGCCCCTTTCAATCGAAGCACTTTTTGTGCGCCGATTAGGTGGATCCTTTCAAGTCATCCATGGAATCATTAAAAGGTCTCTACCTCTGCTAAGTTCTCGAATTTCTCTGCGTTCATCGTGAAGGCGAAGAAATGAGGTCTTGGAAGCTACCTTAAGCGTCGCTTCTCCAATTGAGTGGTCTCCAGTGTGTAGGGCTCTCATTGGTCAGGCTTACTGGAAGACTTGGAGGGCGAGGTCGAAAACGCAGCACCAGGAAAAACGTGCTGCTTTTCACCCACTCTCAAGACCTCGTTTCGCTCCTTTGATGTAACCAGAAGGATGTGAAGACTTGGCAGAAGTAGTGCCCTATTTAGGAGTCCATCTGTTTGCGATTTGTCCTAACGGCCAACTGATTGCTTCAAAGGTGTTTTATATCGGCGTGTTTGCTTTTCCCTGTAAAAGTAAGCGCTTTCTTTTGGAAATCGAAACTACCTTGGTTAGTAAGTGTGGTGTCAGTGTTTCGTCAGTTTTCGGTGTGGTGACAGATGTATCCCCCGCCAGTAGTACTATTGCACCTGTTTTACTGTGATTCTTGCTTCTACTTTTTTTTGTATTTGCTTAGCCGCGCACCTTGCATTTGCTACTTAATCAATTCCGCACCACATAATCCCAAGTCCTTCTTTCTTCCAAGTAGCGCCGGTATGCGATTGTCCTATCCGTTACGTTAGGATAATGCGATTTTGCTGTTCATTTTCTACGACTTGGTAGACGGTTCTTTTGTTTGCAAAACCCTACCTCATGTGCCATGTTTACGGTGGCCTAGTGGTCGAATATGACGTGGTAAAGCTCACCTCCGAAGTATGCGCTACTTGAGAGCATTAGTCTGTTGAAATTCTTGACTGGTCTTTAAATTCTGGAGAATCAAGCGGACACCTTCGGCTTTTAACATTGGCCGGTGTGTGCCGTTTAATACTAATATGCCCAGTCCCAGTTATCTTTGAACCAAACTCGGCAACCGTGAGCTGGATCCTGTGTAGGTTTGAATCATTCCGAACCCCTATTCATCTTGATACGGATGTAGCTACCGCTAATGGCTACCTTGTGAAGAATGCCTTTTGGAAACAGTTTCGTGTAATCGTCGAAGTGACCACGTAGCAAATATGTTTTGTCAGCTTTGCTGCTGGCGTTTTGTCTGGTGTTCGTTTGAATCGGTGTCTCAGCAGTGCCCATGTTTTCAAAGCTGCGTAACTTTGTGTGGTTGTAGCGTAATAGCTTGGATGTTGAATGAACTTCAGGAAGTTGGTATTGTGTCTAAATGACCGCCGTCTCCTGCTACGCATGACCGAATTCTGATCGAATTAAAGAACAGTGATCCCCCATGGTCTAAATGCGGGATCTGTCACTTAATTGGTGGTACAAAAAATTTGGAAAATCTAGTTGTTAATATCATTTCGAAAACTGCCTGGAATCGTGTACTTTAGAAGCCTTGATGTTAACCTAATTTTTTTGCTGAGTTGCCGTATCTCCCTGTTCATGTAAGCGAGTGTTTTATACTTTCCTTAGCTGGTTTAGGAAAAATTATTGTGCTTAGCGGTCTGTACAGGTAACGTGGACTTCCATGTCCAGATTTGGTGATGGCTTCCGGTGTAATTCCCTTTCATCAACATTAGCTCAAGTCAAATTTTCGTGAGCCACTTATCCGCAAACACTGATTATAAAGAGACCTTTCTTTGTAAAGTCGATCGTTTACTGGTATTTTGCTCTAACAACCGCGCTCAATAATTTCCTGATGCATTCAAATCCCCTACAATTACTCCGCCTGTTCCTGTTCTGTGTTCTAGTAACAGAATGCCAGCAGCGCAATCTGTCGAAGGTGGAAAAGGCGACAAGGAATCGGGCGGGGGTGGAGGAGGTCATTTGGTGGCCTCAGACTCGCCTATTCCGGCTCATCGCGCCTTTTCTTCGGAGGGGAAGCCCCATGAGTCTGCCGACGCCGCCGCCGCCACCACGACAAGCGCCACCGACGATCCATGGAGCCCTATGTTGCCAGCAAAGGTCAATCCTGAGGGTAGGTGTGTTTTGTTGACGCCATTCTAGCATCATCATCCTTGGTGTTCTTTCCAGAAAAATGCCGGTACTAGGCGCTTTTCATCACAATTAAAACTCATAATTTTAAAGCCTGCACTTATTATATGAAAGTCTCGATTTCGTGGTAGTACAAGTCAGGGTGCGGATTGAGATTGAATCAAGGGCTGACTGCTTTCACTGTCACAAAAACTCCTGCTGTACTTTTCTTAGGTGACACCAAGGTTGCAGTGAGCAACAGTCTGGAGCCCCTACTTCCTGCCTGTTATGACAAGAAACCGCGCAACATTACCTTCTTCTCAAGCGCCTGGCGAAAGGCCTCCTCCTCCGGTGGCAGCACCACCTCACTCCTCGGTTCGAACCCAGATCGGCTAATGAGCCAGCTGATTGGTGCGCTCAGCGCCGCGCACATCCACTTTGCCAGGTTGGGCAAGTATCGCCTGCAGTTTGTCTACTCGCCCCCCGCTCCGAATTCGTCGACTAAGTCGCCTTTGAATTTTGCTGACAAGGTGACTAACCGTGTTCGCGTTGCAGTGGAGATCTGTCACGTCATGGCAACAAGCTCCTACGTAACTCGCTTCAAAAATCTCGCCTCCCCGAATTCCCACGCCTCTACCACGGAGGACTTCAAGTCGGTGACGCAGAGCTTAGTGCGGATCGCGAAGGCCTCCTGTGCTTCAACAACCCCATCCTCTTCGTAGTATTGACTTCGAAGACCATCTGTGATGTGATTTTCCCGACCCCGTCTCTCCCCTCTCACACACACTGACCCTCGCCCATTTCGCGCTTGATATTTTTGAGATCTTTTCTGCTCTGCCACTCCTTGTGTGTGCGTGCGTGTATCTGCGTTACTCTATCTAATCGAAGCTCCTACAGTAATTGTGTAAACCGATTTGATTCAGACCTTTGCTCCCAACTTGTGTAAAAGACTCGCAAGAATCCTCCCTCGCCCTCTGCCCCACCCTCCATTACCGCCGCCCCAGAACTGAGATGAAGAGAAAACTACGCTTGAATTTGAGTTGCACTTGTGTAAATTTAACCGATTTTTACCAAAACCTGGGTCAGCCAGCTGCTTTTTCATGCGGGTTTCAGGCAGTGTGAGCGACGCCGCATTGCTTGCGTGTAAAGCCGTTTTGATCGCTTTGTCAGTATTCGGAAATAATCTCTTTTAACTTCGGACAACTTCGCATCAATGTATCTCTGATGTTTTCTCTGCGGTCATAGTTAGCATCAGGAATCGCACACAAAAGAAAGGGTGCGCATTTTAGAGGTAGCCGGCAAAGAGAAAACGCCATTTAGTTGGAGCCCATTTTTCGACGTGGAGGCGCGCAGGTTCACATTTACGAGTTTACTTAGAGAGGCGGGGCTCATGTACTCAATAGGTCCGCTTTATTGATACACAAAAGGTCCCGCAACATATTGCAAATTCTAGTGTTTAAAAATTGCTATCTTGAGAGCCTGGAACGTGATTTGCGGTGTCGCTACAGAATATTCACATGGTACACAAGCATGCTGCTTCATCGAAGTTCTGTTGGCGTAAAAGTCAGGTTGACTTTATTTCCGAATATTTTTGCAAGAATTTGAATAGTTCCAGAGTTAAACTGCATGATCCCTGCCTCAGTCCTCACCCCTAGTTACGATACGGTTCAAGTCTCAACCAGCCTGTGTACGAGATTATCATACCTGGATTAAGATAAAATCCACTGAAGCGCTAATCAACTGATCCTCATGTTCACTACTTGGATTTATCCCCCCTTTTATATGCACACATGAAAAGCAGGTCGCGTCACAGAGTTGGTAATGGCTAAAGTTACCCTACGTAATATTTACATACAAATAACTGATGCAGAAGTTAGGCAACGCCTGATGAAGGCTTTGCAGTTTTGGGTCTCGGCTGAAGCAACTCATCCTCCACATTTTTATCCGCCAGCTCGACACGCCACCGTATGCCAGGACTGTCGCTACGCCTGATGTAGTAGACATTTCTTTGTTCATCCGCGCCGCTAGTTTTTTCAACAAGGCCATCTTTTGCCTGCATTTCGTAGTCGGGGAAAATTCTGATCTTCTCTTCCTCTGCTGGTTCAATGGGCACCTGAAATAAAGGGAGGTCACGGCTTACTACAAGAACTCAAAATTAATGAAATATCGAAATGCTTTTATTGAAATTGAGCTGAATGTTATTATTGAGCAATGACGAAGAAGTGAATTCTAATGAGTGCATTGGTTATCATGCAGATCATACGTTAGAGTTTGAAATGCTTTTTTAAAGATAAATCATTCTCTGATATGTTTTAGAGCAATGCATTAAAAAACCAAGTCCTCGATTTCATAACAACAGATTTTAAGCCGAATTGAATTATGCAAGTAATGAACAGCAGAAATGTCGAGGACAGAAAAAGAAGGGAACAAAGATTCTTTTGTGAGTAGATTGTGTGGGGGGGGGCATATGGAGGACTACGTCCATGTGAGCTGTACCGAGGCAGGAACAAGGAGATATCAACACATCTTTTAAGATGTTTAGCAAAGAGGCGGCTAGAAGAAATGAATTTCCGTGTAAAAGCTATAACTAAAATACTTGCGAAATTTAAGGTTGCAATTCATGATAAGTACTTGATAATGGTTTAAGAAAGTGTGGTCGAGAGATGAGATAAGAAAATACCAGAAAAAGAGTAGGATCATCTGGGATTTTCGTTAACAGGAGAAAGCCTTCTCCTTCTCGCGCAGCAGGTGTCGCATTTGGAGGAACAGCACGACGTGCGGCGTCAATAGTAGCTTGGGGGATTTTCCCCAGGCGCTGCAATTTGATGGCTAGAACTGGAGGCATTGGTGCAACACACTTAATTGGCACGTCCGGGGCAGAAACATCTTTCTGGGAGGCAAGTTCCTGTAACTTCCTCCCCTCTTCGATCGATAGAAGACGAAAATCTGGTTCGTATGATTTCGGGATGGGAGCGACTCCAAAGTTTCTTCCACGAAACACACGTTCAGCATAAGCACGACACCTAACACCAGACTAAACAAGAATAAATCTGTTTTCACAACAAGCCTTCCTTATAAAAGAAAAAAGGACTATTACTTACTGAATCCGACATTAAAGGATCAATATTTTTGATGACATAGAAGCATGGCTCTTTATACCTACTTTCTTCTTGCTCTTTAACAACGACACGCCCACGTCCTCGGTTGCATAAATTCTTAGCAATTTCACTAAGGTATTTTCCATAAAAATCTAAGGAAGGCCGTCCCACGAACTTAATTTTTGGCATTTTACTTTAACCTCAACAATTGACAATTTCAGCACACAATTTTGAATTTGTTGGGGTAATAACAATTTCACAATTCAATCCATTTTATTACTAATAGAAATACGGTTGTAAAATCTATTTCAGGTTTCATTTTGTAACTGATTACACTGCCTCTATAAATGAGTTACAAGTTTTGGCTATAATTAATAACAATGCAGTCCGAATGACGCAGTAACTTGTTCACAATTTGATGGTAAATTGTAAACGATTTTGCTTGTATTCCAGTGCAACAAATAACCTAAATGAATAACTACGGAATATTCTTTGGTTTTTTTATGATTAAATAAAGTCCATATTTGTGCAGAGTATTTTGTAAATTTGCTTATATATTTAGAAATGATTAAGAAAGTTGCTTCTTATACAAGCTCGGAATGGTAACTGAATGCACGTCAAATGATTATATAGGAGATGTTTTCGTTACCCAATAATTTTCCATTATTTTAACTCCTTTGGATTAAGCATCGCTGATAGACGAAATTTCGCACTTAACTAAAACATAATTTTAATAGCAGGACCAATTTCAGCATTATTATTGCTTAATTTCACGCTGAAATTGGTGCCTAAATGTCAGTTCAGCTGAAGAGGCTGTTGTATTTAATTTAGAATAGGAAAAAGGATGATATTCCTAATCAAAATTACCTACCAGAATAAGATAACTAATCAGTCTAAGTATAAATGTTTTCAGATTTACTTATACGTTTTGTGCTTTTGTGAGTGTTCATCTTTCACTTCTTCGCCAAATTAATTGATCTTCAGATCATAGTTTTGCTCCAGTGATAACCCGGACCAATAACGACCAATATTTTCGTATTGATTTTCTTCTTATCCCCTCCTCTCATGTTACGTCGGTGGACCTGTGAGTCGAGTGAAGGATTCTGACCACAACTCTGTCGCTTGTGACTAACATTCGTCATACGCCAAATTCTTTAATGAAAGATTTGTGATTAGTTTTAGTCAAATTTAGACTGGTGTCCAAACCTTTAAAACAGTTTCAAGCCGATCACGAAATTCACTCCAAATAAATACTTGACCCTGTCAAATATATTCACTTTATCGGTGAAGCTCAGACCTTCGCAGTTTATCTAATTTTTTTAATGATTACTGTAGTTAGGTTGCAATTTGTCATACGGAGTTAATTCTTTATCTTCCATATTTAAATGTTCCGTGTGACAAATTTGGCATCGCACCTATTTGGTGGCAGAATAATAGCTTTTGCTAACTTACACAACGCTACTCATTTATCGTTAGTAATTCGTATTTCCATCATTTTGTACTATAGATTAAAATTGACGTAAATGTTAATCATTCTTGTACCTGGAACTGACAGAACGGGCAATCTGATTTTTCTGGATATTGCCTTGCCAAAATTTGTAGGCCTAGCACTTTGATATTTACCGATCTTATGAAGGCATTTACCTCAGCAACTTCTTTTTGTTTGGCAAAATGCAAACTGAATTTCCAAAATACTGAAAATTGAATGACTCGGAATTGCAAAAAATTACCTTCCTCTTTACCTTTCTTGAGGAAATTAAGCATCGTCACTAGGACCTCGTTTTGAGGTCCACGCTTTCAATAGGCAGACTTAACTGAGTGTGTCAATCAACTTGTATCAGAACAATTTCAAACTCATGCCAATTTTTAGGGTTTTAAACTTTATTAATTTGCGTAATCAGTTGATTGCAACTTGAATAACACTCATTTATTACCCACAATTTTTTACAACAGGAAATGGGATCCGTTGAAATTGTTGTGATACTGCATTTTGTGCTGTAATTGGCTTGTTTTCGGCAATTTTTAGGCGTATTTGAAGTGCGGCTTCTTCAATCCACATAAATGATGGATACTTCAGTTGTTAAAGTAGAAGGCCCATTATCAATCTGCACCAAAATGTCGTTCATCAAATTCAAATTCAGCAACTGACAGTTAATTCATTTCGAGTGATACGAACAGGAATTTCGGAGGAAAGTAGGGTTTTTAGGCAATTGAAGCAGAGAACGGACATGTGCACAAATGAGTGCTAGACAACCAATTAGAAATATCCATTATAATTTCTAACACTCGTAAATAACCCATGATTTAGCCCGTATTTTCGATCTGATTTACAAAATGCATTGTTTACGGCCTACGTTTGATAAATTTGATAAATAGCGCTAATGAACATAAGATCTTTGCCTTTATTTGTCACAAAATTGATGTTACTTTCACAAATTAGAAGAGTAATGGCATACGGAGTTTGGCAGCTATCCTGGATTAAAAGCTTCATTTAGCTACGCACAATGTGGTAGAAATTTGATGTTTCAAAGTCATTTCAATTACTTGCATAACCCATTCGAGAAAGTTAATTCAACAAGGCAAGAAAATTTGCGCAGATCTTTTATAACTCACGCAGCTGTGAATGGGTGAACCAAAACTGAAACGCAGTCATAGAGGCAAAGCCTCCCCTGGTCTGTAACTGTCCTTTTATGGTACCAGAAAGTGTGAAATGGGCTTAATTTGGTGCAGATACAACGCAGTTGTGGCAGATTGACGCCTAAAACGTTTACAGGCCAGATCACAGTTTGCAAAAAAGAACGACTAGTTTATATTAGACACTTGGCAAATAGGTTACCTGAAGTGCGTAGAAATGTAATTTGAGAAAGAGACTAGTATTTTATTTAGAATCTGAAGTGATTTAACTGAAATAGGGACAGGACAGGGAAATGGTCAGTTTGGAGCCAAACACAAAAAATGAATGCACCGACGCTAGATTCTAATACGCGTTTAAAATATGCTCGCTGGTAAACACGTAAAGGTGTATATTATGCACACGGAATAGTTAATGACTTTTGAAATTATGGGATTTTTAAGTGAGTATTTTTAGTAAATCCCAAGGAACAATTGTGAGTCCAGCATGTGGTCTCAAGCCACACCGGGGCCACTGCGTTGAATCTGGCCCGATTACATTACCCCGCTACCCCCGATATTAATGATGAACAAACGGGTTGTGGACACAACCGTTTACGTCAGAAGTCGACCAATTTGGTGTCGCGTGTGGCGTGAACTTATAGCCCAAAACGAAATGCGTGAAATGAGTCGCAAATGTGCTAAAATCGATACCTAGATGAATGGTACCACACGTTGTTATAATCCAGGATAAACGTTTGCACTAAAGAGGTTTGAGTCGGGGTTCCGATTAACTGACGGAATGCTGTGAAAAGGGGGACCTTGTGTCAGATTAACGAGTGTGAAAGAATGCGATTCACAACGAAGCTAAGAACGAATTCCGACTTTGAAGAAATTAAACGGGGACCGATCGAAATGGAGCTAAAAATTGAGGGGAATTTGTTTATTTATAGCAGCCTAACCGACTGCGCCTTATTTCAGCCTAAAGCATATGCGCAAACCCAATGCTTCTACCTTAAGAACACGTCTTTTGAATATTAGGCCATAGTCGACTTTGTAAGCTGCATCAATAAGACTAGGCCAATTGTGTTTCCAAAAAATGCGGTTTATAAGTAAAAGCATTTCTTTGGTACTGGTCTGATAGGGAATGAATCCAACAAGGGTCCTTTTCCGTCTCGACAATGTGGCGGTCATTCGTTTAATTTTCACTACGCTCACGTGCACCATTTAGAAACACCAAATCACCATCTTTTTCCATCTCCTACTATTATTAAGAAAAGTTCAAGTTTGAAATTTTCGCGCTCTGTCTGTTGAGACCTATTAACTAGGTATGCTTTACAGCGTCTAGACATTATCTTCCAAAAAAGTTAGAAAATCACACTTTATCGACACTGCGATTTTGTGGCCTAGGGCTTAACTGGCATGTTTCCGTAAAAAGACGCGGGGAACGAACGCCACGTTGTCGACGCTAGCGCCGCGCATGCGCATACACGATCGATTGACTGCAAAAGGCGCCCTCACGATTGGTCACAGTGACGCAATTGCAGTGCACAACGTGCACGTTTGCATCAGTCATATTAGAAGTTGAAAAAAGTTGTTTAAACAAGTCAAGCATGAGAAGACGCACGCGTACAAAAATTAAGTTACACGTAAACACGGAATTCACTCGCACTTTTATTTCTGTGTTTTAATAAGATCATGGTTTGTAATAACCAATCTTGATATTTTGCCATTAGAAACGCCCGCATACAGCTTTCGCTTCGATGTATGCATCAGCCACTCGAGAGGCTCATTGAAGCACCATATAAATAATAAAATAGGGATCAAACTAGATACCTCCAGGATAGACGTTTCGGATTATTGGGTTACCCAGGGTTATTTCGAACCCATCTTCGTCCACCAATCACGGGACCGGATCGCGGTTCTGTGTGGCTACTCCTTATCTATTTTCGGTCCTAACTGAGCATGCGCCGCTCCTTATGCGGTTTAATCTGTTTCGTTGGTGCTCCGACCCGAAGTCACTCGTCAAATGACCCCTAGGTGTGACAGCCGTGTTTAAAGGGTGGACGTACAACCCATGCCTGGGTGAAAACAGCGGAATGTTACATAAAGTATTTTGGCGGCGCTATGTGTAATTAACAAAACCTTTCGCGGCTACAAGATGGCTTCTAAAACTGAAAATGAGTTTCTTAATCCTCTACAAATCTTTGATTTAGATTTTAAATAATGTACAACAGCAGTTAAAGACAAGTACGGCATAGCAGCGGCTAAACTGCAATGAGTGGTAGACAAATTCGCACCAAATCTATGACCCCAGCAACTATTGAACGAGGAAGAGGTGTACACGCATGGGAAGCACGATTTATTATTCGCGAAATGACGAAGGTCAGGGGAGATGAGGTGGCAGAAAAGTGAACTTAGGAGAGTTGGGGACAGACGAAGGGAAAGAGCGGGGTCCAGAGCAAACGCGCTAATCAAAATGGCCATGATGAGAATGTCTAAACTAATGCCAGTGGTATTTACACGGAGGGAGAAGAAGGGAAGTGAAGGAATGAACGGGGGGGGGTGATTAAGCGATGTCGATGCTGTGATTCTCCACGGTGCTGCTTGTGCCCCCGTTTGCCACAATCGATGGTGAAAAGTTGTGTTCGCCAGAGCACGCGTCCCCGTTTTCAATAACCTAGTCGAAAGACAAACCAACAAAACGTAGTCACCAAATGCCGCTTTATCTCGACAGTTCACAGGGATCCAAACGTGAAAATCCCTGTGGAGCGGATTAATTCAAACCTGAAGAGTATCTAAAGGCTGCTGACACAATCTGAGGGTAAATTAATGAGGTTTAGCATCGGTTTGAAAGATCATGAAGCTGGTACAAAAGCACTACAAAATTTAGGAATATGTACCTTCGTGGAGAGCAGTCCATTACTAAGAGTCACCTTCACTGAAGTGTGGTTCTAAAAGTAAGATGTACAAGATTGACGTAACACGGTGAAAAAAAAGCCAGAGGCAACGTTTCGTGCAAAGACGGCAGCTGAATGACAAGCAACACCACAAAGGCATCGCAAAATAGCTTACCTCATTACATTCCTCTAAGGCTTGGTCGCGTTCGGCGGTCAAGGCGTCGATCTTGGACTTCAACTGAAATGCCACAAATGACTACGTGAAAATTCACAATGAAATCGGCCGTGGACGTACATTCAATGCGGTGCAGACAAACTGACCCGAAATGACGAAGAAGGAGTCGTTTGCGAAATAACCCATGCAAAACGCCTTGTATCTATCAACTCACAGTTTGGATGGAGGTGAGTGAAGTGGCTGCGACGTAAAGCACGCCTAATTTGCTACCATGGCAACGAAAGTGGAAGTGATACAATAAATAGATTTTGACTACGACTACCCAGTGGGTTTAGTCCAGAAGAGTGACATGCCCGTCACACAAACTCCACATTTCGATAAGTCACTCACGGAAATGTGTCGCGCCAGAACTAAGAACCACCAATTCAGGAGCTACACCCGAACATCGAGTAAATGTGTGCACTAGGCTTCAAGAGAGCTCTGCGTGGGAGAAAAGGGCGTTATTCAACTCACGGCAGCATTTTCGGCGGAGGACTCCTGAAGGGCAGAACGCCAGCGTGATTCCTCTTGGTCAACAGACAGCTGGAGTTGTGAGAGGGCGACCTCAGTGACCGCCAGGATGCTCGTGAAGCGCTCGACCTCCGCTGCGAGGACGGCGCATTCAGCGCAGCCGGACGACGACGAAGCATCGGCTTCCGGCGTCTCGACGGGAGACCTAACGAGCGGTGGGTGACGGTGGGGGAAGAAACAGAAATTGAGCATAAGGCTAGCCAAATGGCCTGGCCCCTTCCCACAATTTCACCTACGCACACCGACCCAGCTACCAAAGTGCCAATGTTAGACAGACATGCCAGACGATTTTGAGGAAAAGGAAGCTAAGTTGAGACAGAACAACTGTGACTTTGGTGACAAAATCCCTGCGTTAATTACGGGCTAAGGTATGCCTGCACTCACTGAGGTTGTGGCGCTTGGGACACCTCTTGCTCACGTGCCTTCAGCAGCTCCTCCTTTTCTGCCTCGAGGTCCTTTACGCGTGTCGTGAGGGCAGACAGATCGCGGTCGTAATTTTCTTTAAGTTCGGCAAGGGCCTGCTTCGTGGAAGTCAACTGGCACTGGGTGTTCACGAGATCAGCCTTGAGGTGATCAGACTGACTGCAGGTGGCTTCCAACTGAGCCTAGTTGGTGAAAAGAAAAGCGACTGAGGATTCATTCGCCAGCACAAGGTGAAAGCGTCAATAAAGACATCAAATACGAGGGCAGCATTGTGTTGATTAGGTGGAAGAGGGAAGAGAACGAGAGCGAAGGTAGTGTAGGGAAAAAACAAAAATGAGAGAAAGCAGAAACTCGAAAAATGGGAGGATGAGGAGGATTAAAGCATACCTCAGTCTCCGCGAGACGGTGTCGCAGTGTGACGCCAGAATTGACCTCCGTCTGCAACGAGGACTGAGCGATTGCGAGTTGCTGCAACACCGCTTCGTGTTCCTTCTCCAAGTTTGCAAGCATCTGCAGACTCTCGCCTAGACGACGCTGCGCGTCCGCTGCCTGCACGTTCACCAGACCCATCTCCTGCTTCAAAGCCTGTACAAAAAAAGTGCAGGGGTTTACCTGGAACGCCGGGACGTGAACAAAGCAGGGACTGACTAAATATCACCACACCAATCAGGCACCTTTGGCCACACCTTGGCACTTACATTATTCGCTTCAACGACTTCATTGTACTCAGCTTGAATGTGATGGAGATTTTGGGCGTTGGTCTCATTAGTCTGTTCGGTCAACTACAAAAAGAAGTAAGACTTACAAAATTGCACACAGGATACTTAACTACAAAACACACGCACGAGACAGGTGGTGACAGTAAACACCGATTGGATAAACTTACGCACGAAATTGAACCCACCTCAAGTTGTGCAGTCTTGCTACGAAGGAGATGGCTGGTTTCGGTTAGTTCTGCCCTCAATTTCTTGATGACGTCGTCCATCTGCTGACGAACGGTGGCTTCGGCCTTTTTGGCGGCCTCGGCGCCCGCCTTGTGGGCCTCCGACTGCAGCTTCGCGTTGAGCCGTTTGCTCGTCTCAAGGCGTCCCTCGAGGTTCTAAGCGACAAACGACAAGTTAGCGTGGACGCACTACGTCAGAGCGCTTTTCTAATTGAACTAGCGAAAAACGGAACCATTCACCGAGATCCACGATAAACACGCCAGATGGCGGGCCTGTGAGGCTGAATGTCCTCTGTTGTGGGATAAGAGAATAAGACGGACTGACCTGGGCAAATTTTGAGCGATATCTTGCAGGCTAGGTCGACAATAAGGCATAATCCACTACCATCTCAAGGCTGACGTTTACTAGGGGTTTCGTAAACCAACCAAAACACCAATCTGACCTTGACGCGTAAACAATGCGTGCTTGTCGTGTCGTGGGCTGTGGATACTCGAGTGGCGCATAAACAAAAGCAACATACTCTTGCAGGGCCGTCACCAAATGTGCAGAAATTGGGATTCATGATAACGTCTTTCGACGGGAACTACTGATTAACATAGTTCGCTGCTGTTCACACTATGGACTGACGGTTTAAAATTAAAGGCAATGAGGAGTTATTTAGCGTGAATAAACACCATAACGACCTCTCCAATGAGGGCGATTTTCCGACAAAGCAGAGAGGAGCGCGAGTTGGGTACGCGTTATCTAATACAAGTAAGCAGAGAGTGTCAGAATTTGCGTCACTGTTTACGTCAAAGCCATCTTACGCACAGACTACTTGACCGTAGCAGGGGCGCAACCACTGCGTAAACACAGTCGCGCGCCAAAACCAACTACCAAAGTTGGAGAACGCTTGAACACGCTTCTAACAGGAAAATCACGACAGATTTAACCAGTCAGGAGTGCAAGGAGCTAGCTAGGCACATAAAATGTCACAATGCTCTCAACAATAACATTTCGAGGTTTAGAAACAACAAATTAAGACACGAGCACCTTAATAAACACGCACAGACACACATTTACTTGCAATACAAATCATTTGACACCGTTGATTGCTTGCACTAAATACTCGCACCCACACACAACCCACAAGAAAGCCACAAGGCCGTAGACTCAACGAAGACATCAAATTCGCACACGAGCGATGGAGTTTCAGTCGCCGGAATTGGAATTACTTAACAACTGATGGACTGGCTGTTTATAAAGTCAAATTACAATGCGGCTGGCGTTGGTGAAAAGGGAACGAGCGCCTTCACAAAAAAAATGCATCACCGGCGAGGAAAGGTGAGATGAGGAGTGCAAAAAGTGGTCAGACGAAGCCAAGATGACTCATCAAATTGCAAAAAAGGAAGAGACTGGGAGAAACAGGTAGAGAGCAAGAGGGAGTTGGAATCGGTCATGATAACGCCACGCCACACATACCTACGGCAACTCAACAGAACTTGGTACAACCTTTTGATGAAATTTCATGCAGCCCAGGTTTGCGCTCTTAGGCAGGCAGCATTTAAAGGTTTTGAAGAATCCTTTGAGGGATAGAGGCAGAGAAAGGGAGGAAGAGGGCATATTAACATGTAAAATGCACACCGGAATCTAAACCGAACAGGGCAGTGTGTGGCCGAGAGTGGGGTCGATAAAGAAGGTCAAACAGAACTCGGCTTAAGCGGTTTGTGCGCTGACCGCCTTTAAACTACCTGCGGAGCCTAGCAACACGCGCCTCTGGTGGCCATCACGACAGCGTGGCATCTGGGTCAGTCTGCCACCCGGGGAGGGAGGGCTCGGTGCGTGCGCGTGCACGCGCGTTTGGCACCGGTGGTGCATTTAAACAAAGTGGCACACACAAAGACGCGACCCAATTGGCGCGCGAGCGCAACAGCGCCATCAACGTGCTACTGCAATTTCTTGGCACCACTTCGCCTTTGTCCGCCAATGACCCAATTCAATTAAGCATGACGACCTGGTTTTTGAATTCGTCAGTTACGCTCCTCGCAAATTAATGACTACCACGCTAATCAAGTGAGAAGCAACTGGGCACTTTCTTAAAGCCCTTTCAATTGAACTTGTCAAATCGACTCAAGGTAAAACTTGCACCGCTCAGCTAAAACACCAACAGAAAGGTAACCAATAAGAACCACACACAGTTGAGATAGACCAATTGTTTACTACACTGAGGCTCATCAATAACGCCAGATAACTAAAGGTGGCATGAATAGGGCTTGTGGGATTGCTCAATGCACGATTGCCCCAACATGCAAATACGCAAGCGAGACTTAATTTAATTCAACAAATACACATCCTGGTATTGAAACCGTGTTTTTTGATGGAAAACGCACGGTCAAAATAAATGCGCCCGTTTTCGCCTCGTGTACCTATCTCCCTAGAACAAGGAGAAAATTATTGCAGTTAGCGTTGACGTGGCAGGCGCACTGAGATGGGGCAACGTGGCAGCCTTAGTGGGGAACATATTTGTGTAAACACAGTTCACAGAAAGAGCATATTTTTTGCACTCTGAAGGCTTTAAGGCTGAAACCGCGGTATGAGAAATCGCAGTCAGTCTTCTACATTCTCAGAAAAGTCACCAGGGCTTCAACTTACGGCCTGGCGTTGGGTTAAGAGGGTGTTTTCTTGGGCGAGACGAGCGATCTCCTCCTGCAGGGTTTTGATTACCAGGCTGTCCATGGAGGGGGTGGTTTGTTGAACAGGCGGCGGCGGCGTGGCTGTCGCCTCTGCCTTAGCAGAGTTGGCTGACACCATATCGCATTGCACGTGTTTTGAAGCCGTCGAGACGGGCTTCTGTTTATGGTGTGGTCTAAAAGAAAGAGAATTGAAATAACATAAAATCCAAGCTTATTATATCAGGTGTAGAAGGGGCAGTACACTTGACACCTCAAGGTAGAACGCAAATTTGACCGAGTGTAGAGAGTAATATGTGATACAATAGAGGTGCATATCAGCAGACCCTCTGCCTGCCTTGACGATCAGGAAACTTGCATTCTTTACAAGTTTGATTGAGAACATTAAGAAGTGTGGCGAATCAATTAAACCAAAGCGTGACATAACTGTTGCTTGGCGTCACAGCTTGGCGAAATCCCTCAATTTGCGCAGGTGAACGGCGATAATTAAAGACCAACAGGGGGCCTTTTGACTGCCATTTCCACACCAGCTTATTTTGATACCGTTATAGCGGGCTTCTATAGCGATTTCAGTTATTCAAAAATGCGAGGCGTGTGCATAAATGTAATTTTATGTAAAAAAGTGGTCTTTTTACTTGGATGGCTGAACGGAGGATTCGGTCGGCATGGCAACGGCTGGAGAATTTTTGGAGTGCAGACGAACCACCTCGTCCCGAAGAACCTGCGTCAATCGAAAAAAAAAAGAATCCGTTGAAAAGGTGTTGTGGCACGGAGAGGGAGGGAGCGAGAGTAGCGTTAGCACCTTCAAACAAATTGACGGGCCAAAATCGTCGTTTTCACACCAGTAACAACACATCAAGGTGTTACCATCGTCCCAGCTTACAGGCTCATGACAAATTACGCCTTCAAGAATAACTCTGTAAGATTAATTACCGCAGTTGGGTGAGGTTTTGCGTTTAGGGTGGAATTATTGCAGAGGAATATATGTGCTGTTTGTGAACACCCTTGAAACAGAATTAAGGCAACATTCACAGCGCACCGATATTCATTAAGATTTTATGCGTTTCCGAATGTACAGATTCTTGAGAAACTGTACAATCAGAACCATTCAGTCGATCTATTTAAGGGTGCCCCACATTTAACTCTAAAAGAGAGCCCTAAGAGAATCCAGTCCAACCTGAAATTGGTAGTTACAAAGGATATGCCTCATTTATAAGACGCATTAATGGAATGAGAAACGGCTGCCTGCAATTCCAATAGTTAAATTCTAATCTCGCTAATAACACGTTTAAGACGCGTGACGCCTTAAAAGCATAATCTTAGAACCAACGAGGCCCGTGCGATACGAAATGTGACAACTCTCATCGGAACAGTGGTTCAGTTGACGAGGAAAAACTTTCAACTTCAATATGTGGAATCCAGTCGCTTAAAGTTGATTACGTAACACCAGAAAGTGCTTAAATCAGCAGTATTCCAGCAAATTAGACGTGTCCATCAAGTTCTAGGACTCGGTTCTGTTTGAAACTGGTTTTAACCGGAGGAAAACGAGCCAACCCACCTACTGCAATAAACCCAGACCGATGACTTAACCAATGCTGGTGTCCGACGCCTGGCATTTCAATACGAAGACGCACGCTAGAATTTGGCTTTCACTAAAACTAGGTACTTGACCTGGCCTCGAATCGATTTCAAGAAAATGAACCACCACAATGAGCATAGGGCTGAAGCTATGTACCCAAACAAGCACGCCTGTCACCCAACCTCATTATTATATGCGTGCCTACCCTGCAGCAGCTTAGCAAAAACTTCACCGCACACATCGAAACACGTTTACACGTCGACAACAAAACACGGTGTTTGTGAAAGGTGCGATTAATAACGCCTCGAGAGGTCGCATTATTCATCACATCTAAGGGCGACGATAAATAAGCACTCTAAACTATGGTTAAAGCCTAGTTTTATCTGCGCCACCTTTAGGTGAGAAAATAAAACACTGCGATAACATGGTGAGCGCGAGGCAACGAATCAAACTTGGCGTAACAACCATGAAAGCAATTCCAGCCTACACGACCATATACCTCAGAAGAAAGGCATGATTTTGTGATAATAAAAAACAACTAGGTTTTAGCGAAGCAGCAACCATTCAGTGCCAGAACCATTTAATTAATAAGAAACAGACCCAACCAAGGGAATGTTTATTCTTATAACTGGGATGCAAGAATTTCTTGCTGTAAAAGTGGTTAGTGTGAACAAGTTTTCAGCAGTTTTCGTGTAGAAAAACCTCTTCAGTGCACTGGCTAATGCAAGCGAGTGAACACCCCAATTACACAGTGACAAATTTCGATAAGATGCATCCGAACATGAACACAAGAATGAGGTAAACACAGGACTAAATTCAGGTATCGAAGAGTTCACCAAGGGGTGCTTCTTACACTTCTTCACTTAAAGGCTTAACCATGAATAAAACCAAAAGGGAAAACTGCTAAGTCTGATAAAGATATCTACTCATGAAAAATCATTTGCTGGCGTTACTCAGGAAACCCATGTACTAATGAGGCGCCTAAGGAAACAAAAGATTGCATTAGTTTGAGTTAAGAATGTGCGATCAACGGGAGCCGCAGTCGTTTTCGTGCCGCATTTTTTTTAAAAAACCGTTGACCAAATTTTGACCGAAAAAAACAGGTTCAGTGTCGTTAACTGCAACTTCGTTGACTTCAGAGGATATAAAAAAAGGGTTGAAAAACGTTCGCCGCGTTTCTCGATATACGGCCTTCTAATTAGGGTACGTGGATATGATCACAGCCCGACATAAAATCCATAAACCATGGCCCACGCAGAAAGGAGTAATCATGGTTGGCGACAAGCACAACACGAGCTATTGACGTGTAGAAGAGGCGCCCAAATGAATCGTTGCTTACACGGATGAAAAGAGCAAAAAAGACGACTTACTTGACACTCCGCTTCTTTGGCTCGAAGATGAGCTTTCATCTGTATGAAGTCTGAGAAAAGAACATTCTAAAAACGCGAACGAAAATAAATGTGAGATGGAGATTAAACGAACCAGGTTTAGGAAGACAAAACACGAGTAAAATCCACGGTGCTGGTGTGTATAATCGATAGGACAACAGACAGGAATGATATTCACTTGTCCCGGTCCAATCCTAAACGGGTCATTAGGTAAACGAAGAAATCCGTTCCATAGCATGACTGTGAATTTAGTCCAAATTAGAGAGAGGATTTCTATAACAGATTACACATGTCGGCAAAACAGTCGTCCTCATAAAACCCGTCTTTTGACCTTGAAGTCGGGAACTTTACCAGAGGTTAGCAGATGACACGCAATCACAAAGCTACTCCCAACTTGGTCAGATTTTATCGATTCAGGTAGCACAACGTGCACCATGCATCAGACCAATCAATTAGGAAAAAAATAACAATATTTTATACACTGATTAGGCCATCCACTGGAATACAAGCGGTAAATTTTCAAAAGGTCACTTGCGTGTAAACAGTCCCGTAGCTCAACAAGGCAAATGAACACACTGATAAACCCTCTGGTTTCAGGAAAACAATCAAGTACTTTTTGTAATGAAGACTTAACTAGGAGGACAATTGTGTGTAACCGGTCTGCTAAGCCTTCGTTTAATATAGTAACGCTTAAGCCAATGGAAATGTCGTCAGGACGAATGTGTCACTCGAAAGTGTGGTAAAGAGTGAACTTAGAACTGGTCAAAATTGTGCAAAAGTACCATGCGTGTAATAAGAACTGAGCGCTTTTTTAACAAGCCAAGAAGCGTCAATGATTTTGTGGCTGGTTAAGCAGTTGTAAAACGTAAAAGAATAAAATACCTGAGTAGGGTCACTGATGACTGTCGTGTTAGGGGGAGGGCGAGGGAAAGAGAGTTTGGGGAAGGCGGCTCGAGCTTTCAAAATGGCCTCCCCACCGAGCACCTCAGAGACGAGTAATTCAAGATTGTGAGCGTATGTGAGCGCATCTGAATGATTCAATCGCGTATTGTCATCAGAGTTTATAGAATTGGACTTTTGACGACGCTGCTGAGGCTGTTTTGGAGTTCGCACTTCAACGTGGTTCTGAATTTGTGGCTCTGTAATAGCCACATCAGGGCCTTTTTCCTCTGGTGCGTCCCGCGGATCTTTAGTTGATTTGGGTTTGTCTACAAAATAAAAGTACGATAAGTAAAATAGAATTATTGAAAAAATAGGCATATAACATCGACCTCACTTGAACGTCGTCGTTTGTTCACTTGAGCGACATCGGGGGACTTAGATTCAACTGGAGGGGGCGATGTTTTCTCAGACTGAGTTATGGGATTAGCGGACGACGCTTCTTTAAGAGCGTTGATTTTGGTCTTCTTGGAGACAACTGGCATCCAGCCGTCATCTGTTTCATCAGCGAATCCGACAGACGCATTGGTAGCAGTGGGAACCTTATTTTTTTGATTATGCTTTTTGTGGTTCTTTCGTTTCTTCTTGGCATCGACTGGAGCAGAAGTTAGGTTATGGTCGGCTCCAATTGATGCAAGAGATCGCTCGAGGGTAGTTGAGTTGTTAGAAATCATTCTATACAAATAAGAAGTTTAAGAGATTTGATACAATTGTCAAGGCAAAAAAGCAGACTATAATAGTGTGAAGATAGGAAGGGAGAATAGCGGAGATGATTGGATATTTTAACATCATGTTTTCAGAGAATATTTTGAGATTTTTATGATTGATAAAGTGATGGGATATTGTGTGGATAAAAACAGGAAAGGGGATAACCCTAAAGCCTGTTTACATAATACGTCCCAAAACCTACATCTGCCTAGTGTTAAGCATGCAAAAAAAATATTTAAAATTAAAACGGCAGAATTGATAATATGGAATTAAGAACAAAGGATTTGAATTTAGTTTACAAACAGAAAATGGACAAATGAAGGCTTGATGACAGCCCGTGTTCGATTCCATGTAGGAATTGGGTTTGATCGCTATAGCTATAAAAATTTTCCGATCAAACGAAATTGTTAGAAGTTTGAAAAATGAACACCAGAGCAACAGACCTGAAGCTTGCCCACGAACAGTACACCTGATTTACTCGACAGCATGTTAAAAATCGATGACTGAAAATTTTACATGCATTTTAATTAATCTAATTCACGAAAACATTCGAAAATACCCACTTCAGTGTAAAAAGATCGGAACGTAATCAATTAGTCTATGCTGTAAAAAACATGACAAGGGAACAAAACTACCGATTATATATAAGACAAAGTGAAATGGCTTACAGTAGAAAGACCTCAACGTCGAATGAACGTCACAAAAAGGCAAGCGTGTAGGTGAATGTGATTGGTTCAGATACACAGCTGAAACTCAAGTAGAAGCCGAAAAACAAAGTTTTGACACAATTTCTTACAATATATTAAAACGCAAAACAAATTTGTATTAATCGTATTAATAAAGTTTATAGTATTTAAAATAGCTATTTTTATAAATCCCAAGACCAAAAAATGCGGTAAATTTCGCGTCAATTTATTGTTTAAAAAAATTGATTAGCAAAAATTATAAATTGCGATGCTTGCACAGTATATAACATTAAATCTTTAAAAATAATGGCATGGATTTGGATGGCCTCGGAATCGAAAAGTCGCCTAGCAACCTATTTTATTGACAATACTGATTCTGCTGAATAATACGATTCCAAAAAAATCTCGCTTTGTCAAAAAAATGCAGTAAATGAAATCAAGGAGAATCTTGTAAAAGAAAGGCTGCTGCCTACTTTTGCATTCAATTAATTAAAAGATTGGGTGAATACCTCGAAGGTGTTTAAGATAAGACAGATTATCTTAGAGGCATCATGTTGTTATTGACTAAGTGCAAAAGAACATGAAAATCAACATATAGGGCCTTTTGTACGCTCCGGGAATTCTTACTAAGATACGACAAAGCCAAGCAACTGACAACTTACTATAAAAGCATTTAAAATTATGCATGGGGTTACCGAATATGTATATTAAATGTACCCTGATCCAACAGATTTTTTTTTCTAAGCCACTTTAAATTTTTGGTATAAATTCATTATAGTTCCATGGGGCTTATTATAAAATGAAAAATTAAGAATGCTATTCAGAGTATTAGTAAATTAAAATATTTGCATATAAATATCTTAATTGATTTAACTTATTGAAAGTGAAATAATTTTTGAGCACTGCTATGGTTTGGGCTACGTTTAAATGAATTACAGATTTGAACATCATTTAAGGAATTATATCAATGCTACATTTTTCGCCTTTTAAATCGCCTAATTTTTACTTATTTTTGATTTAGTGCTTTAAAAAAATGCTTTCCACAATTTATTATATAATTTAAGGGCTAATTTAAATTTAAAGTGTGCGTCGTCGCATAAGTGAATTATTCGAAAATTTTCAACGCACGTTTTAATGAACTAACTTAATTTACAAGACGCCAAAATTTAAAATGGCGATTTTATAAATTAGCTAATTTGTAAGTGTTGTTTAAACATAAAATTAGTCCATGCCTCCTACATTCCAATGCTACGTACATAGCAAAGTGTATGCAAACAGTTGCTTGTTAATTTTTTTTCTAAATGAGATAGTGGAACGTCTGTTTCCTTACTTTTTGTCTTGAAATGCCTTTTTTGAAACACATTACGGTAGCTATTTTCTGATGTATGCTTTTTGATTGCCAAACGAATGCATTTTGAATATAAATGTGATGTTTTTTAGTGTTGTGACTACTTTAGAAAGCGAGAGTTGTTAGCAATAGTGCACATTATAATATTAAACAATGTCACTGCCACGATTTTTTAAATTGTGGTCCTTTAAATTTCCAAGGAGTTTTTTAGCCGGCCTGATTATAGATGTCTACAAGTGAAACAAGCAGTGTCACACCCCAGCAGCAGTTGCCTACTGAAAGTGGAAATGGGGAAACCGATATTAGTACAAATGTGGAAAGTCGTAGCAAAGAATTGAGAATCCAGGGCCCCTCAACTGCTCCTTCAGCAATTTCTTCGCAAACACTGCCTGAGAGATCGGGCATTTTGGCAGAGTCTCAGAGACTACAACGGGAAATGCTGAGAGCCGAAATGGTAGGTTGGTTTTAGTTTATTAATATTAATGAATTCTTCGACAATACGTCAGCAAAGGACATAACCTATCGAAGTTTGACTTCAACTTCCAAATACACAATGTGTAGTTGTTGCTACCAAAGTGTATTGATTGCAAATTTATATGCAAAAATAAATTGACTAACCCATTTAAAATTCCTGAAATAGATTAAAGAACTGTTTTTGACTAATGAGAAGCACTTAGGAATTAACCTTTTATGCTTACTGTAATAAATCTTAATATAGTATTGATTGGTGCAAAACTCTAATATCTAATTGTCACTAATCTCAGTTGTGTGTTCCGGTTTCTTATTATTTTAATGCTCTTCATGTATCTTACCCGAAGTACATCAATTCACCGTTTTTTGACCTAATTAACTATTTAACAGTCCGAGGACTTGACTTTTTTATCGTTAGCCCCTTGAGGGCAGCCACATCAGCAGACTAGGATCCAATATTGCCATATAAGATGTCTTTAATGTTCCACGCACAATTTTGCGAACCAATAGATGGTGTAGTATTTTACAAGAAACATTCATATTGCATGAAGGGTTCTATTGTAAACAGTTGAAGGGGTTGTTTCATTAACTGGTACCAAAATCACGGATGCTGGCTTCTGTCGCCTTGGATAAATTGATCAATATTTGTTTGCTTTAGTTTGTATACAGCATAAAAAATAATTTCTTCGAATCGTTAGGCGACCACAACTTATTTAGCATTTGAAATTTGAACAAATTATTTGCTCGAAGGTTTTGCACTTTAGTATCTTGTGAAAGTTCACGTAATACCCGTATAGCTAAGTGGACTGAGTTTTTTTATTGAAAGGCTCTTTTCTACCCATAAATTCATTTCAATTTTCACAAAAATTTTAATGCCGGATGATTTCTTGGAGGTTTTTTTTTTACTGATAGGTAATGTTATTTGCGTTAAGTAACCTCTGCTAGTGCCATAATGCTTTTTTAAGCTTTAAACAAATATCATTTCCAACTTACCCTCTAACACATTGCGCAAAATTTTATTCTTAGTTCTTTGCTTACTGTTAAGTTTTTTCGTGGAGTGCATAAACTAACATTTAAGTGACATTTGAATTAGAGTAGAGAGCTGCACATATTCGCTAAGTTATGTATAAAGCGTATGGCCGTGATTGCTAGGCAGAATTCGTGAATCAAATTATATAAAACTTAGGTCGAGAAAATTTTCCATCTAAAACTGACAAACATTCAGGTCGATCTGCCAGAGTAATGATAAGTAAATCACAGCCTTTGTGTAGTCAGATAGCCAAACCAGCTGTGAAAGAGGTTATAAATCAAGTATACTTTTGACTCAATAATTATTAATTATTTACATACCGGAAAGTTGTAATGTATCGTGATAGTTTGGTTTCGCTTGAAAAATAGAACGCTACTCAGTGCACTCAAGAACACTTCTTCGATAAATGGTGTTGACTCATTGAATCGTTTGTTATTAAATAACACAGCCATGGTGAATAAAAGTAGATAACCAAAATGCTACTATTCGAAGTAGATCATCGGCCAAGCGTGATAAACCAGCACAAATCACACCGCAATTTATTGAAATCAAAATTTCCTCTTACAGTCTATTTTTAGATGCTACCTTGTAACCAAACTGCTTCATTTGCTGTTTAATGTCAAAAATACGGACGCTGGACTGGGAACCAACGGATTTATTAAGCATATGACGCAATTTTTACTAGTGTATTAACAAGCTTATTTACAATTAAAAGATAGCAACGAGCTTAATCTTGGCAAGATCATCTGCCTTTTTCTATGAATGCCTTCGCCATAGAAACTTGCAGGCTCCAAGGTAATATGGTTATCTACGAATTTGCACACATGATCCAGCGGTTTAAACTGTGTCTTCACTAAGGCATGTTGCATTAGTCGGATGATGTCGTGTGTGGCGAAAATTCCCATGTCAAGTACAAGAGGATCTTCTGAGTCCCCCAAGCAACGCGAGGTCGAGCGTTGGCAAGCAGCAGCAGTATGACTTGCCTACTTTCGTGCCCAGTATATGACTCTTCCTCAAATGGAGGTCCCGTTTTGGTGCCGAAGTACCGGGTTGCCCACGATCTACTTACAACTTTTTACGTTTGGGAATCTCATAAAGAATATACTTCTCATCGCCCATCACAATTTTTCACAAAAAGTCCATTTTTGTTGCCGGCGAGCATGCAGTGAACGGCACGTGTTCAACCATTGACCTAGGATATGTTCAGTCGAAACATATGGTAACCACCTTCCAAATTTTTTAATGTTCCCCATTTGGTGCAAATGCTGAAAATAGCTGTTTGAGCACGTGTCGAGTCCTCATTCAGTAGAGCTTGCAACTTCGCATCTTTGTACCAATAAGTGCACGGTTAATAATACACAACGTCAGCACCAAGAACACCACAAATTGAGTTCGATCCTTTGAAAGCACTTATCCTTGTTGGGATTCGTAGGAAATGCGGTACCGAATGTGCTGTTTATGAGTTGCCATCATAATCTGCAATTACGAGAGGTAACATAACTCACGTAGACTTGTTGTCCGGTGTTCTGAAACCTTGCGTACCATCTTTTTTCAATCGATATAATTTTAGTTTCACATACCTTATCAAATGTCTAGAATTGACAACTCATAGAGGTATTGCGTTCCATTAAGATAGTGTACAGCCTGCCTCGAATTTTTTGGCTAACGAGACTCAAGTGTGCCATGAACGCCGCATCATGAAGTCATCAGAAAGGTAATGAGTGGTCATTGGACAAAGGGGCAGATGCATAAATGATCAAAGTTTATTCTTGATACTGAAAAAAGAGCGTATAACCAAAATTACTTAATTATCAGACAATTATCATTGCCTCAGATCCCGTAATTTGTCATGTTTTGCCTTGTGCTCTGAACCACACATGCTACAATTAACGCTGTTAAACAAGTAGTTAAAATCATACAATAGGAGACGACAGCCTGGGTCGGTCAGCTTAATTAAACCGTGGACTCGAACCCAAAATCACTTATTGTCAAATATTTTTTACTTAACAAAGACAAGGCCACGATATTCCTCAAAGTCATGCTTTCCAACCGTAAGGCCTTCAATAAGCCCTGAAGCAATGACTTTGGTAGAAATTAGCAAGGAGCAGATCAGGCGACGTTGCGGCTGCAAGTGTGTTAGTTCTGTGCTTACTTGGACACAAAGTCAAACCACATGTAGTGAGTATTTAAAAAAAATTACGAAAAGGTTTGTGCGATGAGGAATGCGAGAGAGGGAGAGTAAGCGTGGGATCCCATAGTACACTTGGCAGCAATTTCCGGCGACGCAGGAGCTGGCATCAAAGGCGTGGCTCTGGGACTACCATTTCCTGGAATGTCGTTCTGTTACCTGTAAAAAAACCAACTGGATTGAGGTGAGATGATATTTAGTGTGTCGGCGATCAGCATTTGCTTGTTGTTTGTAAAAATTCGTGCTCAATTTCCGCAGATGACTGAGGCTCTCACTCCTGTGTCGATGTTGTGAATCAGCGTGAACTTAAGAGGATTCACTTTAAATTGTGTATCAGAAATTTGCCTTTTCCCCATGTTTCGTTACGTGAATTTAAGGATTGACTGTGTTGGAGCTGCAACAGAAAAAGCTAGAGATGCCAATTTAGATCACACTCCTGCCCGGTAAAAGTGGTTTAGTCGATTTCAAATTGGTAACTTTAGTCCTAACGATAAACTTCGCCTTGGGTACCATTCTGACAGCAATATTGATGTTGTCTGTGATAAATTCTTAAATCGTCGATGGGTTACTACTGAAGAGATAGTCGAGGGACCAATTTTTGATAAGTCGACGACATCTCATCGGTTATATTTACTTGGATACACTTAAAAACTTGATACATGGGTTCCACACGCTTTAACGAAAGGAGACAAAGTTAACTGTGCTTCCACATTCTCTTCTCTCCTTTACCGTCCACAAAGCCAACTTTTCTTGAATGTCACGCCAAATTCGGAGATGAAATGTAGGTTGTGTCTAACAACATAAAATGCGAGCTTCTTCCACGTGGCGGAACACCAATTGTAAGTAACTCACCCAAATCAATGTTGAACATCAAACAAACCGTTCAAATACCATACGATTCTTCCCCATTAAAATGGATGACTCTGTGCCACTCAACAGACGCTGCTAAAGCATAGACACAACGAATGTAATTTTGCACTGAAACTGATCCCCCGCCCGATTTCCCATTTGTTTCATTCCTTTTGAAATAATTTGAATGGCAAACGATTAAATCTATTGGAGAGGTCAAAAGCTACTCTGCAAACTTCTTAGTTGAGAAATCACGCAGGTAGCACAATGAAGGAAAACAGTTTTAGGAAATGACGGAGGGTATATTACCTGTTGATGTTCAGTAATTTTGACGAAAATGTATTGTATTGAATATCTTCAATTCAATCATGAACCTTTGCAATTATCCATTAAATTGTCTGAAATTAAAATAACAAAACGGAGTGTTTTGTGAAAGATACATCGAAATTATGCTAGTTTTCAAAGATTTTGATCAAACCACCTTGTGTGCTAAACGAACAGCGCTCAACGGCTGTCATTTTGGACCATGATATGGTCACTTTATCAAATTTCAATTAGTGGCCGTTGGACATAGTTGACGATGCAACAGACTACAATTAATTTGAAGACGCGCAGATTGCTGGCACAAATATAGGGCATAATGTGGCTTCTCGAATAGCAAATCAGGATGGACGAACTACTTTAATTATAGACAGAAGGTGTAGATCTCCCGTTAGCGCTTCAACGACCAGACGCTTCCCCGACTAGAACACCTTCACCATCGAGGGCACAAATCCAACTTCTGGAGTCAGAGTTGGCCGAAAATAAACGAAAAATCGCCAGTCTTCAAGATAGCAATCAACGCCACCAAAAACTCATCCAAACACTGCAAAGCCAGGTACGACAAAATAGCTTATTACACCCCTGCACTCACCCACTGTTTTGTCATTTTTCCAGCCAATCGACTCTTCAGCCGGAATTTGAATGGGTCAATCAAAATTAGGCATATTTACGAACAGGAAGAGATTTTACATGGGTTGCTCAAGCGCCGGATGGCAAACTTCTCTGCGCTATTAACGTGTGATGATATGCAAGATAGGGGCCTGAACTGAGTGGTCACGTAGTCGGCTTGTGGCGTCAATCAGACGCTTCTCCAACCCTCAGAGTTGGGCGTTCCCCTTGGCGCGGCGGCTGAATCACCACGCGCACATCAAGATCGGGCCTTTTTTCTTGCTCTTCTCCTCTATACTACTCGCATCATTCTTAAGTAGCATGTGTTCTGCAGTGGAATTATTGGTTTTAGAATAAGACATTATCTAACTGGACCAACTACTGCGGTTAAATTTGACTCATTTTTTCCATAAAAGCTTACAATTCTACTATTTTCCCACCAGAAAATGTGACGACTAATTAAAAAAGAAACACGTTAGACTATTGGTCAATTTCAATTTTGTTCATTAATAGGTGACACACCACAAGCGAAAGAATACTGATTTGGAAATGGAAGTGGAGGATCTCAAGTTGGAGCTTCAAAAAAAAGCTAAAAAGGTCAGTTGATTACAAAGTGACCTTGAAAGTTTAATTTTAAGGGACGTGTGGTGTTGATGTTACCGTACAATCCCATGCCTTTGTTTTCATAATGCCAAGGGGTGGCGTTTCTAACAGCCGTGTGATTTTGGGCCGCTGTGTGGTTGAAATTTGGCACCTGCTCTTCACGTTATGAGTTTTCGTTGTATTTGTTTGCTACTTAGCTCCAGTCGAAGGAGTTAGAACATGATAGCCGCCTTGATGCTCGCGAAAACATGGCTAAAATGCGTGAAGAAAGCCTGATTGCGGAGCTGGAAAATCTCACCAGTGCTCTCGAACAGGAAAGAGCAAAGTAAATAGCGCCTACTTAATTCATCGTAGTAAGTGTGGAGTTAATTGCTTCATCGTTTGCTTGCAGATCTGCCGAACTGTCTCGTACGAACGAGCTCCTTCAGGATCAACTCGAAGAGGCAGCCTCCGCCAATCAGGTATGAAGAAGGCACAACTCCTTCTCGATTTAGCCATGGAAAATGACGTTCTTCCAAGCACACGCTTACCCATTTGTCGTACCATCGACAACTCACAATCGCGCTAGATTTAATTTTATAGGGCCTAAGTCGTGACGTAGCTCAATTGACACAGGCTTGGCGTCAAGCAACGCAGCAACTGGAGAAGCGCGAAGCCGACTGGCAGTCCGAGGAGGCGGCCTTCAACGACTACTTTGCGACCGAACACAACCGGCTGCTCGCACTTTGGCGCGAGGTTGTTTCCCTTCGACGAGCCTTCACCGAGCTCCGACACCAAACGGCCCGTGATTTCACTCAGGTATGCAAAGTGTGAAATTAAATTAAGCACTTCACGCACTTTAGAAATGTTTATTGTAATGCTGAGTACAATAAGGCTCTTTTTAGTGCATTTCTCACATATGAGCATATAAGGAAACTAGTTATCTTAGAAGTTCGACTTTCTGCAATGAGAAACTCTTTCAATTATCGTCAATTCCAGATGAACAGTGAAATATTGAGAATGGGCCAATCCCTGCAAGCTTCGTGCGCTGCTCTAGCCAATAACCTTAAGGCCGCAGAACTGGAATCAGCCGACGCATTGGACAAGAGTCGGCGTCAGCTGATGGCCGGGGAGGCGGATGCGAAAGCGCGCAGCCAGTCGCTCGCCGAGTCGTTGGCACGAAGTCAAGCCCGATTGGCTGAGACTGAGGGGCAAGTGATACAACTCAACAGACGCGTTCAGGACCTAGTAACTGAGGTATTCATTTGGAAATCCGACTTATGTAGAGGCTTGATTCCAATTCGAGCCACATTATCCTATGTGCAGCAGGTTGCGAAGTATCACTAGTGCTACTTTAAGTGTTTGTTAAAGTAACCTTTTTAAAGCTACGCATCTCGATGCTATAATTTCCATTTATTTTGGATATATAAAATCAGGACCTCAAAGGTTTCTGTTTCGTAACAACTGATACGATGAGTTCATGTCCATTCTTGCATCTTCAACTGACAGGTTGCCGATAAAGAACGAGTTTTGAATACGCTGCGAAGACTTCGAGCCTCCTTCCCTTCACCACAGCCGGCGGAAACAGGCGACACGACAACAGGAGAGGATCCGGTTGTCGCCACCAGACGTCTCATTGACCAGACGCACTCCATGCACCATGCCCTCTCACAAATCGCTCAGGTCGGTTCCTTACACACCCGCAGCTAATTTGTAAAGACTTAAAATGTCAATTTTTATACCATCCTTCCGCCATTAGGTTGTAATTGCGGACTCTGCGAATGCCGATGCCGACGAAACGCAGGAGCCATTCATGGCGAGTTTTCAGCATCAGATGGAAACTGGAGATTGGTTGGAAAGCGGAGGAGGCACGGTCGCCACACCGCTCCCCCAGCGCCCCCGCTCAACTTCTCCATCCAGTGAGCACCACACGCCTCCCCCGGTTCCCCTGCGTCTTGCTTCACCATCGTCTTCATCACCTCCTGGAAAACTAGCAGAAACAGCTGTGACTGGTGTCCAATCTGCACTCAATCGACGGGCGATGCAGGTGAGTTGATTTACTAAATGCGAAAGCGACGTCAGATAGTTTCCCAGTCATCGTCGCCACCAGGGCATTGTATTCCTTTTTTATGTTGACACTTCAGGTTCAAGTTCTGCGGCTGAAGCTCTCTAGTCTCCGAGGTCGCCTTGCGGGCCTAAACAAACGCCTCAATGAGGGCGAAGAGGAAAGAATTAGACTGAACGACTACGTGACAGCCCTTCGCGCTGACCTTGACCTCGTGCGCAAGGAAGTGGAGGCCACTAGACTTGAGAGGGACAGGATCAAGCACACTCTCAGGTTAGTCACACGGCCATCATATTTACAGAAATGACCAGGTCCCATATAATATAGATTTTTTTAAAAGATTGGATAAGCTGATATAAGTTGCTGCCAATCAACTGCATTTACTGGAATTCACGACCGGCTAACTGTACACCATGACGTAATACCAATCTTGAAGCGAGTACAACACACAAAATTGATCAGTTAAAGGAATTTAGCAATCGTTTTGCCTCCAAACATTATCCATTTCAATGGATGAAGTCGTTTCCCTGAAATAATGCGCTTACGGTTAGTTTGTATTCTCGCATCAAATAGGCCGATTAAATCTGAACGCACACCTTTTTGCAATTGATCCCATTCCTCCCGACAGACAGAATGACAAATCATCACGATTATTAGACCTTTTCTTATTGGTCGCCATGTGGCCAATAAGAAACGGTCTAATGTCAGTGAATTCGACCACATTTCTGAAAAAAAAGATATGAATGTTTCTGGGTTACATTAAACGGAGATTCGAGGAACTTTTGCAGTAAAGGTGAACCAATAGCAGACCCTCCCTGTACAATCGTATCGCATGACTCGGTAATGCTACATAAATCGGCAGTATCTTGAATGATTTCTCTATTAGAAAATCTCAGCTGCCTTCATTAAGGCATCAAACTTGTAACTTGCTTCTGAATTTGGATAAACATATCTGGGCCCACTTTTCACGGGCAAATATCAGTAACACGTCCCCGGATTTAAGTCCTGAAATTGATCAAAAGTTTCTACTGATATTCGTATAGTCTGTGGTCAAATGCCCGCTACTCAACCAAATTATCTGGAACGCAGGCGAAGCAGAGAGCCATACATTGAGGTTCACTCCATGTTTTGATTGTGAAATAAAAAGCGACGGAAATGTGTGTTTCTGTAGTATTTCAGTTGAAGAGAAAAATATTTTGGAGAGATCGCGTGCGACAAACACGGAAAGGATAACCTCGCTGCAGGCTGAGCTGGAGCAACTTCGGCATTTTCTGAACACAACGTCGAAAGAACGCGATGAAATTGTGGAACAACGGAATGCAAAACAACTTCAATATGAGAGTGAGGTAAGATTAAAGGGAGTCAAAGTTTCCAGTAAGCGGAGAAGTTTGCCAGGATTTTTTGTGGGAATATTTCTGTGATGTGATCGTTCGTCAATGAATTCCTGTAAGGGCAGCGTTGAAACGATCTGGTGCGTCTGAAACCGTGTTTCTCTTTAACTCAAAAACCATGTAAACTTACCTCCTCTGATAGAAGTTGTAGTCAGAAATGTGGATGTTAGTGCATCCGTAATTAATGTCGACCGGTTTTATTCGGCACTGAAGAACGCGGCTTCTAATATTGCGCGTTGCTACAATAATCCAGATGCTGGTTACATTTCATACGTTTTCATCCTCCTCAAAGACAAGAGAAAATGCCCGACTTCAGCGTCTTTTGGAACAGGCAGAAACGAGGGTTTCTCAGACTCGTGAAGAATTGACTAAGGTGAAGGAGGGGCATGATGGACTGCAAGTGAAGCATGATGCTCTTTCGCAAGAATGCAACGAGCTCACAGACAAAGTTGAACGAATCGAACGCAGAGCAGCTGAATTAACTGAACAGGTTGCTTCTGTAAGTCGTGACCTTTAATCTATAAACCGCTTTGCTTTTTCATTGTAAAGACGATAGGCGATACAAAGAAAGTCGTAGGTTTAAATTGAAGAAATTGCGCAGTGATGCCGCTTTTGTATGGCCAATTTAATTTGCTTTCCGATTTCTTCATGTGAGATTCAAAAGGAAAAGGAGGACCTTCAGGCGAAACTCCTCCGCCTTGAGTCCGTCCTCGAGGCCCGTGAGTGCGAGCGCTCTGAAATGGCCCACCAGCTTCACCTTGCCAACGCCACCGAGGCACGCGTATCTGAGGAGCGGAACCTCCTGAGAGCCGACTGCCAACAGTTGCGCAACCAGTTATCGCGCATCGATGCAGAGTACCAATTAAGTACGGCAGAAGTCGATCGCCTGCGTGAATCGCTTGCTAAAGCAGAGCAGCAGAGAGCGCAGGCTGAGGGCGAAGTGCTGAAGGCCAATAGTAGCCGCTTGGAAGTATCGGAAGAGCTAGCCGTCACGAATATGCAGTTAAGTAAATTGAAAGAAGAGGTTGAAGAACTGAGGAAGGAAGTCAGAGATCAGACCGGAATCGCTTCACGATTAAATGAAGAGCGAGAAGACTTGATGCGAGACAAGGAAGATCTATCATCGCGCGTAAGCGCCGTTTATTATTATTATTATTACCCACCCTAAGTTAGTGTTCTTCTAAAGCCATTTCATAATAGAGAGCTTTGGATTAAGAACAACTTTTACCTACACAAATTAGCTCTCCCTGAATGAGAGGGAACGTCGCCAATTGTCGGATTTGGTTTCAAAGTTACGCACCGATAGGGAAGTTTTGGACAACGAGGCCTTTCTAGCCCAAAGGCAAATAACAGAATTGAAAAACAAGGTCGAAAAACAGGAAACAGACATTGCAAACCTCACTCTTCGTCGAAACAATTTGCAAGGTAAGCTTAAACGTCTATCTATGTTGTGGAGCACTTGTCAACTCGGTAGCGGTTCTCCTAGTTATGCGTTTTTAAGCAAAATTTGAGTTTAGAGACGTTAATTTTTTCAAAGCTGAGGTCCAGCGGGTTAGAAGTGACTTCGAAACGGAGTTGAACAAGATTCAGCGGCAGCGTGATCGCCTCGGAGCAAAATACACAGCTGAAATCGAGGAACTTCGTGGTGCTCTAGCAGCGTCTGAACGAAGGTTGGGTGAAGCCGAGGGTAAGTAGCTCGTCAGGTTCGATGAAGCAGGGGATAGTAGGGGTCACACGGATGTCAACTCTTTTAGACGCCGCTGTTCAAGCGGTTCTTCGTGCAGACCGCGCCGCTGCTGAAGCCACAAAGGCTTCCCTTCGGGAGACAGACCGACATGGGATGAATGAGCGTGAATGTCAACGTTGGGCCGACGAACAGGCACGTCTCAACCACGAGCTTTCATTGGCCCAGAGGTGGGTGTTTTGTCTAACCTGTGACAACTTCCGAAGTTTTCCAGGCCTTAATCTGTGGACATTTCATCTGTACATATGTGTTGAATTATAAGACGGTTTTGTGTGAGCGGAGCATTTGAGCTATTACCAGCAATTCAACGGTCGTGTGTCTTGGTTTCTGTCGAAGCATATATACTCTATAAATGTAATATTATATATTATTTGTCCATAAAGCTGAGTCGGAAGTTTTAGATGCATACTAAGATTTAACGGTTTCTAATAGTAGATCTCCGTCATGCGGGAGTCAATTAGCAGCGTGTAGTTCATTGTGGTGTGTTGTTGCCATTGCAGAGAACGCGACGACGCACTTTTACGGGCTGAACGGGAACGCCAAAAATTCTTATCAATTGCCGCTGAAGATCACGCGGTTGTGAGGGAAAAAATTTTGCTGCTGCAAGAAACGGTACGTTTTTCTTCCCTGAACACGATTGTGCACAAGCATTGCAATAAAATTAACTCAGTTATCTCGTAGATATCAGATCTGGAAAAGACTCTTGAGAGAACAAGACGTGAGTCGGCGTCGAGAGCCGAAAAGGATGATCTTGCACTCAAATCAGCCACGGAAGATCTTCGCGCATGCAAGGAACAGCTTGAAGAGTGCAAGTAAGTTGAAATTTTTATGCAATTCTAACCAGTTTGGTCTTCCAACTCGCGTTAAAAGTTGCCTCCTTCTGCTTAGTCTACCGATTTCGTGTCCTACGGATGATTGTGATGTTAGTTTATTAAGAAGAAACCGCTTTAAGCTGTGTTATCACTCGACCCTTTCAAGAACAGTAATTTAAAATTGTTGCTTGCACGTTTTACGTTTAGCATCATCTGATCGATTAACACTTGCCACATTGAAATACTCTTCGGTTACATGTAGAATTTAGCAGTCTCGAAATTTCTTGAACCAAATTTCTTCCAAATTAATTAACCAGTGTGACAACAGAAGTCCCTTTTTATCGAGCGTATATTACTCAATGTTTGATGTACTACTTGCTGAAACTGCAGCTGCTCCGTTCTTCTCCTTTAAAGAGTTAATCACGAGAAGGAAGTGATTGGTTTGAAGGGACAGATCAGGGCCATGGAAGCGAGTCTTGAGAGGACAGTTCGTGATTTCAACGAGGTCCAACTTCAGCTTCGGTTGTGCGAGGAATCGCGCTACAACAATCGATCTGAGGTTTCGGAAACTGCAAAACTTCTAAGAGAAGGTATGCTGAGAAATACTTCGTTAATTTTACCCTTTTGGCATGATCTCTTCAAAGAATTTGTGTGTTTCACCAGAGATGTAAGATTTTTAGATAACTCAATGACCGACCGTCTAGTAGTTTTCGACAGAGGGCTGTGTGCTAACAGTAATATTTCCTATAGCTGAGGAAAGCCGCAACAGCCTACGTCACGATGTATTCGACCTCCGCAAACAAGTGAACGAGCTGGAGTCTATAAAATCCAACCTCGAGAAAACCAACCAAGACCTGCGTTTGCAAATTCGTGACCTTGAGGTGGAACGCGTTGGACAGAGTTGTGCCGTGAAAGAGATGAAAGAACGTCTGGACTTTTACGAACGAGGCCGAAAAGGTCCGAAGGAGGAGCCACTTGCCTCGCCTATGGCTCCGAGGTCCAGAGATGATCCTCTCATCAGTGAGCTGCGACAGAAACTATTTGCGTGCGAATCCTCGAATTTAGCGCTTCAGCAGACTTGTGCGGACCTTCGAACCAGTCTTGGGGAAGAAATCGCAAACGTTGAAGAAATTAAACGGTAAACAGTTCTCCCCCAGAAAACCATTCAGACAAAACTTTTAATTTAAGTTGCAAAGTTTGCCATTTGGTGGTTCCTATTAGTTATCTTGCTTGTGATTTTGACAAGTTTTATTTTTGGCTGTTTTAGAACAAAAACCTTCTTTTTAAATTTCAGTTGCACGATTATTTCTCTTTGTAGCGAGTGCTCTATGTTGAAGCAACGAATTTCCGAAAGTGAAGAAGCGCGTCAAGCTCTGGAGATGGAGCTTAACAGCGTTCGACGTCGTCATGCAGACGTAGAGGAGCGCGTTAGATCCCGAGAAGGAGCAACCTCTCTGTCAGTGGAAGAAACCAGCAGGGATTGCAAACGCCTCGAGGAGACGAAGCGCATTCTCCAGGCACGGGTATGAAAAAGTACTACTTAAAATATGCATCAGTAGGTTTAAAGCGACTTGCTGGCGTGCTTGTCTTCCATAACCCCAGAACTCTCTTACTTTCACCAACATCAACATGGACATCAACGTCACTTAGCATCATGTAAACTTTAGGTGGATACGAATGTGTTTCCTTATTTTAAAGATTGAAGCCTCAGAAGAAACGATCTCGCGCTTGAATTCCGACTTGAATTCGGCGAGACGGAGACTACAGGTGGTGGAGGAGGAGGCTGCTGCTTCGAGTGAGGCCCAACGGGACGCCGAATCGCGTCTAGCTGGAATCTATTCGGTTATGCATCGTCTGATTGGCTTCAGGCAACGGCGTGGTGGGGGTGGTGCCTCTCCAGTGTTGATGCTTCGCTCGAAGCGACGAATGGACGGCAGCACTGCGGATGGTGATGACACAGAGAAGGGCTTCCGCGTTGTGGGTGATGCACAATACACTGGATCTCCACTGCACGACCGAAGGTCTAGATCGATTTCGCCAACTAAAGGTAGACGTAAAAAAATTGTGGTCTATAAAACTTTTTCGTAATTTGCCCTAGATGTGTGGAGGTCCTGAAGAAGTTACGTTATTTCACGACCATTCAAAGGTTGTACATAAGTACTTGTACTAAAGATATTACAACGCCGAATGTTATTTTTTGTTTTAGAACGTAGGGATTCTGATTCCAGGTCATATTCCGCAGACAGACGGGTTCGAGTTCCGGCAACAGCATGGTCGGATGTATTTGCAGAAAGTGGAATTCTTCAAAAGACGAATACTGCAGGGACAACTGCTGCCTCCTCATCGACGGACTCTCTGGGTCACACTAGACACCACTGCCAACCCCTCTCTTTATTTCATCGCCTACCTGGTTCAGATATCGATCCAGAATCCGTTAGTATTGCCCTGCGTGAGTTGCTGCGTCAAATGGCTCAGCTTGAGAAAGAACGAGACGACGCCGAAATGGCACGACGCGCTGGCGAAGAAAAGCTTTTCGACGTCAACACCCAGTTGCACGAGAAATCCAACGAAGTTCATGAACTAAGGCAGATTCTTCTTTCTATGGAAGATAGTAAGTTGGTATGATGGGAGGTTTATGCGTAGTGTGCATGCCATCAATATGAATTCGTCATTAATTTAGGCTGTTGTACTCGCAGCAAGTGGAAGCGGTCGGTGGTGATTGCTCATGCCTTCTAACGACATAATTGGAAAAACATGTTTAATTTACAGAGCAAAGGTCCTTCTCAGAGCGCTTAAGGCAATCACAAGCTGAGCTGTTGAATCATGAGACGGAAATTCGACGCGTCACGAAGGAACGAGATGTGGCCGTCGTGCGGGCCGAGGAACTTCAAAGGCGACTTCAACTGATTGAGGATGAATGCCAATCTATTCAGGTGAATTAAGGGAGTGTCTCACTTACTGAAACCAATTATCAGTCTTGCATCAACATTTTTGAAGAACCTTCTAGTCATGGTGTATTTCGCAGACCTCCACATTAATATTTTTGCAAAAAATGCTGTGCTTAACGCTTGAAAACGTAAGAAAATCAAAAAATCCAACTTTAGACGATTCTGATGTTGACCAAGATGGAATCAAATGATTGTCTATTGCCATTTAGGAACGTCTAAGTGCTTCCAAAACGCATGAAGCCAAAGCCGCAGAAGAGCACAGACGAGAACTCCGGAAGGCCCTTGAAGACACAGAGGTTCGATTGGCTGCTGCGGAAACTGCACGACGCTCTCTAGAAGCGAATTTGCATCGGCAGAAAACTATCACAGACGACAAATCGATGGAGATTGAAGTAAGTTCTCCTTGATTGGATTCCACACCTAGTCCGAAAATTTTTGTTTGCGAGTTTTTGTGATCTGTCGTTGATGAAGACGTAGAAAACCCTAAGAAATGATGAATTTTATCACCTCTGCTGAGAATTCAACCTAGTTTATCTAACTTCTGCGTCCTGGCGAGGTCCCGGGCTCGGATTGCATTGCTAACTGATTCCGGCTTACTCTAAAATCTTTATAAAGAGACTAGTGAATCGTGCTGAATCACGCCTATTTACCTGGTTGCTGCATTCCACGGCACACTGCCCCCTTTTCACATCATGCACATCAGCCATACAGGACCGTTTGCCCATGCACCCCAAAGCACACACTTCCTCCGCCATCAGCTTCACTCATTTGGCCATCTTGTCCTTTGTACTTTGGCAAGTTCGTTCAGGTTGTATGGGTCAACAACCGGGAGGTCACCAACTTAAGGTAGATATGCGTCAAATCTCGGGGTCACCAAATTTTGAAGGCTCCGACATCTGGTCTCGAACAACACTGGGGCAATCGAGTTGCATAGACCCGTCTACGGAAATACCGAGAACACCGAAGATGTCGTCGTGTGCGTAAATTCAGATGTGGTTGCTGATCAAAACAATTTGGGTGGGCTGGAAAGCGGAGGAGATTCGTATGCTGTGTGAGCGGACGATCTCGCATTGCTGACGGGGAGGCTGTGAAAAAGGGGCAGTGTGTCGTAGGATGCAGCGACCAGGTTAACAAACGCGAATCTGTTGAAGCCCTTTACCACACGAAGTAACCCAGGAAGAAATAAAGTCCAGAGATGGCAGGCACGACCGTTTACTAGACAGCCCAACAGAGTTATGTGTGTTTGTACTGATACAGTTGAGTGGGCGTGGAAAAAATATACAGGCGTCTGTGAGGTCACATGACTAGAGCGGGTGGCGGTGGCACATGCAGAGGGGTTAATGAACCAGCGGCCTCACGTGACTGACGGGCACGCCGTTAAAAGGGGGGGGGGGCTGTGTTGGAAGCTGGGGCGACTGGGTTATTGGACATGAATCAACACAGTTCACTACAGCCCTCCCCCTTAACGAAAGGAATGGACGAACCTTTTCTTCCAACGGGATATCTGAAAGGTTGATAGTGAGACAAGTGGCGCGGGTCTGAGTTAGGCGATGGTCAGGGTGTAAGAAAAGGGGTCAGGCAGTGTAACGATCAGGCCAATGAACGCGCCTACCATAACGTGTAGCGGTAATCGTTTCTTTATTGTCAGAAAGGATGGGAGTTGGCTGTAGCACGGGTTTGATGCTTGACGGCGTCTCCGCGTCGAGGAATGCTGGTTTGATGCGGCCAATAGAAATCAAAACAATTCATTACAAACCAACGAATGAGCTTCATTCCCAACACTTCAATTGCATTCAGTCACATGCCAATTAACATTTGTTTCGGTTACTTTGACATCCAGGCACTCAAGGCGCGCTTAGTGAATACGGAATCTGAAATATCGACTCTAAGAGAAAAGTTGACTGAAGCAGCAAGCAATATCGATCGCCTCTCTCAAGAGTGCCAGAAGTCAAATCTGGCCGAAACAGACGCGAAGAAAACGGTCGATCGATTTTCAGAACGAATCAATGATCTTGAGAAGCACAATTTGCAACTTCAAGAGAGACTGAGTGACGCTCAACGCATGATGACAACCATGGATCATGACAATCGTGTTATGCAAGTGAGCGATCCAATTGTTAATCATGTTTTCCTTGCTTTATTAATCAATCGTCAAGTCTTCTGCTTGCACTGGAAACTCGTGCTTTTGTGTCAAGGACTTTAATCAAAGTGTGTATTTGAATTTTTTTTGGTATTTCAGGAACGATTTGAAAATGCTCAGATGAGTCTTCGGGACTGCAGAGAGCAGTTGGAGCAAATGAATAACCGCGTACAGAAACTTCAGGGTGACCTTGCCGAAGCTGATCTCCTTCGTTGCGATCTTGAAAGTCAAAATCGACAACTGATGAGACAGAACACCGAGCAGGATGCGCTGCAGAAGGAGTTGACGCAACAGATCATCAGCCTTAGACGTCAGCTTTATTCATTTCGATTTATTAACTAAAAATTACAATTTTCATGCCCCTTTTCCTCTTATTCAGTGGAAAAGGAATCAACACAGGTGAAGGTAAAAAATCTCATGAAGACCCAGTCAGAATGGGACAAGGTTAAAAACGATCTCGAAATGGAAACAAAACAATTAAGAGAGAAGTTACACGACCTGCAAATGTCCTTCGATCATGTAAGCTTTCTTGGGTTTGCTTGAAAGACACCATGTGTGTTTTTTAAGGAAAGGAACGTTGCAACAAACGAAACCCTAGTTTATGTAGCATATTCATTGATTCGACTGTCGTATTTACCACGAGATCATCGGTGCGTGAGATTTGACGATTTACAGTTTTTTTTAAATGGACGAAAAGTCGTCTGTTAATATCCTCAACTGCGAGCAGACGTTTTATTGGTCTGACGTCTTCTAATGCTATATTGATAGTTGACAAGAGAAAGAATGCGTGAGAAGGAGCTGAATTCGGTCCTCATATCTGGTCAAGAGGAGATGCGTAAACGAGCACAGAAGCTTGAGGAAGACAACCTTGAATGCAGGCGCCAGATTCAACGGCTAAGCGTAAGTCACTTTGCAGAACGTTGACCAAAAACAGCTTACTCATTATTTGTAGGGAGAATGATTTGAGAGATGGGAGAAACTATCGCTATTTTTAACTCCTGTCTTGCTTTTTTGCGGAACTTCATACTCTACCCTCTAAAAAAACAAAATAAGTTCAATTGATCAATAAGAACTCGAAGATATTAAATGGAAAAGCATGTTAATTCCATTTTCTTATATGGATATCGACGTCTCCACAGGTAAAGAGTACAAGATCTTTCCCACTGCGTTTCGTTGTAATTTGAACGATATCCGCTCGACTGCTGTACCGCAAATCATGGGCCAATCTCCTCGTGTCGATTTTAGACCGTTCACTAACTATGTTTACTGAGCACAAGTTAACAGACATAGATCATCGAGGTCGCAATTCAATACAATGCTGCATTGCTCCAAATTTGTAATCAAACATGGAAGACACAATGAACTTGTTATCACAACTGTTCAATGGGGGCAATGTGTAGCAGATCAATGACTACTTTTTCTCGCAGGCACAGCTCGTCCTTCGTGAGGAGTCACATGCCAGCCAAATGGACGAGGTCGTTCGACAGCGACAGCATCAGGTCGAGACAGAGCTCCAACAGAAATGCGCAGAACTGGAGCAATGCGAAAAGACTCTCCGATCCCGCGAAAGTAGCCATCGACAAAGAATCAAGGCGCTGGAAGACCAGGTTGTTTAATTTTTTAGTGCAGCTTGACGTAACTGAGACGTCAGAATACATTTTAAGTTGTGTACACGCATTGCATGTTAATGTATTTCAGTATTTATAAAGTAAAATTCTGTCTTGAACTATGCAAACGTGTCGACGATGTGGCAGATACGTTACAGCTTTGATTTTAGCATAGACAGCGCTGGCGGGAATGTCATAACTTTACACAGAGGGCAGTGGTTTATTAAACTTAATGCCATCGAAGCTTTCACTCTCAAGGCACTAAATGTGCGTATCTGCTTAGTGATCGCCTTTAGATATTTACAAAACAGCCATAAATTTTCATCAAGGTTAGTTTTCACGCCCTTAAACGTGACTTAACTGGTTTCTGTGCGTACGTCGCCAAAACGAGTTGGCGAAAAATTTCACCACTTTTTCCTGCATAAACATGTCATTTTGATGACTAGCTCATGTTTAAACTGTAGTTAAAATATGCGTATTTTGATAAACGATTTTTGGATGCCTTAGATTGACTTGCTGCGATAATTCGAAGAATTAGCCGTAACCAGGCGACCTTCGTGTTTCATTAGTTTCTGCTTCGCTCCTCTAAACCGCCCCCATGAACTTGTTAGACCCCGTAAATTATTTTCCCATGTAAAATTTAACGGCAATAAATTTAGCCTGGGGCAACGCCTCTTCACAGAGCTCGAATGTGGGGGACGATGTTGTGAGTATCACATACAAAAACACACCGAGAACGTCCGAAGCGGATGAAACAAAATTTGGCGGTCTTTCGTTCCCGAACTAACCATCGTTTTATCTTATTTTTACAGCAAAATTAAGGATTCCCCTCGCATCAATTTCAAAACCAACTCAATAAATTTATCCACTTGAGTTCTTCCTTTAACCACTCCCACATTTTTACAACTTCATAAGTTCGTAACGGCAAGGAAAACTAAATCATACTACGACCTCACAATAGCTGTTTCGTCTAAACCAGGGAGAATCATGTCAGAGACTAGATTTGAACCAATTCAGGGAAAGTGCACTCAAATATCTCTGGTCAGTGATTGTTTTATGGGTGATTAAACTCATTTTTTTTTATAAAAACCAGGTTTCATCTTCTTAAATTTTGGTTTACAAGATGAACTCCACATGAGGTAGTAGTAACAGTAGATTTATTTGTTGTGAAACCGAAAAGAACGGGAATAAAATTACTTCCTAATGGCAGGTGAAGGTTCTGAATGAACAACTGACTCACGAGGTTGGCAGGCGTCAACTTTACATGTCAACAAGCCGCCTCCCAGTCGTCACGTCTTCCGTTGGTCAATATCCTCCGATGAGTTACCTCTCGCAGACCCTAACTCACTCCCACGATTCCCTGATCAGCCCATCTGACTACGCACGATCAGCTGTAAGTCGTCTATGTCGTTTCAGCAACCATATAGCTTCCAATCAATTTAAGTCCCGTCTACATATGCTTTCGAAAATGATTTTCAGGCTGGTAAGTTACGCATTTGTAGAACACACGCACATTCTGTAGCTGTGTGAGTAGAGAAAGCAGCAAGGACCTTGGTTGAATCGTGCATCCACTTTTCAGGAGCGGCCATGGAACAGCAAACCACCTCAAGCTCTGCCAGCCCTCTCTGCTGCAGTACCTTCTAAGGATCAGGCCTCATCGGTGAGTATTCAAACGGAGTCCCGCAGCAGTCATGAAACTATAACGAAGCGGGTTACCTGAGTTCATTCCATGGTGTTGTTCCTCTCAGCGTCACGTGTTTTGATCGACCAATCGCTGTCGAACAAAAAACACATTCCAGAGAAACTCTGCCTGATCTTATTCCGTCTCCATGTAAACATGAGTGTGATAGCATTGTTTTTATGTACCTTTTAATTCTGCACAATAGAAACTTTTCAATTAACTGTCACTTTGATTCGTGTTTTTGTCGTGGGATAAAAAACAACATCCCCTGTTCTACGAGGTGATTGATTTCAATCATACCGCGCTCTGCTTTTATAGGAACCGTTTCGTTGTAAATAATTTTTTTGCATCAACACTCCGCACATTCAACGCTGCTACGTTGGAACCGTTTACAAGCCATTTTGGCACGCGGGCTACGTAGACCGGTGATTTTCGAGTTTCAAGGATAAGGACAAAAGTAGGATCACGGTTTAAATGAAGTATTTACGCTGGCTGTAAAAATTTATGAAAACACTTCCTTGTTAGAAACACTTATTTGTCCAATGGAGTTTGTGGAAATAGAAGCATCATCCACACATGGAAACACAAATCAGGACAATGAATGATACAACCAGTGAAATTCCGGAAGATCCAAGGAGAATCACCCAAAATACAAAATTCTGCGCTTCTTGTTGCCTGGTGTCAGACAAGGTTTTAATTAGCAAACGGGACTTTTAAATAGCACTGCATCAAATCTTAAATCACTCAAGAAATTAAGCATGGATTTTGCAATCATAACAAAATTTAGGCCAGGCAAAATGCAAATAATTCATGGACTACGTTATTTATTTTGAATCGAATCATTAAAGTAGTTATCTGACATTTGAATGACTCCAGGCTTAGAAAGAGATTAAGCCAAACGTACTTAAAGTGACAGAATGCGTGAAATAGGCAAAAACAGGTAAAGAACTCAAGTTAGTAGTGGTGAAAGCAACTATCACATTAGTGAAAGAACTGGTATTCTATGTAAAACAGTTTTCTCTGAATACAACGTACACTAAACAAACAGCATTTGCTAGCGTACTTCGTTACTGGAGTGCATTCAATAGTGACTGCAGTGGATTTAATCGTGAACTTTAAAAGGACTCGAATCTCGCTAAAGTACGACACATTTTTTCTCCTTCACGTGTTTTCAGGACAAAACCACTGAAGTATTGTGAAAAAGAAAGTCGCTTCCACTGTCGTTTTGGTATTCAGTAGTTCAAGAAGATTTCATAAAGATCGTGTGGTATTCGACAAGCAGGCGTTTTATTTTAACAAACACAATAAAACGAAGGCGTACTTCAAGTCGGTGCGATGGCAGCCAATCAGCACGAAGAGTTAGCCACACGGACGAACAGAACGTGTCAGCCTCATTCACGCAACTGCTTCGACTTACAGTAGCGAACAGTGGATTTTAGGGATTTCGTGACGTCAGGGGCGGTTTTCGTTTTTTCTAATGGTATCATCATCAAAGAGGTGCTTGTGGGCATGAAACTTAGAGTACGAGTCGGCAGTGGCAGAAAATCGACGTCTTAAAATGAACTGTACATTTACGTGTGCGTTCAGTAAAATTTGCATATTTATGCGTGATTTATTCGTGAAAAGATGAATTATGAGCCAAAAGCATGTACTTTTGAAATGTGCATCAGTTTGCTTAACCGAAAACATCAAAAAAATTTGCCATGCAAGCTGCAAACTTGCCTGAAATTTGTTAGCCTGATTTGATCTGTAGTGATTCGTTCGGTTTCAAGTTGTTTTGGTTCAAACTATAACAGATTTCGTAATGATTGGCGATGCACAGTTCGTGTCAACAGATGAAGGAGGAAGAGTAAACTAAAACAATATGCATCGCCCTCGAAAAAGACAGTATTGTGTTTTTATAGCAGCGATTCTTGTGGTTTTAAGGCCGTCTGTGAGCAGAAAATGGCCGCTTTTGATTTATGCATATTAGCACAATCCTAATGCGCAGATTACTGGACTGCATCACCTGTACTTGCTTGATGCCATCGTATTTAATAAGAAATAGATATGGTTTCAAGGTCGGAAAAATCTACTTCTAAACTGGGCAACTATTTTACTGAGACAGAATGAACACTTTTACCCAAAAACCTCCAAATGAAATTGTAAATGGAGAAGGCGAAGGTTGGTAGAATCTATTTCTTTCATCCAAAGGCAGCGAAAATAAGAATTAGCAAAAGTCTGGTATCTGAAGTTACTTGGAATGTATTAATTTAGTCCAATGTCATAAAATGCGGGTCTTCAGAAAGCCAGTACATCAAGGTCATCAAAACTAAATGCAATAAAAATTTGTAGACAGAGAAAACGGAACAAAACATGTTTTGGTGGGAAAAGATGTTGTGGGTCGAGTGTATTTGACTAGACGAGTGCAGGTAGGGGGAAGTGTTGCAATGTCCAAGTATTCGGCTTGCAAACAAACCCACAGCCAAGTAGAGGGGTCTTCTGCCAGAAGCCTGAAGAAGAAATAGGGTGGCGTGGCCGCATAAAGGTTATTTTGGACCAATAAGAACTTATTTTTTCAGTCTGCTTTAATATCATCTGATGTCTCTCTTGGCAAGAACCTGAATCCCTGTTGGAAATATCTGAAATTTTCAGGCAAATGTATTTTAACTTTATGATACAATCTGAAAATCACACAATTTTCCAAGCTCTTCAACTTGCGATGTGTCTTGGAATAAGTAACATGTTGGCAATCATAATTTGATATTTCGATGCTTGATGACGACAAATGACGCAATGATGAAATTGTTTACTAGGTATTTAGAAACGGGATGGCGTGATAGACTCCCATTCCTCCTAAATTAGTCTACGATAAATGCTCTAAAGTGTGCCGGATGATCAAATTGTCCTAACCTTTCCGTTTTAGAGTAGATTTAACATTTGTACACTTCAATTGCGTCGCCAATGACAGAATCATGGCGTCTGCTATTCTCTAGGTTCAAAAGTTGAATCTTAATTGAACTTTGAGGTCAGTGACAAATTTGATATTGTGATTACGGCAAAACCAACTTATTATGTTTGCCAGTTAAAATATGAGACAAGAAACACAACTGAGGAGTTTAGCTTGTGCTAAACTAAAATTAATGGTAAATCATTGAAGTGGATTCGAACCCATGCTTCTAGCACTGACGTGGACTTAACTAGAGATTGCTTTCAATCACTACTTCAAAGTGGATTCGCCTTTACCTATTCATCTGAATTCTGATATTTAGCTATGGAGTTTTCTGATACAAATATTTTATGTTCCAAAGCCACATCTACGTTGGTGAGTTTTTCCAACAATCTCAATGTTCACATGCCGACGATCCCTTATCTAGATGTTCAAGTTCAACAGCTTCATTAAAATCAATAACTAACCACTGAGTCTGGATACTCAAATGATTCCCAATTAACTATAGGAGGTCGGTGAACAAAACATGTCATTGGCATTGGTCAACGCCTTCACGAGTTTTAGTCTACCTGCACGGTATCCTGTCTAGATGTTCTTTTTAGTTTGCTGATGCGCATCCCTACCAAGCACTTGAGGAACTGGGGGAATCGGTAACAATGGTGTTATCTGAGGGCGTGTAAAGCCTTATAAAACGAATTTAAGTAAAAAAGCCAGTTACAAGGACTAAAAGCGTTGTTGGATTTGTCCTCGGTAGCATTGATAGCTGACAAAAGCCATTTGCATATAACATTGTATTTAAAAAAATATCGTGACAAATCCTCTTTTTGTAAAGAGAAATAAGAAATATAAAGGGGATTTTCGAATTGCTGCGGAGGCAACAAAAAAAGCCAAAGTGGTTGGATGTATGTGCTTTCTTTGGCCAAACGAAATGGTGTGAATGAGAGGAAAAAATTAAAAAAAATGGTGTGGGGGTGGACACAAAATAAAAAAATACATTATACCGTTGTCGTAATCATTCAAAATCAAATCAAATGAATTGCCCTGAGTTTGGATGGGAGCACAAAGATCGTCAATAATTGTCGACAATGCTCCAGTGCTTCCTGAACCTTGGTCTTCTGGACGTTGTCGGGTGATTCCACTGTAAGCCGCTGGACATTGTGCGAGGAAAGGGAAGGAAAGGCATTGCATTGGGACCGACCCACATAGATGTGGTGCCCCGTCTTACTTCCTCATAAGCTATCAGCTGGCGCCAAAATCCCAGATTCGGTTGAATACATGGTCTGATGGAGCGCACGCGGTCGTATGCCTCGGCCAAGCTCATTTTCTGATATTTAATTAAGTAAGCAAGGACAATGGATGCCGACCGCGATACTCCAGCCATACAGTGAACTAGAGTTCGCCCACCGCGGCGTGCTTCCTGGGCTATCCTGTCTGCCAACGCGTCGAAGTGAATTCCGAGGTTGGTGAACTCAATATCTTCCACCGGTACCTGAACATGCGTAGTTACCTGTGATAGAATATCTTCAGGTAATGTCCCTGGCATTATAGAGATTAAAAGTGTCACCCCATAATTCTGCAGCCTTTTTGGGGTGATGGCTTGTAAGCCACTGAGATAGAGATGACTGTTGATTGTCGAAATCTTATCGAAAATGTCCAAGCTGGGGTAAAGTAGAAGACCTGGAGAGTATGGGAGAAACGGCGCAATGGGCCTAGAGCTGCTCCAGAAGGACACTTTTGATTTGTAAGGCGTCAAATCTGTCATCATGCCTGGTACAGAAAGCAATATGCCTAGTCTAAACTAAGCGCCGAGGTTTTACACAAAGCTGCGATGTTCTGATTGGTTTAAAATAAATGAACCAATTGGGTAACCCGTGAGACCAGTGGACTGAAACTCAAGCAAAAATGCAAAGCTAAAGTGATTTTCGCAATTTGTTCCCTCCCCAAGTGACCGAACAAAATTTGATTTAATCATTTAGGCTGCTGATCGCTTCGGAAAACCATTAGTCTCGGAGAAATTGCCTATATCAGCAGCAAAACTCGCGGCTTGATTTCTCGTGTAAGCAGACTCCAAATTGAAAATTCCCGACTTGACAAACGCATCCTACAGAACGACGTTCGAGTTCACTAGGGATTTTCGCATCACTAAATCCCACCTTTTACTTCACCAATACCTGTATGGCCTCCAAGTATTCTTTTATGTACTGATTTGACATGAGCCTGGAAACTTATTCCTAGACGCGTTACTGGTCAATTTTATGTTGTAGTTGATGGTGTTTAGGTTATGGATAATTCCGGTGTATTATTACAGGACACAATATCTGGAGAACTGGTGAGTCAATGATGTCAACTTGATTGCTCTAAACACCCTCATTAATTCAGGCCCTGTTCGACAAGTAGCACTAAGCACATTGGATGTACATGGATATTTCATATGCCGTCAGGGTTGCGGTAGTTTCGGTGTTATTTTGCAATGGCTTTCAGTTACCTTATATGGGAAAAATTAGCTTAAATTTTAACAGCACGTGCCATTTCAGTAAAGACGTGAAGAATAAGTTTACATGTGAAAGTAGAACCTAGTATCACGCAAAAGCATTTAAAAACTGCAGTTGTCAGTCACAACCTTCCCATGGAAAAGTAGAACAGTTTCGTAAAATTGTGGCGCAAGATTATGGTTTTTGACGGATTTAATTAATGGGATGTGTAAAGTCCTTTTTGAGTGGAAAACTTTCATCTACTCAATTTGAGGTATAAGTTAAGCAGTTATGATGGTTCCAGAGTTGGATTATGAGGCAATTCGGGGTGATACCTACGGGAACTTTAATGTGTAAATTACAGTTTGAAACAAAGCGAGATACGGGGAATGCAAAATCAGCCATTATGGTGTTTGGAGTCAATTGAAGAGGTTTGGTTCAATGAGGACCTTGAAGCGGTGGAAAATGATCTCAAGTCAACCAATCAATGGTTCCAAAACACTGGTCCTATGGATGAATCGTCATTCATCCGTTCTTCTAATGCACTTACGCAGTATCTCCAGTCAGCCATATTAATGTGAATTAAAGACAATGACTAGGTTTGGTTAAGTTAAAGGCGTCTATCCCAGTCCAGGCTGCGACTCGTTTCAAATACACTTTTAAACCAAATCAGTTCTACAATTGCATCGTAAACCTTAATTTAAACAGAAGCCTTAACCTGAAACTCGTCACACGTTAGAGCTGGATTTACCAAATGCGCAAATGTTCTGGCTGTCCACAAGCGGGGCCACTGAGATAAACCCAAAACAGCACAAGTCAACTGACCGTCTCTGACAGTTTCCGGGACGATGCTTAGGTTTCTGTGTGGGTAGATGTAGTCACCGTGCGTTAATCACGGGTTCTGCATGTTAATTGCCAAAAAGAACCCAGCTGTCATCTGCAATGTAAATTTATTGAAGAGAATAAATCAATGTACGTCTGAACAAAAGTGCACTGCAAGTGGTTGTATGTTAATTTGTGCCCTAATGCCTTCAGTTAGCTGTAAACTCTACTGATTTGTGTGTATAAGCACCGAGATATCAGATGCATCTAAATTATTCAATGCTGCCCGCATCGCAAAGCATTACAAATCAATAAGTGATATGTGTTATCCACTGTGATTCTGTACGAGCACCGCTCACAAGCTGCGCAAAATTTAGACGACTGCCCATCAGGCGGTTTGCACCCAAAAATGAAGGGTTGACGAGCAATTTCTTAGTTCAGGGCTACTAGAAGGCGCCGGAAAGAGTATCTAGCAGCAGCATGTTAAGAGTAACAGCTAAAAGAGAACAGGAAACTCACATTCCTTCTTCCTGTGCTTTTTCATTTCCTTTGAACACTACTTTATTGAATAACACGATGGTTCTTGGATGGTTTGTATGGAATTAAGTCAAGATTAAGGCAGCATAACATTACATATAATTAAATAGGTCTTTGAGGTTCAGACTTCCGTAACAACAAAAAAACAAAATTTTCAAATTCTAAAAACCATTTGCAATTAGTAAAATTCTACTTTTCTTGAATCTTGCACGGCATCAAATATCAAAAATGCCACATGATCACTTCCTATCTATTTTTTAAGGCATTCCACGGAAGCAATACCAATATTAATAAATATTGTTAGTTAATACCCGTTGTAACAATTAATGGCACATGAGAACATGACGTCAATGCTTAGCAAATTTAAAAATTACACAACGTGTACTAAGAGCGCCCATTATAAATTTTATTATCCAAAGTTCAGAGAATTAACCCATTAGAGTTGACATTTTTAATATGGTCAATTGTGCAAACATTAAAAGACACCATAAGCAAATTCTGCACTTGAGCAATGCCAACATTGTAAATCAAACTGATAAAATTCCACAAAATTGCATGATCTAATTGTCATAATTTTGAATGTGACTTTCTAATTACGAATATTTTGTGTCTTAATGCGTCTTTCGCGAATATCAGAGGCCGATGTCCTCTATAAATGCATAAATCATAGGCAGTATATGATTAGCATAATCTAACCCGAGTTACCGGAATCTGCATGCAGCCAAAATAACGTAATACAAGTAATTTAAATTAACGCTTGTTTTTGCCAGGCTCAAGACTTGATTTCAAAGGTTTCTTCGTTTCTATGCAAAGAATTTGTGGGTTTATCGATATCATTTAATGTCAGTCAATGAAGCGTTAAATGAGTCATTTCTAATTTTGATATTAATTGGAAATAAGTGTCAAATTGACCTGAAGGCTTTCCCTTAACGGGCCTACTGTCGGTACAATCTGATTGGTTGGTTGTAGCTTGTTTACTCTGGGTGGTTAGCGAGTGGCTATGACGTCACATATCTGCGACCTAGCAGTCGATAGGTTTTATTTTTCATGACAGTCACAATGACGAGGCTGGGGTGGATTTCCCTATTAGCTTGTAGTGGTTTAGCAGTACCTTACAACCCTCTGGTTAACAGACCGTAATAATCCGAAAACAAAGGCAAGACAGGCGACAGCGGATACGACAGATTATTCGAGCCAAACCAGACAAGTGTATTTTTGTACGGATGAGCCCGCATGCATAACAGGCAACTGACAATAGTAACCAATAGAAAATAGGGATGAGTCATCAAAACCAATATTCCGGCAGACTTGCTCACTCACGCGTAATTGTTGCAATCCACTCACTCGTAGTGCGATTCAGGAATGACCTGTGACTACGGATTGTCACATAACCAAAATCCAAATTCGAGTGTTTTAAGTAAATCCAAATAATTTACTTTTTAAATTGAAAACAGCTGCGAAAATGCGCATGCCATGTTTTACAGTGCCAATGAAGTTGAAGTAAATGTGATTTATTTATAAGAGAGAACTAGAAATTCCTTCATTTAAAACGATTAAATAAACTAACATAGCGTAATTAAGCTCTATTTTGCGTATCTGTTTGAGGTGTTCTGAGGAGATGTGTTGATTTAATTTTCACTAAAAAGGTATTTTTTGGATGCAAGTGCGTTCTGTCTCTCTTGGTATACTCTAAGCTACCTCCTAGGGCTTCCGTTAAGTTACATGTGCTATATTAGCTACACATTTATTTGACTTGTACGTTGGTTAAGGTGAACACACTGGTAGACTGTTAGTGAGTAGCTCAACGCCTCCTCCCCCTCCTCCTTCTACAACATTTAGATTGGAGACCACATTAGCCTGACTTCCCGTCTCATTTTCGACGCTTTGCTAAGGCCAGATTCACCTAGTAAAGTTAGTAACGAAAGACTTATCCTTGGAGTTGGTTTGTATTTATTTTGGTTCAATATTTCTCGACCGTTCTTTTTTGCTGCTCCTATGGCTGCACAACCCCTGTGTTCACGATTTAGTGGGCCTGAAAGTGTTATAGTTTTTGAATCCAAATTTGAAAATGCTCTGATTTATGATTTTAAATCCAGGAGACACGAAGGATTTTGAAGGCGGCTTGATACTTTCATTATCGGACTACACGAGTAGCGTTCACGGATCTTTATATGATATTCTATTAATGAATTACGTTTATGCTGCTTCTAGTAATTTCATCGCCAGCGAAGGAAATGACTAATTCGCAAAGTTATGGTGATAACCAATGATCGTTAGAGTTGACACCTCATCCTAGAATCTATTTACTGTTTGCGTTATCCTACTAGCTCTCGGGTAAACTTAATTAAGCAATTTACCTTAATCGAGTCATGAGACCTCTGATAAATCATTTACCTGAATCGTAATTTAGAAATACTATTGCTTTTCAATTACCCTTGTCTCCAAGAGTCATGGCCTTTTAAAGATGGTGAAAGTGCTGTATGTTGGTACCACACTTGACAATCTGCAAAAAGTGGTAATCAAGGAAGACTCAACTGAATGAACGGAATGACTATAGCACCTCACTTGCTGGCATCAAAATTTAAAGCACGGGTAGAAACCCAGAAACGAAATGCACCTAGAAATCAAATTGAGACTGTTTAAATCCAAGTGAGTCCCAAAATCCTGTGGCACTAATTTCCCACACAAAGAGCCCCTCCGCTTTCGCCACGACTACGGCCAGTGTCAAACGTTATGCGTTAGCATTTTGCTCCGATTCTAAACCGTGATTTAGTTTTTATGGGTTGATTAATCTAAATTAACCAAAAACGTAGCAGTCTGCACCATCATATCATAGCAATTTATTTTAGCATAATAACCTCTATTTCTGCAGAAACCGTGACTAAGCCAGATATGAGGGAAAGTGCATTTTGGCTTCAGGAGACCACAAACTGCTAGAGTTGTTGATGAATTCATTTTGTGAAAAGAGACGTCTTCTCGAGATGCCATTAATGTGATCATATAATTAAATTTTGAAAGGAAGCCAAGTACGCAAAATTCAAGATTTAAAAGTGTTATAGTTTAACACCACACCGATGTAAAAACTAAAAGGCGTATGTAGTCCAGCTCCCCCTTGTTCGGCCGCCCCCGCACTGGCACCCAGACGGAGCACGTATGAGTCAGCGACTCCACAACCTGCACAAGACAAGACACCTTGCTGAGAGCTTTCACTGACTCAGCCAAATTCTGCGTGGAAGTTCACATGCTCCCGCCCATTTGTGGCGTGGCGGCCTTCAGTGTGAATAGTAGAACTTGTTCACTCAAAATTTGGTGTAATTAACACGAATCCCCGATAAGAAGGCAACAAATTTGCAAGTCTCCTATGCGTTATAAGGCATTTCGGGAATAGGGTATATAAAATTTGAAAAAAAAACCTCACTTTAATCCGAGAAATTGTGGATTAGTTGTTGTTGATTTCGAATGACATTGACGCGCGCTTTGAGTGCTTTACATTAATTGCCATCCCTTCCTTCATTTCCGGGCGTTTAATAGCGTTTTGTATCGACGACATGAGCACAGTTTATACCTTAGAGTTTGTGCTTAGCAAGCTTCAGTGTACATTAAAATCGGAAGATCTAGTTTCACTTTAGTAGTGCCTCTGGCATTACTTCATCTACCTGTGCCTAGCCCCATTCTCCTCCAGAAACTCCACTTTCTTCCAAAAAAGGGCTCAGTTTTGGAGAAAACAGGATGTATTAATGAACAGTCGACCTGATCACTTTGTAAGGCGAAAGTGGATTTCGATTACCTGAGCGTATTCTCAGGGGTGCTTTTAAAATCAACAAACAGGACGATCCTTTTTTTAAAATTGCCTCTGATGTAGAATAAGTTCAAGTGGGGACGGCGCCATGACGTCCTGTAGTGGACAGACAGCCACCTCGTGTGAGTGGGCGTGTACCATGGCCCTAGTGTACCAATGACTCACCCCTTCTGTTATTGGCTTCTGCCTGCAATCGCATGCGACTCACGCGTACCCATGCGCACACAAAGCCACTTGGCTGGTTTGACACCTCTGTCCTCTGTCGCCCCTTGTTCTATTCTTCTCTGGTTGTTACGAGCCGTTAATTAGGGGGTCGTAAGGTGATGCTAAATTCAGCCACTACATTCTCATTATGAAATGACGTAGTAGTCTTGAAGTCAGTTTGGCTGAACAGCACAATAAACTTGTGTATTGCACTTCTAACATACACGAGTCAGGAAAGAGAGAAAGTGTTTTGCCGTGTGTTTATTTCTTTCCATTCAAATTTTTATTATCATGTAGACCGTTGATATAAGAGATAGCGTGGGACTTAGAAGCCTGACATGTAATTCAGAGGGATAACCATGAGCGCACAAGCAGTTCTTGATTTATGACAGGGAAACGTCAGAAAGAAGCAAAATAAACTCAAGTAGCTCATGTGAATTACTCATTTTCATATTGAGTCATCATTGTACCTAAGAGTTGAAAACACTTGATCACATTCAAATTTTGACTGTTGGTATGTAACTAGGTAACTACACACATTAGGATAAAAAAAGAGCCAGATTATAGTTTCGGTCCTTTAACACAAAGTGAGCGATTTAAAATAACGAAGACGATAGATTGTGTCAGTGTTTTTGTTAACTGTAAGTGCGAAAACCGAAATGTGGTTAGATGGATGATTTTCTAAGGACATCTGAAATAATTCCGCGATTAAGACCCACATAATACATAAGTCTAAAAAAATTTAGTCCAAATATAAAAAAAGCATGTGCAGCATGGATTCCATGTCATGTAGGGGCGTTCGCAAAGAGTCAGCATTTGTGGATACACTAGATTCGATTGCGTTTTGGTCACAGTGATAGCTTTGCACTGTAGGGAGTTGTGTCAGAAATTGTACCGAAAGCCCTACAACTCGGATTGACGAAACGGGAAACAAACCAGTCACCGTGTGTTTAAGGATAGATGAAGTAGAAGAGCATGTTTTAAGACGATTTACTTTTGTTGATACATATTTGCTCAACAATGGATGCTAGGGACAAATCTGAACTGATTAATTACAATTTCTATTAAAAGTTAGAGATGGATACTTCGACATACGCATTGTTAGTACTAAAAACAGGTAAATCAATATTTATGGGGACTGATTTTAGTGCAAGTTTTGCTTATTCCTGTGCGATTCGAAACTAGATTTTACATCTACGAATAACGCCGTTGCAAAATAAAACTAAGATCCAGACGCTAAAAAGTAAAATCTGATCAATAAAATATAGCTGTTTATTTAACGGTGGGAGAGATAGACACTTAAGAATACCTGTAAAAGTGTATAACTTAATATGGCCGAATGTCTTGAATCAAAAAAAGCATATTGTCTCAAACATCATCATGTTATTGACCATTTCCACGTTGTTTGAGTTCTGATTCTCACTAAGCACCACTTGCGATTTGCTCCATTAAGATGGCAGCCATTTTGCCCACATACGCCAGCCTGGTCTGCCATTTATTCCCGTGTATCCATCCGCCATCCTGATATCCTCAAGCCGCGCTTATGAGCCTGCAGCTCAATCCTGATCCCAACCTTCATTCACATATTCTGAATCTAGTTTTCTGCTCATTTTCTAGCAGCTCTGTCTTTGCATACATTCGTCTGAAATACACCAATTCTATCGTCCTTTCTTTCTTTTGTCATGTGGCAAGTAGTTAGCCCTTGTGGAGTGGGTATCTTTGAGAGCTAGACTGATATTGACCTCTCCCTTTAGGTCCCGCTCAATAGGTAAGTTAAAAACTGGACGAGCACAACATACTTAGCCTTAACGTGTTATGCAATGCTTAACTGCCATCTGTTTGTCTACTAGCATAGGAGTTATACGGTGTTAAATGCTTTGGATATTCTTTCATGAATATAGGATTGTAAATGTCTATGCAGGAACGAGTTCCAAAGTCCCGAAGACTTTCAAAGGTGATAATAGTGGGAACAAGATAGAACTAAATACCTATGTGACGATATGATTAAAAATCAAAAATTTAAAAGTACAAAGACTTGTTTACTGATAATCTTCGTGACAAGTGAATACTATCAGTCCAGACTTCAATACATATGACCACATGCTGATTTATAACCGTCTCAATGCCTTAAAATATTTACTAAATGAAAAAAATAATTTTATGAAAATCAGGTTGATCTCAATAAAATAAATGAAATAAATTCCCTTATTTTGGTAAAATTTGTTGAATAAAAAACCCAAAACAATCTCGGAATAAAAGAAATAGACAAATTAAAAAAAAAACACATTTTAACAGTCATAATATTATTTACAAATTAAGCAAATACGAAGTACGTGTAATGTAGTCGAATGTTGGTAGCAAAGTCATGAATTTTATCTGTTTAATAAAAGACAGGTCCCAAGATATTTGAAATTCACAGGCCACGACATATTATTTTTTTTTCTTTTTTTATCATTCAGGGAATATGGTTATTCATACCTGATCAAATTTGCTTCAATTATTTTCGCATGGTAAAAAACGAGATTTTCAGAAAGTGTGTTTTAGGGGTGATGTAGAATTTTAATTAGTACTCACGAAGTGACTGTTTGTTTTAATTATTTTCAACGTCTGATCCACCAACCACTCGTGAGTTAAAGATTGTAAAGTAGGACTTGACAAACACTGGAAGTTAATTTATTAATGACGCTACTGCCATGTCCAAAGAAATTAAATAGAACAAATATGGAGTCAAAGTGTGATTAAATTTCACCGTTTGCTGTTCAAAGAATACGATTAGTGATTATTATTTGATTGCTCATCTGCACTAACAGGCCGACATAACCAAAGATAAGTAGGAGAATATATACAGGAATGGGCAAATACTCTTGGAATATGTTCTAGGGTCCAACAAAAGTTTTAGAAAATGGGCGCGCAAGCATAGTCTCGTAAATTAGCAGGGAATTGTCAAACCGCACACTTATGATTCACAAGAATCCAAAAGAAAAGGTATTTTACTCGTTACTATTTAAAACTGGCATCAAAACCTAGATAACAAAAGTCGTTAATATCGTTTGCTAACCAAGTCACAACGAAAAATGACTTAAACAGTGTCGTCAAATCCACACCACCTAGAGATTTTGCTATCAAATGGTTGAAAGTCACTAGCCTAAAATCTAGTTATTAGTTATTAAAACAAAAACGGGTAAGACTAAAAACAACATATTGTAGTTAAATTTGTCGAAAATGAAAAAAAAGAAATTTGTTTTTTGAAGTTAAACTCAATGCTTGATTTTGATTCCACATGACTCATTTTTGTGCAAAAGTGCATTGATAAGGTATATAAAATTGAAAACAAATTTGAAACAATTTTTTTGATTGAGAAATTAAAATAAGAAATAACGTAGAAGATTTTTGTGAGTTTATTTTCCTAACCACTGTTTGTTTAAGATACCAAATCGGCGGTTGATTCCACTAATCAACATGCGTGCGTCAGGCAAGGTACGCATTTTTGAGTCAATCTATTTTGCTTTAGCTGAAGCTTTTCATAGTCGTCGGTAGGCGATTGCCTACCGCCAAAGATCCAAAACCGGTTCCTTACCGTATGAGAATTTTTGCTCCAGATTCCGTAACCGCTAAGTCCCGGTTTTGGTACTTTATTCGCCAGCTAAAAAAAATGAAGAAGGGCAACGGCGAGATCGTATCGTGTAAGAGGGTGAGTTCCAAAGGCTATTATAAGGTTGACTGCGTCATCTGTCATTAACAGCGTAATATCTGTGCGAGTTTGCTATTCATTGATGGTTCTCAGGAATGACTCGGTTCGCATTGTTACCTCTCTGTTTTGTTCTTATGGTCATCCACTCTCTTCTTTTGCTTCTATCTCACGGTTGCAAATTCACTAATGGTTTGATGCACTTCTACCTTATCTCTGGTTTGAAGTCGTGATAATGGTTACACTAAATGATGTTGCCTCTTCAATTTCCCCTCCACCAAAATGGAGTTGTGGCATCTTTCGTGCATCTGGGAGTAGTTGCATAAAGTGAAGGTTTTTGTTTTAGTTGCACCCCAAGAAGCCCCTTACCGTTAAGAACTACGGTATATGGATTCGGTACGACTCGAGGTCTGGGACCCATAATATGTACAAGGAGTACCGTGATCTCTCGGAAGAAGGAGCGGTAACCCAAATGTATCGTGAAATGGGTGCCCGCCATCGTGCACGTGCAACGTCGATTCAAGTAATAAAGGTTGAAGCGATTCCTGATTCGAAGTGTCGGCGGCCACACGTCACGCAGTTTCACGACAAGGATCTCAAGTTTCCTCTTCCTCACCGTGTCAATCGTCGCCTGCATGCACCTCGTTTCACCACTGCACGCCCTCTTACGACATTCTAAAATATACTTATAAAAATATACGGTTTCATGGTACATAAACCTGAGCCAATTTTGCATACGTCGTGTTGTGAGCGGTCAGTTAGTGTATCTAATTTGGCAAACTTGATATGTATTTTGGCAGACGTCTTTTGTCCAATTCTGTGCTGGAAATATAATTACAGACGTCCATAGTTAAGCCTCGATGTGGGTTCCGCGCCAGTGCCATTTGAGCGTTTTACGACTTTTACCTTGTCAAGCTGGAGCTGGTCTAACGTAAAAACGGCTGATCGTGAATAGGTATAGCTTCTACTTTGCATCAAAATGGGCAGACTGAATTCACGTGAGTCAGTGTCTAAGTTGGTTTCCCTTAAGGTGGCTTGCTGGTGCGTTCTGTTGGTTCCGTTTTGATGACATCGCTTTGCCAATGGCGGCTCGTGTAGCGGTTTTGTGGCCCACTCGGGCTATTACCCGTTAGCTTTTCGACGTTGAACGAAACAAAGTTGTCGAACCGGTCGTAGTGAGAGCGCGAAGACCTCTATGTTGCAAATTTGTTTTTTTTCTGTTAAGCGATAAGTATCGGGAAGACGTTCCAAACGGCGGATGGGCATGTTGGAAAAAACTGCGGGGTTCGCCCATGATCGCACATATCTGTTTAGAGCCTATATTGATGAAAGATTAAAGTGCGTTCCGTGGGATTTTCGCGACAGTGTTTGAGCTTTTCGGTCGAAGCGTACAGTTTAAGGGTTATTTTTACGACGAAAACCAGAGTTTGGTTTCTCGCTGCATCGTGTTGTGGGTTCTCTCGCATTTTTCAACGACCTGCTATTGTAGTTTGTCTGAGCCCGATGGAAGGGTACGTATTCAGAATGGATAGGAATGTTGATGTCCAAATTTGGTTGGTTTTCGTCACCGTTACATTTTTGTGAATGTCATGGTGGGTGGACGCTAGTTTTCATGGTATGCCAAGCTACCTTGCATAATCTAATTTTCGCATGAGCGCATATTTTAGGCGTGTAGACGACAGGCAGATATCACGGCCGCCTTCGAAAATATCAGAAGACAAAATATGGAATTTGACAGCCGGATTACCTGGGTGAATTGTTGGTGTAGGTGCTGTCTGATTTAAGCTGTGGTATGCTGGATTGAAAGTTGACATGTTCCGTACAGTAGTGAGGTTACCGCGTGACTCTGGGAAATAGCGATGACGGAGGATGAGGAGGCATGGGGGGTGCTTGGCAAATAAATTTTTGCGTGCTGATCTATGATCAAGAGATAATTATTCTACAACTCCACTCAGCAGAACTGCAGAATTGTTATAAGCTACTTT